GAAGTTACCCGTGTCACTGTCCCTGCAGTCTGAATTTGCTTCAGTTCTGTTGTACGGTGCATCGACTTAATGGAGTATTTTGTAACCATCATAATTGTGGTTGAGAGAAGGTTTCATGCTAGTGACATGTTACCCAGAATTATGATACAAAATTTTGTACATTGTAAAGTAGAATGGAATTGTGTTAAAAATTTATACTTGAGATTTAGTACTGATATGTTACTTAACCTCCCCCCAAACTCAAGTTTCTTCACCTGTAAAGTAGGAATAATGACATATGCCTCATGCCAGTGGTTGTGAGGGTTAAATAAGATAAGTTAATAAAGTTCTTAGTACAGTACCTACAACATAAAAGTTCCCAATAAATATTTGTTGTTATAATACTTGTAATTATGTAAAAGTATTCATATTTTAACACTGGAAAAGAATATGTAATAATGATAATTGTATTAAGGCATTGAGTTAATCCACATTAATTTCTAAGTATTCTGTAATGTTATTTTTATTATAATGTAATATAAATTATTTAAGTTCTAATGATTTTAAATTAATATGTTAATTTTAACCTATTGTTAAATTATTTATATTTATTTTTAAAATTTTTATTTATTTATATTTAGAGAGGGGGAAGGGAGGGAGAAAGAGAAGGAGAGAAACATTGATATGTGAGAGATACATCAATTGGCTGCCTCTTCCACGCCCCCCCAGCTGGGGACTTGGCCCGAAACCCAGGCATGTGCCCTGATTGGGAATTGAACTGGTGACCCTTCAGCTCACAGGCCAGTGCTCAGTCCACTGAGCCACACCAGCCAGGGCAAAATATATCTGTATTTAAATATATCTCAAATACTGTATGAGGAAGTATTCTTGTTACTCCTTTTCCACATTGATAAAACATATGTGTCTGTTATATATTGGTATGTCTTTGAGTTGGAGGCAGTCAGACAAATAACATTAACAGCCAGCTGTGAAGATTTGAACACATATTAAGATCATTTGGTTCTGAAGTTGACTAAACACAACAGCTACGTATTGGGTTGGCCAAAAAGTTTCTTTGACGTTTTTCTGTAAGATGGCCCTACAAGTGCTTAGTTGCCTTTAACTTCATTCAAAATAATTTTGTTAGGTTGTGTCGTGGTAGCTGTCATATCAGTGTGCATTTAAGAAAAAAACATCAAAATTGGTGAATTTTTGTGCAGCCATTTTAATATTGAAGGTGGAAGAAGACAACATTTTCAGCATATTATGTTTTTTTATTTCAAGAAAGGTAAAAATGCAACTGACACACAAAAAAAGATTTGTGCCTTATATGGAGAAGGTGCTATGACTGATCAAACAGGTCAAAAGTGGTTTGGGAATTTTCACACTGGAGATTTATTGCTGGACGATGCTCCCTGGTTGGGTAGACCAGTTGAAGTTGTTAGCGATCAAATTGGGACATTAATTGAGAACGATCAATGTTATACCACGCGGAAGACATCCAACGTATTCAAAATATCCAAGTCAATAAAGTTATTGGTGAAAATGAAAAGTGTGTCTTCTGTTTTACAGAAAAAACTGTATGGACTCTTTGGCCAATCCAATAACATGGGTCCAGTGCCCTATTCACATTGGCTTTGTGGTTCCACAGCACCAACTCGCTTTGCGCCTTTTCATGCAGGGACCTTTCCTGGTTATTTACTCTGTCTGGAATGCTCATCTCTCTGATCTTTACTATCCTGTAGATAGCCTCTGGCTGCCTAAGTGGCAACTCTTGCCACTGTATCCTCTCTTCCTATTTTGTTCTCTGCGTGGCTCTCTGACATTTTTATATGTGTCTCCCAAAAGACTGTGTGAGTTGCAAGAATAGAAATTTTGTATTTTTCACACCGTATCTCTTGTACCTGGAAATACATAGTAGGCATTCAATATGTAAATGTTTTGAATCAGTAAGTAAATAAATGACAGTATCTCTCATTTCTAATGTTATTTATTTATTTACTTATTTCTTTTTAGAGAAGGTAATGGAGGGAGAAAGAGAGAGAAAGATCAGTGTGTGGTTGCATCTCTCACGCCCCCTTCTGGGGACCTGGCGTGCAACCTAGGCATGTGCCCTACACTGGGAGTTGAACCAGCAACCCTTTGGTTTGCAGGCCGGCCCTCAATCCACCAAGCCACACCAGCTAGGGCAAGTATCTCACATTTTTAAAGGAACACTTTTATGTAGCTACACAGAAATATTTGTTTTTTTCTCTTACCCCATGGATATTCCCTTGGTGCCTTTAACGGGTGCCATTATTAGCAGTGTTCAGTGACCCACGGGCCAGGTAGTAAATATTTTAGAATTGGAGTCTGCATGGCAGCTAACTACTCAACTCAGCTGTTGTAGTGAAAGCAGCCATAGACAACGTGTAAATGAATAGGTATGGCTGTGTTTCAGTAAAACTATAAAATTGGTCTGCAGCCTACAGGTTGTGGTTCGGTGACCCCTGCTATAGACCACGAACCCACTCCAAGGCTGTGGGGCGAGACCCAGACCTGAATTGTCATGGAGGAGGGAGAAAATGGACAGTGAGCATCTGGTAGACTGACACTGGCAAGGAGGATGGGACTGATGGAGGCATGAGGAAGGCGCCTGCGGCTGGTGCTGTGGCCCTCCGTGGAAGCAGATTTGTGAGGAGATGGATGTATAAAGATTGTTGGGCTTTTCGCATGCAAATCATGTTATTTATAGATATTTTTGAGCTGCAAATAGTCAGCCATAAAAATACAAGGACGTCTCTGGAGAGATCCACACACGCAGAAAAACCAACAAGCCTGGAAGGTGGGGAGGCTGAAGGACAGTAGAGGAGGTCTACCTTGCACTGACCATCCTTTTGTACTTCCAAATTTTGTACTGTGTATACATATTACTTGGAAAAAACAAAACTTTAACAAAACATATTCAAATGAAGAGTTTTGTTTGGTCTGTTTTGTGACCAAGGGTCTATATAGTCTTCTTTTCAGTTTCTATAGAATGTGTATTTTTTTACATATTATTCTATAGTCATCATGCTGTACATTAGATCTCCATGACTTACTCATTGTACAACTGGAAGTTTGTACCTTTGGACCCCCTTCACCCATTTTGCCCACCTTATTCCTAACTGCCCCCCTCCACACCTTCCCACCGCTGGCAAGCACCTCTCTGTTTTCTATATCCATGAGCTCGGATTTTTGTTTTTAGGTTCTACATGTAAGTGAGATAATGCAGCATGCGTGATTTATTTCACTTAGTATAATGCCTTCAAGGTCCATCTAATGTTGTTGCTAATGGCAAGATTTCATTCTTTTTATGGCTGAGTAATGTTCCATTGTATCCTTGTATATGTATCATATCTTCTTTATCCATTCATCTATCAGCGGACACCTAAGTTGCTTCCATATATTGGCTCTTGTGAATAATGCTGCAATGACATAATCCTGCAATGGGATGCATATGTCTTTTCGAATTAGTGTTTTTGTTTTCTTTGGATAAATATCCGCAAGTGAGATTGCTGAGTCATAGAGTAGTTCTCTTTTTAGTTTTTTTAGTCACCTCCATTAGAGTCCCACTAACAGTGTACAAGAGTTCCCTTTTCTCCACACCTTCGCCAACACTTGTTATTTCTTGTTTTTTTTTTTATAATACTCATAGAATACATAATTTTCAGTTTTTGGATTGATTCCTTTCATATGTAGAAGGCATTAAGATACATAGCATATTTTTACATTAATTAAGAGCTGTTTTTCCATTCTAATTTAATAGGATTGCATTTAGTGGTATACACCAAAACAAGGTAGATCTTCTCAGAGAACAGTTTACAAAATGATTTTAGTTGTTAATTCCAAAATTAGATGAGGTCATAATTAGTGTGACACAGCAATAACAGCTAACGTTTCTTGGGTTGTTACTACAGTTCACATGCATTATCTATTTTAATAATGCTCACTAGTACTCAAATATAGGTAATATTATCCCTGTCTTACCAGATGAGGAAGGTAAAGCTTAGAGGTGTTAAAAAACTTGCCCAAGATCTTGAAACTTTAGAAGTTGCAGAACCAGACTTTAAAGCAAGATCTGTTTTCCTGAAGAGCCCATGCTTAATCAGCTAAGCACGACTGCTCTGTAGTTGCTTCCCCCAAGCAATTGCATGTTAGGAGTTAACTTCTTTAATGGAGAGAGGGTGTCAGTGTAAAGTAATGAGGCTGAATTGAAAAGTTGCGTGCTCCTCATTCTCTTTATTGTGCAGTCATCCATATACTAAGATTTATGAAATTATCATCTCTAAACATCCAAAAAGGTCTCCACATTGGGTGAACATACATAAAAGAATGATGTATGTTTATTGATAGATAGGTTTTTTCTTTTGAATTTTCTTTTTAAAGTGATAATTGCATGGTTCTAAAATTAGATTATGTCAAAAGATAGACATTGAAAACTTGAAATCCCATCTCTGCCAGAGCCTGCTCTAACTCCTCTGTTCTACCCCCAATCCCTGTTATCCGTTTTTGTTTCTTGTTTATCCAACCACTGTTTATATAGAGGTGAGCAAAAAGAAAAAAATATTTGTGTTCCTCTCTTTCAAAGGTGTAGTTTCTACAAATACAGTCTTTTTTATCTCTCTCTGCTTCAATTTTCAATGAGAAAAAAAATTCTCATTACTCTCCTAGCAGCTCTTCTGTATAGTTTAGTGCTTTCCTTTTGGAAAGTCTAATAACGTGTGGGATCAGGAGTTCCTGTCACAGGTAATTTTTTAAAAAAATTCCTTAATTTAAATAGGTGAATTGCAGTAGATCACTATATATTTGAAAATTAAGTAGGAAAAATCCCCCCAAAATGCATAACCCCTTAATGTTTTCTGTGTTTGTATCTGATTTTGAAGGTGTGATATACACTGTGGTGGCAGTCATTAAAAAACAAAGCATGATCTTTCTAATGAATAGTATCCATTTTTGGTTCAGTCCAGTGGCTAACTTTCCTTTCTTCTTATTCGTTGTAGTTGAGGCAGTCCCAGTCCTACTGCACAGACACAGAATGTCTTCAGGAATGTAAGTAACAATGGGACAGGAGGAGGCTTGGCATTGAGGGCAGAATTACAGGCTAGCCCTGACTGGTGTGGCTCAGTGGGTTTGGCATCGTACTACAAACTGAAAGGTCGCTGGTTCGCTTCCCAGTCAGGGCACAGGCCTGGGTTGCTGGCCAGGTCCCTGGTTGGGGGTGTGCGATGTTTCTCTGGCACATCAATGTTTCTCTCCCTCTCCCTCTCCCTCTCTTCCCCTCTCTCTAAATCAGTAAAAATCTTTTAACAAAAAGAGTTAGAGGCCAGATAACTGTGAATATTTGCCAGAAATTATTCTTACAGTTTGCTCTTTAAGGAAATGGTCCTCAGTGATGTATTTCTTTCTTATTTAATTTGTAACTGAAAAAACTGTTTTTTTCCTGCCTCAAAAACCAACCCTGTTCATTGAAGATAATTTTAAAAACCAGAGGGAAGAAAAAGGAAAAGGAGAAACTTCCAGAATACTAAAAGATAACCACTGTTGACTAACTTGGTGTAAACACTTCCAGATCTTTTTCTTGCAAATATGTGTGTAACAGGGCACTTCTGGCTGGCTGAACTGGGACACTGAGGCTGCTAGCACAAACCCCTTGCTCTTTCCTTAGCATCTGTTTTCACCCATTGGCAGCTTTGAGAACTTGAGTAAAGGAAGAGGGCATTCTTTCCCAGGGTTTGGAAGCTTTGGGAACCTGTGGAGTCATTCCTTTGGCTGGGAGGCAGGGAGGTTTCTCTCTTTGTGGCTTTATCCTCAGTGGTGATAGTAAAGTGAAAATCAGAGCAGAAAGACTTGGTAGTCATTATATTAGGCATCTTTTTTTTTTTTAAGTTAAGAAAAGAAGATTTTATTTATTTATTTATTTTTAAAGGAGGGAGAGAGGGAGAAAAACATCAATGTATGGTTGCATTTCGCAGGTCCCCATCAGGAAACCTGGCCTGCAACCCAGGCATGTGCCCTATGCTGGGAAATGAACCAGCAACCCTTTGGTTTGCAGGCCGGCGCTCCATCCCCAAGCCACACCAGGTAGGGCTATGTCAGGCATGTTTTTTCAGGACAGGAATAACTTGAGGGATACTTTGGGGGAACTGAATAACAAACATTTAAGCCAGTCCCGTCCTGTGCCATAATTCAACTATTAAAGAATGGAAGTATGACATTCATAGGATATGATAGTGAAGCCTGGCACAATCAGATTTCATATACACTTACACAAATTAGATTGCTTTGTGTGTTTTGTTTTTCACTACAGCATTATGAATATATCAGTGTATATTTATCTTAAAAATATTTACTGACTACGTAATGATCTATTATTGGGATGAACGAGTTTTCGCATTCCCTTTGTTGGAATCTTAGGTTGATGATACATGTTTTGCTCTTATAAGCAATACTTAAACCCCCTTTGTATGTACATTTTAGGGCTTTTAACATATTCCTAAATTGCATTTATTTATAGGCTAGATTGTTTATGTTTAACATCTCTGAAGCTGAGCTCTACGTTAGTATGTATATGAAACTAAAACAAATCACAGGAAGGGATCATTATAAAAGGGCTTGTTATTGCATTATTAAATGTTGTTATTGCAGTATAAACTGGGTATCCAATCAAATTCTGTAAATATAACAGAGAAATAGGAGTGCCCTGTCCAAAGTAGGAATTTTGTTAAAACATAGTCCATTGGTACAACAGGGTAATTATTAATAATTTCATGCCTGTGGACAAGAAGGTGATGGTACTGTGCAGATGTGTTAAGCTGTTAGGATGATGGAGGGTGGTTCCCCCACTTCACATTTCTTTATGGTGCTTTTTCAGTAGCATTAATTACTCTATAATGTGTCCTCTGATAAGCAACTCCATCTTTTGACTCGAGGTAAAGCTAAAATTTATTCATGTAGTCGAAAGTAATCTTACTGAACTTACAGGAAAACTAGTGTTTATTATATTGTAATATTTGTGACCCTTGATCCCGTTCCACCTTAATATCCAATTAAGATATACTCTTAATTTCTGTGAGTGAAATTTCATTTCCTTAATTTAAGCATAAAGGTAAACTTTAGATCTTGAATATTAATTTAGTCATATTGGCCAGTTTTTTCCTACCAGTTCTTTCAGCATTTGTTGGAAATCCTTTCTGAGAGCCATATTTTTAATGGTTTAAGCAGCTGTTTCCTTTGGGTAATAGAAGAATCACTTTTCTATATATTCTAAATTTTCTCTAGTGAGCTCATGTTGTTTTCATAAAATATTAATCAGGGGTTCCGATGACCCATTCCTCTGGTTCAATAATTTGCTAAAATGGTTCGTAGAACAGGGGAGGACAATCAACTTATTATCACTGGTTTATTATAGAGGATATAATTCAGGGGCAGCCAAATGGAAAAGGTGCATAGGGCGAGGTAGCGGGAAGAGGAGTGGAGCTCCTCTGTCTTCTTTTGATGTGTCACTCTCCTAGCACATTGATGTGTTCCCCAGCCAGCAAACTCTCTGAACCCCATTGTTTAGGGTTTTTATGGAGGTTCCATTATGTGGGCATAGATGATTAAGTCATTGGCCATTGGTGATTAACTGGATCTCCAGCCTCGCCCCTGTCCTGGGAAGTCAGGGAGTGGAGCTCTGAGTTCCCACCCTCTAATCACATGGTTAAACTCTGTCAACCAGCCCTCATCCTGAAGCTCTGTAGGGCCCACCAAGAGTCACCTAATTAGCATAAACCCAAGTATGGTTGAAAAAGATTTATTATGAATAACAAAAGACCCTATTACTTAGGAAACTCCAGGGTTTTGGAGCTCTATTCCAGGAACCAGGGTGAAAACCAAATATATATTTCTTATTATATCACAATATTACACTACCCATTGGGCCTGCCATGGTGTGTTGCATATATGAGATGATTTAATTGAAGAGGGAGCTCTTTACTTTATGTGATAGTAGAATCTAGTTGGAATCTGTAAACAGATCTAGTTGCATGATTCTTTATATTGAGCTAAATTCCCCTTCACTGTGCTGTATACCCCGTTTTGCTTTCTAGAATAGTATAGAACAAGTCTGCTCACTCTTCTGAAAGACTGCCTTTTAGATAGAAATGGTATGGAAACCAGCTCAATTACTAATGTACTTTTAAGTAAACCAGCTTGAAGATGAGTAGCTGTACTGAGCATAATTAATTACTATATACCAGTGATTTTCAAACTTTTTCATCTCATGGCACACATAAACTAATTACTGACATTCTGCAGCATCCAAAAAATACACTTTTTGCTGATCTGACAAAAAAATAGGCATAATATTGATTCATTTACACCAGGCAGCTGTTGTTGTTTTGGCTGTTGTCATTTTTTAATTTGACAATCTAAGGGGAAAGAGGTCAGTGCCCCAGACTAAATAGTCCTATATTGCATATTTTTCTTTTTTATCACATTTTATTGATTATGCAATTACAGTGTCCTGATTTTGCCCACTCTGCTCCTCCTCCACCCAGCACCCCCCACTCCCTCAGGCAATCCCCCCCACCATTGTTCATGTCCATGGGTCATGCATAGGTCCTTTGGCTACTCCATTCCCTGTACTGTATTTTACAACCCCATGGCTATTCTGTAACTACCTATTTGTGCTCCCTAATCCCCTCACCTCTTCACCCATTCCCCATCACCCACCCCCCTCCTGGCAACCTTCACAATGCCTTCTATATCCATGATTCTGTCTCTGTTGTTCTTGTTTGCTTAGTTTGTTTTTTGGATTCAATTGTTGAAAGATGTATTTTGCCATTTTATTGCCCATAGTTTTGATCTTCTTTTTCTTAAATAAGTCCCTTTAACATTTCATATAATATTGGTTTGGTGATGATGAACTCCTTTAGTGTTTTTTTGTCTGGGGGGCTCTTTGTCTGCCTTTCTGTTTTAAATGATAGCTTTGCTGGGTAGAGCAATCTTGGCTCTAGGTCCTTATTCTTCATGACTTTGAATATTTCTTGCCATTTCCTTCCAGCCTGCAAAGTTTCTTTTGAGAAATCAGCTGACAGACTTATGGGAACTCCCCTGTAGGTAACTAACTTCTTTTCTCTTGCTGCTTCTATTCCCTCCTTATCTTTAACCTTTGGTATTTTAATTATAATGTATCTTGGAGCGGGCCTCTTTGCATCCATCTTGTTTGGGGACCCTTTGTGCTTCCTGGAACATGTCTATGTCCTTCACCAAATTATGGAAGTTTTCTTTCATTATTTTTTCACATAGACTTCCCATTTCTTGCTCTTTTTCTTCTCCTGGCACCCCTATGATGAGAATGTTGGAACTCTTGAAGTTGTCCCAGAGGCTGCTTATACTGTCCTCATTTTTTTTTTTATTCTTTTTTCTTCTTGTTCTCATTTGTTGTTTTTTGCTTCCTTATGTTCCAAATCATTGATTTTATTCTTGGCTTCATCCACTCTATTGTTTCACTGTAAATTGTTCTTTATTTCAGTTAGTAAATCCTTTGTTTCTGACTGAATCTTTTTTTGTGCTGCTGAGATTCTCGCTAAGTTTCTTGAACCTCCTAATAACCAATGTTTTGAACTCTGCATCTGACAGATTGCTTATCTCCATTTTGTTTAGCTCTTTTTGTGGAGTTTTGATCTATTCTTTCATTTGGGCCATGTTTCTTCGTCTCCTCGTTTTGGCAGCCTCCCTGTGTTTGTTTCTATTTATTAGGTGCAGCTGCTTTGACTCCATGTCTTGGTAGTGTGGCCTAATGTAGTAGATGACCTGTAGGGACCAGTGACACAGCCTCCCCTATCACCCATGCTGGGTACTCAAGGTGCATCCTTCGTGTGGGCTCAGTATACCCCCCTTTTGTAGTTGAAACTAGGTTGCTGTTGGCAGGTCAATGGCGGGGGGATTTAGCCAGGCCAGTCAGCTGCCAGGATTAGCTGTACCCACTGACCACCAACCTCCGTCCTCCATGGAGGGTCAGCTGTGCAAAGGCATGGTGTGGTTGTGGTGTTCCGCTGTGGTCTGTAGCTGTCCACTGGGTGCATTGGCCCTGGGGTTTCCTAGTTGGTGCAGACCAAGGTCAGCCCCAACCTATATTTTGCTCTGGGCTACCCTGCCTGACCTTATAGCAATCTGAGATGGCTGCTACTTGTGCTGAGCTTGGAGATTCCCAAGTGAAGCTAAGCTATGAATCTAGCTGGCTGCGCTAATGCCGGGCCTGGGCTCACTGAGGCCAGCTGTTGCTTGTTTGAGAGGATTTAGGAAGTTGTGAAGCATGAGCCAAGACCAGCCATTCATATGGAAAAGCAGCTTGGGTGGGCCTGTAATTAGTGTAGGGAGGAGTCTCTGGGGATCTCTAAGGTGAATCACAGTGTTAGCCAGGTTGGTGGAGTCTCAGATATGGCATCAGCTTGCTAGCTCTATGGGGGTAGGGTTTTGAAAAGGTATAAAGGCCCCTACTTGTCTTGATGTCAGACACTTCCCTTTATGCCACGGGTGCCTTTCAAGCTGCTACCCTGGTGTTGGAGCTCAGAGGGAGTGAGTCTGATTAGGTGAATCCATGTGTGGAACTACTTGGGGCTTCAGAAGTTTCTTCCACTGACTCAATCTCCACTGGTTTTTACAGCCAGAAGTTGTGGGGACTTATCTTCCTGGCACTGGAACCCTGGGCTAGGGGGCCTGGTGTGGGCCTGCGACTCCTCGCTCCTGAGAGACCCCTCCCGAATTTTTATCTATCACATGTGGGTGTAGGACCAGCCTGTTCTGCATCTGCTCCCCTTTTACCAGTCTAGATGGACGTGGTTTCTTTAATTCTGTAGTTGTCAGACTTCCATTCAATTTGATTTCTGATGATTCTGAGTGCTGGTGGTTCTATATTTTGGTCATAATTTTGATATGGTTGTGTGAAGAAATAAGCCATGTCTGCCTATGCCACCATCTTGCCCAGAAGTCCTGTGTTGCATGTTTAAAAAATTCCTGCAGCACACCGGTTGACAATCCCTGCTGTATACAATCCAAAAATTACAGGCTTAAAGCCTACTGCTGCTTTGTCCACTTTCACTGTTCTAGTTCATTTTTTTCTACTGGAAACCTATAAAAGTGTATAGAAATAATCCCTCAGGATCTCTCAGTTCGCAGAGCCTCCCTCTCTACCCTTTCATCTGCCTGTGTCCTGCGAAATCAATAGTTTCTTTGTGAATATTCCATTTGGCATTTTTAAAAATAATATTCATGTTTGCTTATAGCCAAAGACCTAACCTTTAAGCAGAACAGAACACTTTATTTTCATGCACAAAGTCCTGTTACATTTTTATGATCTGGCATCTTAACAACTCTCTGGGTTGGTCCACAGAGAGGTGTTAAGAACTGTTTTCTGGCAGCAAAATGCAGGAAGGATATGGTGCAACAGGAACCAAAATGCAGAGCAAAAGACGGAATTCCCTCTTCCCCCCAAAGTAGAGTGTTTTTATGGTATATCAGGTGATTTTAACCGGGGTTCCGTAGATCTCAGTATTTATGGATTGGTGGCTTTGCGGATCCATGAATCTTCCACAGTTATACATGAAATTGTTGAATGTGCATACATGGATTCTTATGATGAAGAGTCCCCTTAATTTTTATCAGATTCTCAAAGCATTCTATTACCCCAAAATATTAAGAACTACACTGTTAAAATCTTCATTTAATAGGCTTTGGCTTTTGACTATTTTATACCATTTACCATTTAGATTTTCTCACAGGAGGAAAGGGAAATTGAAAATGTAATACTTCATAACTGCATATCTCTAAATTAGTAATACTACTTTTTTATATTAATACAGTTTTTGAAGTTGGCATTTAAACAGATTTTTTTTTTATATTTATCTAACATATTAAACTCATGCTACAGTGTTTGTTGCAAATACATTTTTTTTCTCTTTAGTACCAGGACCCTCTGGTGATAATGGCATCAGTATTACCATGATCTTGATGGCTTGGATGGTTGTTGCAGTGATCTTGTTTCTACTGAGACCTCCTAATCTGAGAGGATCCAATCTATCTGGAAAGCCAGCCAGTCCTCATAATGTAAGTGCTGTGGGTTAGAAACCCATTGGGGGGGGTGTGGCTTGGGAAAGGGGAGAAGTCTGTTTTGATGGAAATACCTGAATTAGAAAAAAGAAGATCTAATTCATGGAGTAAGTTCTTTCTTTGTCATGTCATTCTAGTAAATTTTACAACCCTGAATGGCTTAGTGGTTGTGGTGTTTACATATAAAGGTAAACATAGTAGCCCAAAAATAATATAAAAATGAATTCCAATCTTTACTCACATGAAACATAAAAAAATGATCCAGTTCATGATGATTCACAGCAATGTTTCTCAAATCTCAGCCCTGATACCCAGTTCTGTCCACCTCTCAGTTGATCCCTTGCCTCTCACTCTCCTTCTCATGCTTCCAGCTCCCTAAATTCTCATACTAACTACAGTTCAAATATTTTTATTTGCACTTCCTTTTCTCCCCTTGGTCCTAGCTGTTAAATACAGTAGAGACACTGAGCCTATCTGACTAAATCCTGTTTTCCTGTTTTTTCCCATCAATTTCTCTCAAATTAATTTTTCTGGTTCTGCATCACTGTAGATCAGCTGAACTGGCAAAAGCAGAGGTAGGAATCACCCATTTTGATAAATTTTGATAGTCATCATTACAGCCATTTTTAGCATCTTCTAAATGAAAACCATGAAGTGACCCAACATAGAGTTTTTGTCACTGTTTTTACTAGAACCTCCATTAAAGGATTCCTTTTAATCATTTTCAGAACCTGCATACGTATGTATGTAATATGTGTATGTGTGTGTATACTTAATTTTTTTCATTTGATTTGGATATTATCTCTCTAAAAATATTTCCATGGATTCATTTGTTGAGCACCGAATTTTCTCACTAATTCCTTTCTTCAACCTTTACCATGTGGAATTCTTAAAATTGCTTTTCCTTAACCTTGTGTTGTTAATACAAGAAAGAAGTTCAGTTCACCTAATTTCTTATGTAAGAGAAAGCAAATGTGGAATGTTAAGTGGTTATTACTTCGGCTTTTAAGGATTAGAACATTTAGATATGCAGCATGCTGACTTTAAGAAGGCCTCATTAACATTATATTAGAAGGCCTTGTATTTATTTTTGTTTTTTTGCTTGGAGAAGGAGTTATCCATTAAACAGCTTGTATATCGTCTTGATAAAGTGCTTTCTCCTTAGCTCTTTTTCTTACTTTCAATATGTCTTACATCTTTTTTTCCCCCGATTTTTAAAAAAAAATTTTAAATCATGTTTATTCTATTACAGTTGTCTCAGTTTTTCCCCCTTTGCCCCCCTCCACCCATCCCACCCCGCCCCCCTCTCCCACACTCAATTCCCGCTCTGTTGTCCATGTCCGTGGGTCATTCATACATGTTCTTTGTTTAGTCCCTTCTTCTTTCCACCATTGTCCTCCTTCACCATCCCCTCTGGTCACTTTCAGTCTGCTCCATGCTTCCTTGCCTGTGGTTTATTTTGTTCGTTAGTTTATTTTGTTGAGTAGATTCCACTTATAGGTGAGAGCATATGGTACTTGTCTTTCACTGACTGGCTTATTTCATTTAGCATAATATTCTCCAGTTCCATCCATGTGTTCACAAAAGGTAGGAGTTCCTTTCTTTTTTTTTTAAATGCAGATTGATTTTATTTTTTTAATGTCAAATCCATTATAAAATATTAAAAAATTTAAATCCATTATAAAGTCTCAGCAATGAAAACAACATGATACCAGCACAGAAATAATCAAGTAGATCAATGAAATAAAATGAGCATTCTAGAAATAAATGTATGTATCTAACAGTGTAATACATGATTAAACTGATATTTCAAATGAATGGGGAAAATAAGGCTTATTCAACAAATAAGGCGCATGGAACACTATTACTTGAAATAAAACAAAGAATCCTATTTCACACATTATACAAAAAATAATCAGGTGAGTTAAAAATTAATATGCAAAATCTAAGGAGTTTTCAGAGAAAATACAAGATAATATTTTTCTTACCCTGAAGTAAACTATTCAAACCCAGAAGCTATAAAGTAAAATATTGACAATATGACTATATTAAACATTTAAGACTATCTAGTAATATACATATAAAAAAAGTTAAAGGACAAGTAATGGAGTAGGAAAGTATTTGCAACACATCTAAAAATAGTTAATAGTTTTTTGGGTTTCTTTTAGGGGAAGAAATTCTATAAACATTTAATCAAAAAATGGATAAAAAATACCAAAAAATCACTTAAAGCTTTTTAAAGATAATAGAAATAGGCAAGAAATATACAAAAACAGGTTTAATTTCAACAAATAGTAAAGGAACAATTAAAATAACACATTATTGTCACAATCAGATGAAGAAGTATTAAAAATATTGGTAATATCAAGTATTTGTGACTGTGAAAGGAACTGGGTATTCATAGACTCTTTTTCTTCATCTTCTTAAAGCAGTCCCTTTAGCATATCTTGCAATGCTGGTTTGGTGGAGATGTGTTCTTTTAGCCTTCTTTTGTCTGGGAAACTCCTTATTTCGCCTTCCATTTGAATTGAGGTAGAACAGTCTTGGTTGCAGGCCTTTGCTTTTCATGCCTTGGAATATTTCCTGCCATTCCTTTCTGGCTCGTAGTGTTTCTGTTGGGAAGCAGCTGCTAGCCGTATTGGGGCTCCCTTATGTGTTACTACCTCTTTCTCTCTTGCTGTCTTTAGGATTTTCTGTTTGTCTTTGATATTTGCCATTTTAATGATGATGTGTCTTGGAGTGGGCCTGACTGGGTTCTTCCTGAATGGGACCCTCTGTGCTTCCTGGACTTGTGTGACTTTTTCTCTCCTCCAGGTAGGGAAGTTTTCCATCATTATTTTTTCAAACAGGTTCTCTATCCCTTCCTCATCCTCTTCTCCTTCTGGTATCTCTATTATTTGGATATTATTATGCTTCAGGTTGTTCTGCATTTCCCTCAATGCCTCTTCATTCTTTTTGAGTATTTTTTCATTTTCTTGCTCTTTCTGGGAGCTTTTTTCTACCTTGTCCTCCAGCTCGCTGATTCATTCCTCTGCTTTATCTAGCCTGTTTTTGATTCCTTCTACTGTGTTCTTCAATTCAGAAATTGTATTCTTAATTTCCTCCTGTCTCTTATTGATAATTTCTATGTCCTTTTTCATGCTGATAGAGTTTGCAGTAAGTTCCTCATAGTTTCCCTGTAGTTTTTTGTAATTCTCTCTGAGCTCACTGAGCTCATTGAGTTTCCTTAGAACCATTGGTTTGAACTCAGTATCTGATAGTTTACTTACCTCTGTTTCATTTAGTTCTCTTTGTGGGGATTCCTTCTTTCCCTTCGAGTGGAGGGTGTTTGTTTGTCTTCCCTTTATTTGTTGAGACTCTTTTAAATTTTGCTTCTACTTCTTAAATTGATCTGTCTTGATTTCCTGACTTTGTGGTGTGAACTTATAAGGTAGGAGACTGCTGTTTTTTCTTTCTGGATCTGCCTCTGATGTCAGATGTTGACCCTGTGTGACCTTAGGCAGTCTTTTCGAGACTTCCAGGAATCTACTGTCTGTGGCTGTCTCTTTCAGCTGTTAGTTTAGTCATTCTGCACTCAGCAGTCCGGCTTAGACAACATAGGGCAGGGCAGATTTCCTCCTGGGGGTGGGGTTATTGGGTCCTCTAATGGTGCTGCCACTCAAGGGAGTGGTCTGCCTGAGCCAGATGGTTGCTGCAACCATCTGGCGGAGGAGTCAGCACCAGGATCCTGCCAGCTACTCTCTCCATTCTCTCCCCAAAGCCTCTGTCTCCAGTCTCTCCCCAAGTGTCTCTAGACCACTCTGCACCTCCTCCTTCCCCAGTCTCTCCTCAGGTTTCTCTAGCCCAGTCTGCCTCCGCCTTTGCTGGAGACCAGGGTAAGTGGCTGCAAATAAAAATTTATGTGTTGGCCCTTTAAACTGCTCTATGTGTCTCTAGCTGCCTGTGTCTGGCAGAGAGCAACCCTACAGCTTTTTGCAGCTGGCTGTTACCTGTGTGTACTTTTTGGGCCCTGGTGCTGTAGGCTGGAGATTCCTGTTCGGGGTTTAGACCCCACTCTTCTCAGGGAGATCCTGCTGGCCCTTTCAATATCCTTCTGGTGCTGCCACCCATGGGTGCCCTGCCCGCCTTCTCAAGTCTCTACCACACTCCTTACCTGTTAGGTAGTACTAAAGCTGATTCTTCTGTCTCTCCGAGATTATAAGGCTCCTCTTTCACTGTTGTTCAGTTTTTGTTCCAGGTGATTTCTCCACAATTTAGTTGTAATTCCAGATTGGTCCTGGGAGGAGGTCAGTGTGACTTCCACTCACTCCTCCGCCATCTTGATTCTCTTTATCTTTCTCTCTGTCTTATTTCATATCAAAGAGCCATCTCATTGTTTAGAGCTAAAGAAACCCAACTTAATAAGCTAATTTAGAAGCCATTAAAAGTGACAGAAATACAAGATTACAGTCCCCTGAACCTTATTTCATTGCTAGGAATAGTGTTTCCACTGCCCTAAGAATAAGCAAGAAAATATATCGACTAATTCCAAATAGTAAAATTGATCACCCTCTATTAGGGGCTTATATAACATGTCAGAGTAAATAAATGGAATCTTCATGAAGATTCCTAAAGTGGCGATCCTTCCTTTACAGTTCAGATGCTTTCTATTGCAAGTAACAAAAATAAACTCAACCTGCTTTAAACAAGTGCTGTATTGGTTTACACATGACAAAATCCAGAGATAGGGTCATTGTTTAGAAAGTTTTAACAACGTCATCAAAGACGGTTTCTTTAATCACAACATCAACTTTATTCCAAGATGAGCTCCCTTTGTAGTAATTAGATGGCCGGCGATAGCATCTGGAACCACATGCGTCCTCATTGACATTCTTTAGTGAGAAACAAGTCTCTAGCCTCACTTCGTACTGTACTCAATCCATCACCATAGCAAGAGGGATGAGACTACCTTTACTGGTTTAAATATCACCCCTGGAGCTGTTAGGGAGAGCTGTTTCATCTAAAACATATCACTATTGCACAGTTTTCCTCTCTCCTATACCACAGGGAATAATGAGACATTGGTGAATCCATGTTAATCTACTGTTCCCTTGTGAAAAAACATGAAAAGTTCAAATAAGTGTATTGTTTGGGATGGGAGGGTGGGGATATTGCCACTCAGTTCTTACTATATGTGTTAGATTGGTTGCACTGGGATTTAAGAAGTCAGCTCTATAATTTCTCTCTAATACAGGGACAAGATCCACCAGCCCCTCCTGTGGACTAATTTTGTGACACGGGAAGTGAAAATAGTTAACACCTTGCACGACCAAATGAACGAAGATGACCAGAGTACTCTTAACCCCATTAGAACTGTTCTTCCTTTTGCATCTGCAATATAGGATGATACTGTTTTTGTGAGCTTCTAGAATTTTCACTTGCAAGCTTATTTTTTGCTTCCTGTTTTATTACCATTCCTATCCACAGTATATTTGAGTTAATGATTGTGTTTTTAAAAGTTACATGGTTTTTGGTTATCCAAAACTCAAACATTCCACTCATCTTATGTGTAACTGTGATCACAATTTTGGTGATGATTTCTGTCCTGATTGAAGGAATTTGTGATCTCTGCATTTAAATATTTTAAATAGTTTTGATAGGCTTTAAAGTTGATTTTTTCGTAGGGTATTTATAAAGTCATTTAGGGTTGTCTGAGATTATATGGAAGAAAATTAGAACCATACTGTTTTTCTACTTACCTTGGCAGTTTATTTGTGGGTGGCAGTTCTTGGGACTGTGGCAGCCTTTGGAATATTTTACAAGTTACACCTGAAATCTCTATCATCCACTACAACTGGCTTATATGACTAGAAAAGGAGAAGAAATGAAATAATTGTTTACTAAGTTTTTTTATCCCCATAAAATGTCTAATAGTAAGAAAACTTTAAATAAAAATGATTTAAATATGGTGGATGACTTATAGTCCATTATATGACATTTAAAGCCACTGTATACTAAATAGTTTTATAAGGTTCATGAAAGGAGGAAAATAGTTAATTCATTTTGCCTTTGCCAGGTATAATCTATACAGTAATAATTTAATCAGTAATTTATTTTTAAAATGGGTGCCTCAGAAAGCTTTCTTTCTGTTTAAATACTTCCCATATTTAAATGTTAAATGAAACTCTTAACTCTACCTGTACTGGGGGCCTGTTTGCTTACTGACATTTGAATGCTATTTACTTACTTATTTTTTTCTTTGAAGAAAAGTATGAGTATTTTTTTTATCCTTTTGACTTTTAAAAAATATTTGATGAATTCTTGATTTATTCCAAAAGGAGGGAAATGAGAAACAATCAAGGATCTTTTTCCTACCCTATATATCTCATTCTTTTTTGGTAATAGGATGGATTGGGGTGGAGAGGAGCATTAATATAGGTGAAATTTTCAACTGTATAGAAAGTAAAATGTTGCATTGTTTCGGTCAGTTTGAAAGAAAATGATTACAAATGGCATAAAAATAGTCTACATAACCTACGTGGTCTAGATTTTTTTCCTAGCAAGTGATTTTACAGATAATTTATTAGGGCTAGAAGATATTTTGCTATCAGTGTAAGGATTTTCCCTCTAGACCTGTCTAGCTTTTCACTGTATCGACCTGAGAAATTACTTGTATGAATTGAATAAACTTCTCTATGTCATTTTACTGTTTAATGGAGTCTCTGATACAGTTGTGTGATGCTCTTAAGATATTTTCCCCCTTTATTTTAATTATATTCTGGATCATAAACCTTGTAAGGATTTAATTTCATTATATAATCCAGTATTGACTGCTTGCATTTTCCCTGTGCACCTTGGCTTTCTGCTCAACTTCTTGAAAAAATATAACCTATTCTTAATTACTTGTGCTAATCAGGGTATTATAACACAGGTAAGTCAAATCCTGGATAAATAAGTACCATGGAATTAAGGTTTTTCCTCTTGCTGTGGCCTACTGGAAGCCTTCCCAGCTCTATAGGTTTTAAAGTATTTAAAGCAGAAAGGGCCAGAATGACATAAGATGGAGCTAAATGCCTATAAACATTCCTATTTCTGCCCTTGCCCCCCAGAACTTGGAGAGCTTCCACATATATCCGAAAGCCTGTTCTCTAAACTGCTAGAAAGACAATATCTGGTAGAGATCCTGATGTCTACCAGATATCGCTCACAAATACGGCTCACAAATAATTGAGACCTGGCTTTGGTAGAAGACTTGGCTGTGACAAGGAAACAATATCTAGTGTTAGAAAGAGAACTGGAAATCTGGATTCTTATTCCTGGTTCCTCAATTTTGTCACATACATTTAATTGACATTACATCTGGAATACTAACCTTTTCCTATATGGATCATCTGTTTAGTAACAAAAGTTTTTAGTGGAGTATTTAATCTCTGTTTTTTTTGCTTGTAAAGTTTCTCTGTAACCCTGAAAAGAATAGTGTACGACTGCATATAAAATATTCCTGTTAACCTAACTAGTAATTTATATTCTTTTTAATTCCCTAAGCTTCTACACTTGGCCTTTTTATTGAGCACATTCTTATTCATCACTCGGCTTGTAAACATTAACCCAAACTATGGCTACAATTAAATTTAAATAATCTGGAAAAAAAAAGAAAGATAAATCTTCACACTTCAATTACTGTGGGTTCTTAAGCATTCCACAAATGCCATTAAGAATTTATTTTGTTTTAGAGTCATTTAATGTTATTTTACACAAAATAATGGTTTGTTTTTGTTTTTGTTTTGCTTTCCATATGGAAAAAGTTAACATTGGAACTGTGTATAATAAAAGATTTTATCTTGTATCTATCCAAGCCCTATCCCATGATCAGCAAGTCATATTTTAAACAACTTGCAGAGATTTTCTGAAGTAACTATTAAGTTCAGCTGTTCCATAGTTACTTTAGTGTCTGTGATATGATAGTGTCTATGGAATTACCAAATTCTTAATTTTCAAAGGAACCTTGGAAATTTATCTCTCTGAATGAAAGTCTGTCACTCCAAATGAACATGTGCTCAAATTTGACCAGCTCAGCCTAAGACACAGAACAACAACTTGAAGGAGAAATGGAAGTTTACAGTTAGTGGGTTAAATTTTTGTTGTTCAAGTAATAGGTTTAGTTTTAACATTATAGTATTAAATGAAAAAATCATATGTATTTGTTACCATGTCTGATTACTTTGTTAAAAGGAAAAGTGGTCATGTGCTATACTAAATGTTAATTGCTGATTTTAAATGTTTAATCATGCCAAACAAATCATGTCTGTGCCATCCAGGGTTTATTGTAATCTTTTACTGAGTACTTGGATTGGGATAAAGGGCTTGTACTATGCACTTTTTATTAATGAATAAATAGAAAATGTTAGTAACATTCAATGTTTTTTGTTTGGCTTTTCTGGGAAGAGAACCAAGTATCCTGCTTAGTAAAATGTTAACATCCTTTATTAAGCAATTTCTTTCTAAGATTTTTACCCCTCACTAAAGATTTTCCTAAGACAGAACTTTTAAGTTAGAAGAAAAATATTTATATGATAGTAGTATGGGGTCTTACAATTAACCCAGCAAGTACAATTTTGTGGTTACAACATATAGAACAGATGTAAATCTATTACCAGAGCCTACACCCCCAGTAGTTAAGGGTTAAGATTCTTTGCCTTCATTTTTATCGAACAACCTTAAAAACAACCTTTACTCTGTTTTGTCTCACATTGCACCTGTCAACATCTTCCTTTCCCAGTTTCACTAGCAACAGCCTGTTGGAAGCTGATGTCTCAAAGCTTCAAGCATGAATTTGTTAGCCAATGCTAAATCAGAAAATACAAGGCTTAAGAAAATCTTTTACTAAGTAAAGTAATATTGAAAATTATAGACTTGGGGTAGTGAACACCCAATATATTATACAGATGATGTATTATAGAATTGTATCCCTGAAACCTATATAATTTTATTAATGAATGTCACCCTAATAAATTCAGTTAAAAAAAAGAAAGAAAATCCGTTTCTCTATTGAAGAATGGATTAGGCTCATAATTTTCTCCCTCCACAAGATCTAAGCTACTTTTTCACTGTCAGAATATTTTAGGAACTTAGCCACACAGGTGTAAACTGGCAACAGTTAAGGTTGAATTCCTTGTGACCCTTCATATTAATAATTTTTTATGCTAATCTATGAAAGCATCAAAAATATTCAAAGGGTGTTTTTGTTGAAGAAACATAGCTGATAATTTTAAAAACCACTTACTCAGTGCGCTGGCTGGTGTTGCTCAGTGTACTGAACGCTGGCCTGCAAACTAATTTGATTCCCAGTCAAGGCACATACCTGGGTTGTGGGACAGGTCCCCAAGTGGGGACGTGTGAGAAGCAACCAATCCATGTGATCTCTCACACATCAATATTTTTCTCCCTCCCTTCCCCCCACAATGATCTATAAATAAAATCTTTTTTTTAAAAAATCACTTGCTCTGTAATTTTCATCCAGTTCTCAAACTTATGTTTTCATTTTAACGATCTTCTTGTGTGCTAAATGAAAATAGTATTGCCAATAGGTTTTAGCCTTGGGGGAAAGATGTGAAGGTACCTTTGTGTGATCCCTGCTTAATGTTAAGGTAAGCCATTCATTCAGATTTATAGCTATTCTCATAACTAAAAATATATGCCAGAGGCTATCGCATATCATGTTAGCTTATAGTGATTCTCAAACACTCTGGTTTGGAAACCCCAAAGAGCTTTTGTTTGTATGGGTTATGTTTATAAATTTTGCTGTGTCCCAAACTAAAACATGTAAAAGTATTGAGTATTTTAAAATAAACCAAATACATGTTAATATAAAAATTATTAAATAAAAATAACCATTTTCCAAAATGAAAATTTAGTGAAGAGAGTGGCGTTGTTTTATGTTTTGCAAATCTCTTTAATGGCTGGGTTATTATTTTTGCTTCCAAATTCAGTGTTGAGTATCTTCCCTTCTCATTAAGTGGTATGCATGTTAGTTTTCTCTTATTAAAAGACTAATGTTATTTTGACCAGCCTGTGCCTTGACAGCCTCCATTTATTTTAATACAACCTTTGGGTAAAGTCATAAGTGACAGGAAAGTTATAATGCAGAAACTATAAGAGATTTTGCAAGAATTACAACACGGGATCGCTCCAAAGCATTAAGACAACTACAACCTGGGCTACTGTCTAGAAAGCCAGAATCAGTGTGATTAGACAGCTTGGAAAATATACGATTTGATATTACTAAGTTGAAGTACTTTACTGAATAATATTGTAAATTTACCCAGTCTCTCTCCAAAAATTTAGTAGTCCTGCATAATACTCAAATTGCTGTGAAAAGAGTCAAGGTCATAATTTACATGGCATCTGCTATTTGGAATTCAGAACATTCCAACATAGGCCAAAATGTTTCCTGCTTCTCTCAACTTTAGTCTTAACAAAAATAAGTATAAGACAAGGAAAGATAGATTTGAGGTGTCTTGGTTATTAATAGCTGTAGGGGACATCCCCAAAACTAGAATTCAGTTTATCCTTTTGTTTGGCACACAGGGGAATTTTACCCCTAGGGAATAGGTCAGACAGTAAGGTTTTGTTTGGGTGTCATGTAAGCTTTTCTTTTGAAAAATGGATTGTTCTCAGGCAGACCAATTTTGGGAAGGCAGCCTATCGAAGTTGAGGAGCTGGAAACATTCCCTTAAATATATCTGCACAAATTACTATTAGAAGCCAGAATGGTGTGGCAAGGAAAGGGGCGGGGAACAGTATTATCAAAGTCCTACTGCTTTTACTTCCCCATTATATTTCGAATAGATTCACTTCTCTGAATTTCCATGACTACTACCTTGGACATGCTACTTCTAATTCTGGATAAGTGTAATTACCTCTGAAGCTCTTCCCACATTCACTCTTTATTACTCTGACTACCCTTTTCATTTCCCCTAGTTAATGCCTGTGTTTTACCTTTAGGAGCTCAATTATCACAACTTGAAGCATTCCTGACCTACTATGTTAAATACTCCTATTGTATACTCTCATAAGACTATGTATCCCTCCTTAATAAAGAAGTGATTTTACATTTATCTGTGTGATTGATGTTTCCCCACAGAGTAATATTTAGAGGGCAGGAAATGTATCATTCTTTACTCACAATTACATTCCTAGTGACTAGCACAACGCTATCACATAGTCAACTCTCAAAGGAGATAATGAATGAATAGATTTTAAGTTGTAAGGGGAAACTTTATAAATTGAAATCCTACATAAAAATTGATATATAAAGCAGATGACAGTAGAACTGCTCTGATTTGGAGAAGGGAGAGATGTAAGAGATGCAGACCCCTGCCTATTTTAACCTCCCACTTAATTTTCTTTCCTCACAGTCTGACACACCAGAGAAACATCAAGAAGTTCTCAAATTGTTTATTCACAGGACTCCTTTACACATCTAAAATTTTAAAACGCCAGAAGTTTTTTTCCTGTTGATTTATATCTATTAGAAATTAAAACTAGTAAATTATGAAAAATACATTAATTCCTTAAAAGTGACTAAATCGATCTATTACATGTTAACACAAATGACACATTTTAATGGAAAATTAAAGCCAAATTTATAATATTGGTATTGCTTGACATTTTTGTAAATATAAAATGTTACAATCTGTTACAATGTCAACAAGCCTATGGAAAATTCCACTGTATGTTTGTGACAAAATGAGAGGGAATGAAACTAGTAACATTAATTTTATCGTGAAAATGTTTTGACCTCCCGGATCCCTCAAAAGGGTCTCCCAAGATAGCACATTTTGAGAATGGCTGTCCTAGATCTAAAGGTCCATTCTAGCTGATACTGACATTCCGACGTGACTTCTGAGATCTTACTGTTGTGAAGATTAAAATTATCAAAATAGAATGTGAAGTGAATTTTAGGTGAAAAATGTTACATTCAAAATAGGGGGATAATAATAGGTGGTTTTTATTAGAAGCCCAACTGTAATAGGGAAATGAAATCTGTGTATATGCCAAGTTCAAAATGATACCTCTGTTACAGCATTAGTCACATGCATTGCAATTATTTATGTGTTCATTTCTCCTGCTAGCCTGTGAGTTTGAGCGAAGGTATTGGATCTTGATTCATTTTGCATCGGTGGTCTCCACGATAATGTCTAACACTAAATATTTGATGAGTGAATTTAACTGCATAGAACGTACAACGTCTACGTATATTATCACACTTCCTATAATTCACAGCAAATTATTGTATTTAATCAACGTTTAACAGCTTTTTAAAAGTTACCATGATCCTATGAAGAAAACCATCAATCTATGTGGTTTTAACATGTCTTTATAAACTCATCACTTCCCCCATGACGTACTTAAAAATGTTTTGACTTTAAGTACAGATTATGTTATCTGATGCAATTCTTAATTTAATGAGGGAAACCAAAAGTCATGACTGCTTTTATTTGTGGTTTCAACGACCTTGGGGTGGGAAAAGAGAAACAGATCTGCTCTCCACATTAAAAGTGGTCAGCCTCCACACCGTCCCTGGTACACGGCACTTAAGTGTAGGATACTCTACTGCATATCATGCACAGACATCCCAGATCCTGAATTTGGCAGGAGTATCATCTCTGGGGAATATCTCAGAAGGGCGTGGGTGTCCCGCTTCTTCGCCCAGGGAGTCCCGCTTCTTCGCCCAGGGATCAGGGCGGGGGACTAAATGGTCCACTCATGTCTGGACTCAGCATCCTCCAGACGTAAGGCACCTCCTTCCCAGAAGCGGCGGGTCGGGCGGGGTCTGACTAAATCTTAGGCCTCAAGCCCAGAGGGTGTGGCGGACCCAGGGGCCTGAAGGGTGTGGGAGGGAAGTAAGCTGCCTGCCCAGTCGGACCCTCAGAGTCTAGCGGGAAAAGACAAGGCCAGTCATCCAGGCTGCTAGGGAGATCCGAAGGGGGGCCGGGACCTTCCGCAGCCCCTGAGTATAGCTGATCTGGTGCGCATGCGGTAGCACCTCAGAGCGGTCCCTTAGCCAGGAACCGGGCACAGGGAAGGAAGTGGGGCTAAACCAAAGTCCAACGCCTCTGCCGGCCGCGGTGGTCTTGCGTCCGGGCGTCAGCCTCACAGCTGAAGCGGATCAGTTGCGCACGCAGCTCCCCCTGCGTCTCTCCCGACAGGGGCGGGGCCACTGATCTGGCCAAAGTGGATACGTCCTGGCTCGCCCAGGGGCGAGGCCTGTCCTTCCGCCCCGCCCCCGCCTCTCAGCTGCAGGAAGTAGGGGCCTGGTCTCGTGTGGCGGGAGGAGGAGCAGGGTTGCGGCGGACGGTCTGGCAGGGCCTGGCTAAGGGGGAATGAAGCCTCCTCCTCCTCCAGCAGAAGGCCTTAAATACGGGCCCACGACTCTGGGTGCGGTGAGAGGCGATCTGGCGGAGCTGCGGCATTGCACCCCGGAGGGAGGAGTTGTTGGAGCCGTCGGGATAGGAGCGGAAGCTACGAAGTGGGTAAGCGCCTTTCCCGGGCTGGCCCCGCCACCGTTCGGGATGCTCCGACTCCCGGCGGCGTGTGGAGGCAGCGGAGCCGGGGTGCCCGCGCTGCTCTAGGTCGCTCCCTGCGCTCCGTCCCCGGCTTCCCGTCTCACGACCCCCGTCTGCTCTTTCAGGCTCTGGGCGGGAATCGTCGTTTGGATCTGCTGCCCTGGCGATGGTATAGCTTGGGTGCTCTTATTCCAGACTCGCCAGTCTTCCAGCCGCATCTCTTTCTGCTTTTCCTTACTTTCCGACTTGAAATACAGGAGATTTGCGCGGCGTCTCGAGAAAGCCACCGAAGGAAGCGGTCCTCCGGCTGGGGATCCCATTTTGGTCTCAGAGGCATAGTCTTTTGTTTGTGTAGTTTGCTCACCTGGGGGCGGCTGCTTTCCTCGCTTCATTGGCCGCCCCTCTTAAGAAACTAACGAGAAAGCGAAGCTAGAACGCCCTTTTGATTTGAGGGCGAAATCCTAAGATATTCTGTCGTAACTTCTGTATGGGCTGTCCTGGAATGCCTTGTTGCCCACCACACCATATTCTTGCTTTATTTCACGTCAGGGAAGGCCTTTCTTGGGTGTTTTGAGGAGATCATGTATGTGTGAGATCTTGATACACGATACCCGCTTACATAGGAAGATAACTGAGTAGGATTGAGAATCCTGGCATGTAGAAAAGAGGGATTCACTGGTAGGGAGCCGTTTACGGATATACAGAGGAATGGCTGTCCATTGACTGCCCTCAAAGACACAGTGCGTCTTTGAGTTTCTTCAAATCCCCTAAGAAATAGAGAACAGTAGTCTGGTCTGTTTCATCAAGGAGGTTCTGGAAATGAAAGAGATTCCTGTCTGCTCTGAGATGTGCTTGTTAGCACCCAGCATCTAGTTCAAGGTAAGTGGTAGACAACCCTGCTTGAAAGGATCGCATTGCTTCTGCTGTTGCTGCACTTCTTCCTCTAACATAAAATCTGTAACTAAGAAGCATATTCCATCTTTCCTCTTGCTGTTTCCACAGATTAATATGATAACCTTTAGATACAACGTTAACACTCTCACTGGTTAGGTATCTTTCCTGGTCAGGCATCTTTTAGTATTAAATTTTTGAAAATGACTAAGATGACTTGTGAAATTGATATATCCAGCTATAGTTAATCCTTTGCTTTGGTTACTGGGTAATGATGCAGAGTATACTAAAGAGGGGTGGGGTGGAGGAATTGTATTTAGTTTAGATTGTAGTTACCCCCATATTCTAGGTGGAAACTTGATCTCAATTTATAAGACTTTAAATGAAGAGTAGTTTTGGAATGACCTGGTTTGTTGTGACTTTCCTAAAACACAGAGGCAAAAACTCATTTCAAACTGACTTAGAGAACAAATAGCCCCATTTCCCTAACAGCACAGTAGAGAGGGTCAGAAGGTACATAAAAGTAGAAATAGAAAATGGAATCAGAAGACATCTGTGTCAGGGAAAGTATATCACTAACACTGTATCAAGCTACATATTAAAGCTTATTGAAGATTTTATTGAAACTTTCAAGTGATAATTTATTTGGATTTGCACAGATTGTACATTTAGCTTCTTCCGTAATTTTCCCATTGTCATCCACAAGCTATACTTGTGAAACAGCAACACAGGGATTCCAGAAACATACAGGGTCTGGCACAAGTAACACCCCTTTTTATTACGAAATCTTCTATTACAAAATCATAAGCATGCAATTCCGTAACATAACACTGTCATGCTCAAGCACACCATATGACATTTTAGGTGAAATGTTCAAATTAAACTATAAATTATTATCCTGCCAACCACACTCAAGCAGGCATTACTTCTGTCGGACCCTGTATGTAGTTCTATAATACAGGTACACCAACTATAAAAAATTTGCCCAGCTGTTGTATGTGGGGCAAGCTGAGTACAGCCTGGCTATCAGGATTGGTAAGAAATAACTGGGAAGACGTGCCGAAGTTTTACCTAAAAAAAAAGAGGGTGATAGGATTCTGGACAATCTGTGCACAAATACTATGATCAGCCATCTGAGCTAAAGATTCAAATAATAGTCTTCATTTTAAAAAGACTCTTATGGAAAGTTTCTCATTCACTCAGTTAATATATATTGAGAGCCTAGTGTTCTAGGTGTTGAGGTGAACAGAAGCAGGTAAGAACTGTTAGCCTGGGAGCACCTTATTAAACTATGAACTTCTTGAACCCAAGTTGCCTCATGTACAAATTCAATCAATTTAATTTTTTTTTTTTTTACTTTTATTAGCATTTATTTTATGCTGAATTTACTCCCTTGCCATAAGTTTTGTTTCTTCAGTTTCTACAGGGATATCTTTTCCTTCTCTGCAGCCTCCTCTTCTGCTTTAGGAACAATCTGCTCTTTTTCAGTGAGGATCATCTCCATGTGTCAGGGAGAGCTTGTGTACAGGTTAATCCACCCATGAGCTCTATAAGTTCTGTGCCACATCTTGGGAGCTTTGTTCACCTGAATGTACTCAGTGACCAGAAAATCAACATCTCAACCCTTCAGTTCAGCATTACTCTCTGCATTTTTAAGCATGTGCAGCAAAAATTCATCACTCTTTTTAGGGGTGTTGACCCTGTATGCAGCCCCACTGTGTGACCTGGGCACACCTACCAACTCCACCATTGTAATGATGGAATGGCACACATTGCTTCTATATAAGTGATACCTTTCAGACATGTGGTGGCTTTTCTGACATGCATACCCTTGATGGCCTGGGCAGTTTCACAAGTTTTCTTAAAGTGAACATGAAGATTTGAACTTCTTGATCTGCATAGTTTTGTGGTCTTTTCTGGGTCAAGTAAATAGTGGACCATTTTCAGAGTTCACAGTTTGCTTCTGGGAAGAGCTTTATCCATGGTTATTATAAGAATGTTGGCAGAATCTGCTGTTTTGTTTGAGATAGAGGGCACAGACTGCCTTATTAACCTCTTAGCTATGTGGTAACCTCCCCAAATCCTCTGGTCCAAAAATACTTTAAGATTCCACTTTTTAGGTATTCTATATTAGCTTTAATTAAGAGAAAGAGGTTGGCCAGCTGTCCAGTAAGAGTATTACAGTGAAGTAGTTCTTCAGGTTCATTATAGTTTAGGACTTGATCTTCAGCCTTACGTATCTTGAAGGTAGTACCCCTCCCACCCCCCGCCGCCTATTAGCCCAGAGTTAATGAAGCTTTAGATGTTAAGCTGATGAGTAAGCTGATAAGAGACTGATGAGTACACTAGAGTGGAACTTAGCTATTACAGTAGAGACATTTTCCAGTATCTGGATACTCGGATACTCCTGTCTCAAATTCAGGCATCCCTTTCTAGTACAATGGTTCCTGGAAATCTGAATTCATAAGGCGCCATGGAATCAGAACAAAGAATGTTTGAGGAACGTGCCGTCCAAGCATTGGGAAAGCCCATTCTTGCCCTACATCCCTGAAACCAGGATACTTCTGACTTTCAGATTCTCTGCCACTCTTCTTTAGACAGTGCTGAAATAAACACTGTCATTCTTGTTCTTCACTCCCTCTTTCCAGGCTGATCATTCCCTTTGCTAGCACCGCTTCCCCTTTTTTTAGTGGAATTATTAGATTTTAGCTACATTAATGCCATTGATTTTTATGTTACTTTCAGCTACGTTACCTTAAGTTACTAAATTTATAGCCTCATGGATTGTTATGGTTATGCTTTCCTGGAAGGGGCATTCAGGACCCACTTTCAATTGATTTCCACCCTAGGAGACAATTATTGCTGCTGCTCTTAATACCCATTTTTTTGTCTTTCAATTATATCATTCCCTGAATTGTTAACTACTTTAATGTCAGGACCCTTAAATTGGGAATATTAACTATTCATGAAGGTAAATATGGGAATAGGCCTGAAGCAAGTTGAAGCAATTTTTTTGAAACCAGATGCCACATCTTTTCTGTTGCAGAGGTGGAAACAGCAGCAGTGAGTGCTGGAGACATATCTTTGGTAAACCTGCTCTAGGCTCAGAAGTTCTTCCCGCAGGTGGGCAGTTTTCAGAACATTTCCTGTGAGCTTTAGGCATTTAGTAATCCCAATGCAGTTTTCCTTTTTCCTGGTGAATATAGGACACTTGAGGCCTAGAAAGTGGTGAGGGGCAGAATGTCGAAAGTAGAAGAGTGAAGATGTGAAGGATTTCTGCAAAAAGTGAATTTTGTATTTTTGCTGAGGTGAATCTTGCAATCCTAAATGTCTAATAGGAATATCATATTTTTATGGCTTTACAGTGATACTAGGGAACTGTTCACCCACTTCATTAGATTTTTAAGGGGAGAATCTACCAGATTTAGCATGGTTTTTCTGGAAGTACATCCACAGTATACAGTATAACTTGGAAAAAAGCAAGAGAGAGGAGAGGAAATGGGTAGGCCTTCCCAATGTATTAAGTGAAATAAACAAATGTTAATAGTGTGTATGGTATTCTGTCTTTTGAGTAGGAAGAAAGGATTATTAGAATATATGTACATATTTATTTGTATTGTATTAAAGACACAGGAAGGATACAAAAGAAACTAATGAAGGAGTTGCTTGTGGAAGGAAAGCGGATAGAGATGGGGTAGATGTGAGGCTTAGAGTATATAACTTGTTATATAGATTTGATTTTTGAACCATATGAATGTATTACCTATTCAAAACAAAAAATAAATTAAAAAATTCACTTTTATGTGTATCACTAACAATATTGCTTTCTACTCATACTTACTGTTTTACTAAAATTATGTTTCTTTTTATAGTTCAAAAAAATCATTAGCGATGACACTTTATGAGTTGATATCTGCTAATTATGACCACTGAAGACCAATTTATAAGCCAGGTTAATTGTTAATAATACAGGTCAGAATACTTATATGGGTTGGTGAGCCTCATTCTTTTTCAGTAGGGAAATCCACCCAGAGAACCAGTGAAGGTTAGAACATTGATTAATATAGATTCAGATCAAAGGGAATTGGATCATATTAATTACATGCTTTGTACATCTTTTTTCATAATAGGGATATACTTGCCAGGCATTATAATTAGATCAGCCTTCCAGATTAGCTTTCTCTGATTCATGCAGGAATATGCTAACAAATTCTTAAACTCTCTGATACTATTTTCCTTTTCTTTGGAATCCATGAATTATATGATGTCTGAGGTCTTGGCAAGGGCTAAAATTCTAAGAATTTGATCACTTTAACAGTTTTCATCCTCATTATAATGAATAAATTGTCATTTTTATGTATAAATCAGTCCTTTGTAATTTTGATTGGTGTAAATCAGTTTACCTAATAGTTTTTGAAAACCTATCAAAATCTGTGCAACAAGTTTGGTAACTACAGAAATTACTTTCCTTTAACCATCTTATGGTGTCAGATTAAATTTGAAGTTGAGTTTAAGAACATCGTCAACTACCTAAAAGTAAACTGCTGAAGCCAAATTGGGCAGGGAATGTAATCTCAGAGGCCAATTCTGGACTTTAGAACTAATCTTAGTATCTGCTTTGTTAGTCTGAACCTATCCCAAGGCGGACCTTTGTATACCAGCATTAATTGTATCAAGAATTGCACTGGTATTTTACCCTTGAACTTTCCCTCTCCAATCAAAGTTGTCCTAGCTTATTAAAGCCCTAAGGAAGGTTTTATTTTTCTTCTTGACTTTCTAAATATTAGGTTATTATACTCCTTGTGGCTCTCCTCCAGTAATATCAGTTATTGTAATTTTTTCCATATGTTTCATACTAGTGCATCCAAGAATAGGTTTGGCCATCCAACTGGAATGTTATTTTTTTATCACTATTTTCATAATTCTTAATGAATGTGAATGTAGGAAATCTTTCCAAATATGCCACCTTGACAGTTATTAAAAAGTGTGATTAATGTGCAATGTGATTTTAAATTTTCTGTTGTCAGTACAACAGTCTTACTCTTTCCCTTCTAGTACAATCATGTTTGAAGTTAAGAAGATCTGTTGCATCGGTGCGGGTTATGTTGGAGGACCCACATGTAGTGTCATAGCTCAGATGTGCCCTGAAATCAAGGTAACGGTTGTTGATGTCAATGAATCAAGAATCAATGCATGGAACTCTCCTACACTTCCTATTTATGAGGTAAACCATTTAAAACAACTCTTTGTTCTTAAGCTCTTTGTTTTCTTACTCTTTTTGTGAAATAATTTACTATTGATATAAAAATGTATGACTGGAACTGATAAGAAATTATATGAAAAAATTTAGATATATAGTATGGACATCATGATTACAGTTATGTCAAGCATGACCATGGAAAATGACTGGAAAGAAGTATATTAGAATATTATTAATGATTGTATTAGTACAAGGAGATTATAGGTAATTTTTTCTCTCTCTTTGAATTTTGTCTGTTAGTATGGTTACCATACTATAAGAAAATTAAAAAGTGGCATTCCGTAAAAATAAAATAAAACTAGCTGTTTATAATATTAATACATATGTCTGTTATATTTTTTGAATTATTGTACTTATATCAGGTAAATATTGGATAGATAAATGGTTACCTTAATATTTAGTGTTTAGTAACACAAATTTGGTTAATTAGAGTTTCAAAATTTCTGTGAATTTAGGGTAGGGAATTTATAGTTAAGAAAATGTGCTTTAAACTATTTTATTAAGCTTAGTCCCATTTTTTATTATTTCACTGTAAAATGAGTTTATGATATGCTTTTGAAGGCCAATAGGGAAGCATTTAAAATTTTTATGGTAGCACTTTCTATCATTCATATATATATTCTCTGCCACCCTCCCCCCAACTCCTCTGAAAAACTTTGTTATTTATAAGACTGTTATTAACCATAGTCTTTAGGCACGTTTGGCCTTTGGAAGGGGAAAGCTCAACTCAGTTCTATCTGCTATTTATAGGCATATAAAACAGAATTCCATGAAAAGCACCCATAGATTAGTAGCAACTCATATTTGAACCAGGCATAAGATTTAAAGAAAAACACCAAACCCTCTGTATGTGATAGCTTCTGTTTGTGGTTTATCCTTTCTTCTACCAGATGACCTCCCCATAGTAGTCCTTTAAATACCTCAATATTAGAGCTTTCTTTCCCTACTATAAGTATAACATTACAACTATATTTGGTTTGGGGATATTTTTAAAAACATTTTGGAATGATGACTTGATAAAGAGTTTTATAATTCTGATATCCATAAAAGGGCTACAGTCATCTGAAACCTTGTGAGCTATATTTATATTCAATCATTTAGTAACTAATTCTGCCAGCAGTGTACTTTAGTCTTTAAAAACAAAGGGCACCCATCAGAATGGCTAAAATTATTATTACTGATAATACCAAGTGTTGACATAGATTTAGAGAAACTGGAATTTTATATACTGTTCGGCAATGTCTAGTAAAGCTGAAAATACATATAGTTCATAACCTGGCAATTCCACTGCTAAGTGTATATCCAACAGAAATGCATACATATGCACACCAAAGACAGATATTAACAGTGCTATTAGTAATAGTCCCAAATGGAAAACAACCTAAATGTTTGTTATTAGAAGGATGGGATACATAAATTATAGTTTAAATCCTGCAATAAAATACTACAGTGCACTGAAAATGAATGAAACTACTCCAGCATGCAGGAATATGGTTAAATTTTCACAAAACTAATGTGTTATCAGACACAAAATAATATATACTGTATAATTCCATTTGTGTAAATTACAAAAATTGACAAACTAATCTACTTCAGCATGATGATAAGTTGAGGTAGTGACTAGACGAGGACACACTGCAGGCTTTGATTTACTGTTCTAACTCTTCATATGGATAGTGGTTACATAGGTGTGTTCACTTGTGAAAATTAAACTATACATCTTTTATACAAATGTTTATGTACTTTTCTGTATTTTTAAAAAGATTTTATTAGTTTATTTTTAGGGGAAGGGGGAGAAACATTAATCTATGGTTTCCTCTTGCATGCCCCCTGCTGGGGACCTGGCCAGCAACCCAGGCATGTGCCCTGACTGGGAATTGAACCAGTGATCCCTTTGGTTCCCAGGTTGGCACTCAATCCACTGAGTCACACCAGCCAGGGTTATTTTTTATTTTATTTCAATTAAAACTTTACTTAAAAACAAAAAAACAAAGGGTATCTTGAACTAGAAAAAAAAGTATAAATTATCTGTAATATATCAGAACTAGACTTCTTTATTGGAAAAAAGAAAAAATTAGTTACCCAGACATATTCTCTGGCCAGGTTCTTAATTGGTCAGATTCTTATTATTGGTATTTCCATTATTTGAAATCTGAATTATTCTTCCTGAGACTTCAGTGCTTTAAATTTTAAATAGTGTGTTGTAGCAGATCCAGGATGGTGGTGGAGTAGGTGGAAGCTGCACACACCTTCCAGGTCCAGAGTGGGATTACAACTAAATTATACCACAATCAACCTGAAGAACAAACTGAAAACCAGCTGAACATAAGTCTTATGACAAATTATTTACAAAAGAAGCCACATGGAAACTGGTGAGAAGGGCAGTGATATGAAAAGGGCTGGCCCTGGACCTATAAGCAACAGTTGAGAATCTGGAGGGATAGCTCACCTGAAAAGTTCCCTCCAGAGGAGCAAGGGATCTGAACCCCACTCTGGGCTCTCCAGCCCAGAGCACCAGAGCCAAGAAGAAGAGCCTAAATAACATCTGGCTGTGAATATCGGTGGAAATTCCATCAGCCAGAGAGACGGGAGTAACCGAGGTGCCCTCTTAAAGGCTCAGCACACACAATCTTGGTACTAGCCACTCATCCTGGGCTCTGGTGGAGGGAAGGCGGCTTGGAGTAGACTGGAGTCTTACAGGGAGAAACTGGGTTGTGTACTTTCAGGGAGAGGGCTAAAGGGACAGCCATCATGGTCCCTATTCTGAGTCCTTTTCTCACATTGCCCACAGATGCCATCTTCCCTGGGTTAAGCATTCCACTTAATATAGCATCAGCTTGGGGGAATGCATTAGCCCACCCTCCTGACTCCCTGTTGCCCTCCCGTGTTGAGTTCAGGGCCTTGTGGAAGAGTTGGCTGTCTCTAGCCAGCCTGGGCCTGCAGAGCAGACTTCCTTGGGGAGGCTCTTGAGGTCAGGGTCGACTTGAGGGGTGGCAGAGACTGAGTTGTGTGACTCTATGGCAAGGGCCATTTTTCCCTTCGCGTGCCCGATCTGCACCACTGTTCCTGTGTAGAGCCCTCCTTCCATACAGCCAAATCTTGGTCTGTTTTAGCCTGATGAATTCTGCTGGCCTCACCCTGATGACTCCCAGAGATCCTGCCCCACCACAAAGGTCTGCAGGCCCCAAGTGGGTGGTGGCTGGCCCAAGTGAATACAGAGACTTTTGCTGAGTGCCTCAGACCCAGCATGGTGCCAGGTTTGAATCTGTGTCAGCCTTGTAAACACTACTCACCACAACCTGGTGACTCACTGAGAACCTACCTCATGCAACTTGCATACTCCCAGAGGCTCTTTCAGTGACTGATCCTAACAGCCAGCAGCAGAGGCAGAACTTGGGGTGCCTTGGCCTATGCTGACCTGCCCCCAGGCTCAGTGCTTGTGAAAGCTGGCCTTGGTACTCGGCGTGGCCTCTCCCGTGCACACCAAGGCCCAGTAAAGGCAGTTTAGGTTGCTTTGTAGCTCCAAACAAGTAGCCCAGGGCCAGTTACAGGGAGTGTCTGATGTTGACCTGTACTGGAGCCCCTCTCAAGAGGCCCCAGAACCTACACACCAGGTGGTGGGTATCAGGCCACATCAGAGCCCAGTTAGCTCTACAGCACAGTCAAAGGGAGATCTCAGCAGGCACCAGGTACTGTTGGGGCCAATTCTCCTTCGTGGTCATTCCTCTGGACAGCAGTTTGCACACGGCGATCAGGGTCAGTCCTCATAGCCAGTCAGCTTGAGGACCAACCCAACCCACAGATGGAAAAACAACGATCAGGACTCAACTACAATAGGAAGGCTCACATAGCCTACAAAAGAGACATTCTTGGAGCACCTAGTTCAGGTCATCAGGGAGACTGTACCACTGAGCCCCATAGAACACCTATTACATAAGCCACCATGCCTAGACTGGGAGACATTGAAAATCTACCTAATACACAGAAACAAATACAGGGAGTCAGCCAAAATGGTGAGACAAAGATACATGCACCAAATGAAAGAACAGGAGAAATTTCCAGAAAAAAGAACTAAGTGAAATGGAGGCAAGCAATCTACCAGATACGGAGTTCAAAACAATGTTACAAGGATGCTCAAGGAGCTTAGGGGAAGAATGGATGAACTCAGTGAGAACTTAAAAAAAAGAGAAAGTAAGCACTTAAAGGCACAAATTATAAAAAAGAACCAGTCAGAAATGAAGAATATAATAACTGAAATGAAGAATACATTAGAGGAATCAACAGCAGATCAGATGAGGCAGAGGATCAAATCAGCAATCTGGAAGACAAGATAGCAGTAAAAACCCAAAGAGCAGCAAAAAGAAAAAAGAATTTTAAAAAATGGGTATAATTTAAGGGGCCTCTGGGAAAACATCAAGTATAATAACATCCACATCATAGGGGTACCAGAAAGAAGAGAAGGCAAGGGATTGAGAATCTATATGAAGAAATAATAACTCAAAACTTCCCTAACCTGGTGAAGGACAAGACTCACAAGTCCAGGAAGTGCAAAGAGTGGGAAACAGGATGAACCCAAAGAGGTCCACACCAAGACACATCATAATTAAAATGGCAAAGGTTAAAGACAAAAACCTCTTATGAGCAGCAAGAGAAAAAGCAGCTAGTTACCTACAAGGGAGCTCCCATAAAACTATCAGCTGATTTCTCAACTGAAACATTTCAATCCAGAAGGGGTTGGCATGAAGTATTCAAAGTGATCAAAAGCAAGGGACTACAACCAAGACTACTGCACCCAGCAAGACTGTCATTTAAAAAAAAAAAAGAAAGAAAGAAACTTTCACAGATAAGAAAAAGCTGAAAGAATTTATTACCACCAAATGAGTATTACAAGAAATGTTAAAGGGGCTTCTTTTTAAGAAAATTTTTTAAAGATTTTATTTATTTACTTTTAGAGAGAAGGGAAGGGAGAGAGAAGGAGAGGGAGAAGAAACATCAGTGTGCAAGAGATACACAGATCAGTTGCCTCTTGCATGTCTCCAACTGATGATCCAGCCTGCAACCCAGGCATGTGCCCTGATTGGTAATTGAACCAGTGATGTTTCGGTTCATAGGCTGGCCCTCAAAACCCTGAGCCACACCAGCCAGGGCGAAAGGGACTTCTTTAAGAACAAGAAAGAAAATAAAAAAGAGGAACACAGTTATAAAGAATAACATAGCAATAAATATTTACCTATCAGTAACTACTTTAAATGTAAATAGATTAAATACTCCAATCAAAAGACGTAGGGGAGCTGAATGGATAAGAAAACATGGCCCCTGGCTGGTGTGGCTCAGTGGATTGAGTACCAGCCAGCGAACCAAAGGTCGCAGGATTGATTCCCAGTCAGGGCAAATGCCTGAGTTGCAGGCCAGGTCCCCAGTAGGGGGTGAATGAGAGGCAACCACACATTGATGTTTCTCTGCCTTTCTTTCTCCCTCCCTTTCCCTCTGTCTAAAAATAAATAAGTAAAATCTTTAAAAAAATTTATTTAAAAAACTCTTGTAAACGTGTATGTATCCAACCGAGCATCTGACTATATAAAGCACATCTTGATGGACATAAAAGGAGAGATCAATAGTAATACAGTCATAATATTTTTATTATGGGATTTTTAAAAAAGATTTTATTTATTTATTTTTAGAGAGAAGGGAAGGGTGGGAGAAAGGGAGAGAAACATCAATTGTTTGCCTGTTGTACATGCCGCAACTGGGGAAATAAGCTGCAACCCAGGCATGTGCCCTGACCAGGAATCGAACTGGCAACCTTTCGCTTTGTGGGATGATGCCTAACCAACTGAGCCACACTGGTCAGGGCCATAATAGGGATTTTAATTCTCCATTGACATTAGTGGATACATCATCCAGAAAGAAAATCAACAAGGGAAAAACAGCTTTAAATGACATACTAGATCCAATGGATTTAATTGATATTTTCAGATCATTTCATCCCAGAGCAGCAGGATATGTATTCATTTCAAGTGCACATGTAACATTTTCTAGGATAGACCACATACTAGGACACAAAACAAGTTTCATTAAATTTAAGAAGATTAAAATTATATCAAGCATCTTCTCTGACCACAGTGGTTACAGTGGCTATTGTCAACAAATCAACTAACAAGTGTTTGTGAAGATGTGGAGAAAAGGGAATCTTTGTGCACTCTTAGTGATGATACAGATTAGTGCACCCGCTTCGGAAAAGAGCATAGAAGTTCCTCAGAAAATTAAAAATAGAACAGCTTTATGACCCAACAATTTCTCTTCTGGGTATGTACTTGAAGAAACTAAAAACATTAATTTAAAAGAATATATGCACCCCCTATGTTCATTGCAGTGTTATTTACAATACCCAAAATATGGAAGCAGTCCAAGTGCCCATCAATAGATGAGTGGATAAAAAAGCTATGGTACATATATATGATGTAATATTACTCAGCCATAAAAGAGAATGCAATTTTATCATTTGCAACAGCATGGATGGACCTAGAGGGTATTCTGCTACGTAAAATCAGTCAGTCAGAGGAAGACACACCATATGATTTCACTTATGTGGGGAATATAAAGAACAAAATAAATGAATCCACAAAATAGAAACAGACTTATAGATACAGGGCACACACTGAGGTTGTCAGAACTTTTCGGGGACTGTGTGAAAAAGGTGAAAGGATTAAAAGGTACATACTGGTAGTTACAAAGTAGTCCCAGGGATGCAAAGCACAGCATATGGAATATAGTCAATAATATTGTAATAACTATATATGGTGTCAGGTGGATACTGAAAATACCGGGGTAGGGGAACACTTTGTAAAGTATGTGGTTGTGTACTATGCCCTACACCTGATACTAATAGAAAATTGGCCTTGACAGCCTCTTCTTGGACTCTGGAGAGGATGAATAAACAAGGATGAATAAAGATATAGTTTTGTTAGTGGAAAAATGAAATAAAGGTGATTGACATGTTGGTAATCTTAACTGTCTGGAATTGAGAGGTAAAATATTCTGAAGAAAATAAAAAGGGTAGTGTTGGATCAAGGACTTGCGAGTAGTAAAGGTTCAGAGCAGTACAGATGTCCTCGACTTATGAATGGTGTTACACTCAGATAAACCCATTGTAGTAAGTTGGAACTGTTGTAAGTCAAAAATTCATTTAATACACCTAATCTACTGAACATTGTAGCTTAGCATATTTTAAACATGTTCAGAACGCTTAAATTAACCTATAGTTAAGCAGTTATCTTGAGTTTCATCTCAAGAGTAATTGCCTTCCTCTTCTCACCAGAAGTAGGAGACACAGATGTTTTATAGACATGGTATCCAAAAAATGCAGGCAACACATTACACTGTAGGGTAGAGTATCCCTCATCATCACTGCTGCTGGCCTGAATCATGAAAAAGTATGGTACTGTGTATCACTACCTTGTGAGAGATCAAAATTCAAAATTTGAAGTATAGTTTGTACTGAATGCATATCATTTTTGTATCATTTTTAAGTCAAAAATTGTAAGTCAGGGACTGTCTGTAATCTCAATAGAGAAGATAAGTAAAAAGATTTATCAGGCCACATTGAAAACCACCTCAATATACTTAAGGTCCATGAGTTTATGTTTACTGTGGTTCTTTCTAATCTTATAGGCTTATGTTTTATGGGTCAAAGCTGTATTAATAAAAAAGTAGTCATTTTTTATTTCATGAGAAAGAAATAGTAATGACTATAGGTGAAATGTGGTAATAAGATACTAAAGTTTTCACTTAGAAGATAGTACAGTAGGTACTGTTAATATTTAACAATTAAAACATTTTGTGTGCTACCATATTTATTGAATAGTCATTGCTTTTTTTGTTAACTTTGTTCATTAAAAAGTTTAATAACTACGTTTTTAAAAACAAAATGGATAATTTGCTTTTCTTTTTCTGTGTAAAGATAATTTTACCCTGTGACAGGTCTTGAGTTCTTCCATAAAAAGTACCATATAAATTCTAAATACTAATTATGATAATTACATAATGAGTCTAATGAGAGGTAGAACCTATATTGTTAACTGCTTCTGCATCACTTTTGGAGATTACAAATATTCTATTAGATTTAGTAGAATAATGTAGTTGTTAATTTTGAGGTCTTATTGACGCTTAGTATAAATTCTGCATTGCTCTGATTTTAGTTACTTTAATTTAAATACAGTATTAAGAGATTATATATAGGACTAATTTAAATTTCCTCTGCAAGATCTCCAAATCCCATAACCCTTTAGTCTCATTTTGTAGAACCTACTATGATTGTTGACATTATATTCATGGTTTCAGTAGTTCATATATTTTGCTGGTCCTAGTGTATATTTTAGTCAAGTTAATGGAAATTGAATTTACATTTTATACTTCCTATAATTGCTTATGTTCAAAGACTTCAGAACCACGAAGAAAAGTGAATTGCCTCTGGATATAATTCTAAACCTGTAGCTCCTGAAGTGACATTTTACTTTGCTATATACATGGATAGTTACATAAACAACTATAGGATTGTGGGTATTGTTTGAACCTCTCCCCCAAGAAAAGTAAGCTTGAGTGCTTTAGGGTTTCTTTTTTTTTTCTTTTTATTATGGAAAGTTTCAAGTGTAATAAAAGCACAGAGAATAGGATAATGAATCCCCATAGGCCCATCACCCTGTCTCAATAATTTATCAACATGGGTCACCCCCCTCGCACTGCTACCATCCTGATTATTTATAATTTTATCTGTAAACATTTCATTATGTATGTCTAAAAATAATTGTTTTTAAACCTAAGCACGTCACCATTATCACTGCTAAAGTATTAAACAGTTTCTGATATTCTTGATAAAGAATATCAAGAATTCTTATCAGTGTCCTTCCTCCGTTTGTTTATTTGAAATCAGAATCCAAGTAAGACTCATGTCCAACAGATTTTTATCGCTTAAGTGTCTTTTAAGACCAGAATATTTTAATCTCTCTTTCTCTCTCTCTTTTTCTCTTTAGTTTATTTGTTGAAGAAACAAAGTTGTTTATCCCATAGAAATTTTCAGTGTGCGTTTTGCTGATTGGACTGGTCTGATGAGATTTAGACCTGATATTTTTTGGCAGGGAGAGGGTGGGACTACTGGTTAGGTAGTGTTGCACAGCTTAATATTCTTAACATTAGTATATCTCCTGTTAAATTGTATGGGAGAAATAACAGTTTTCATTAGAAGTGCCTCTTGCCCTGTCCAGGTACAGGTTGGTTAGGGAGTAGTCCTGATAGGACAAGGTTGTGGGTTCCACTCCCAGTCAGGGCACATGCAAGAATCTACCAATGAATAATGCATAAATAAGTAGAAAAACAAATTGATGTTTCTTTCTCTCTCTCCCCTGCCAAAAAAATCAGTTTTTTATAAAAGTGTTTTTTACGATAGAACTTAGGAAAAATACATGTTTATGTATGTGTAAATATTGACTGTTTCCCAACCAGTTATTTGGCCTAAATTCTTGAAGGCTAAAAAATCTGTGTTCATAATGACAATGTGAAATCAAATGTTTGCTTGAAATCACAGAAGATGTTGAGTTTTCTGATAATTGTGTTGATACTCAGAGTTAATTATTAACTCTTATGAAAGAATCAGGCACATGGTAAACAATGACAAAGCATTAAAATTAGCTGCTGCTTTAATTGTGGTAAGTTTAATTTCTTTATTTAGTAATGTTACATAATATACACTTATGGCCTTTGGTGTATGATCTTTTATTTTTCTACAAAGGTATTTGAGAGCAAGTCTAGACCTTTAACTTACAGTATAAACTTCTGCTTTAACACATGTAATTCTGTACTGTTAGGTTATCACATATGACTAGTAAATAGTGTGTACAGCTCCTTTCCTTTTTTTCTTTTTTAGCCAGGACTAAAAGAAGTGGTAGAAGCCTGTCGAGGAAAAAATCTCTTTTTTTCTACCAATATCGATGATGCCATTAAAGAAGCTGATCTTGTATTTATTTCTGTAAGTATTTTCCTTTGCTGTGTGAATTTTAATATATTCTTGTTTGTACAGGAGTTTCATTCTAGTATATCCATTGTATTAAGCCATAGCATTGCTTAGGATAGCATTGTCTACTTGAATTTTGGTTGTCACTGACTTTGTCCAACACTTCGCCAAATCCTATAGTCATTTGGTCAAATACGTCGTTTCAGATCATTGAACAAATAAATTCAGAGAAAGTTCTGGTCTGAGATCTGGAATTAGGAAGTGCTGGTAATGTGCGAGCACATGTGGTGCTAGTATATTTATTTTATCATTTCTTTTTTCATCTGGCTGGTAGAGGTCAGGGAAAGAGAATCAGGTAAAGTTTGCTAGCAAATTTACAGGCATCTCCTGTCTAGATGAATTATGTTCCAAAACTCATTTTAAATTAATTGTTTAGAACTTGGCATCTGTTGGTTAGGTTGTCAGGCTAGCCCTCAGGTACCTTCAGCCATAATATGGCTAAACTGTTGTACCTTTGTAATGAAAAATATCCAACGCTTGGGAGTAATCTCTGGTAATCCAGTATTTGAACCAGAGTGCCTTATTTCATGCTGTCCTGGTAACCATCTACTCACATATTCTGTGTATAAGGGTATAGTTATCGCCAATTGGTGACTGAGCTAGGATGTTATATGACTTAAGACCGTTAGTGCCTTAGGAATAAAAGGGAAAGCCAGTGGTGCGTCCTGTGAGATAAATGAAAGAAATATCATTAGGTCCATCTACTGTCTATGCATATTGTTAATGGCTGTAAGTTGTTCAATAAAGGGTTGTTTTCTGACTGGTGAGACAAAAGCAGTACTGTGAAGAAATGTGAACTCCAGAAGAAAGTGGTAATGAAGCCAGTCTCTCTTTTTTTGGCCTTTTTAATTACTTCAGAGAAATTGGTGCAGCTTCTATGACTCATCTACCCATCCGGTACTTAAGCTCGCAGGAGATTAGGGTAGAGGCAGAGAAAAATGAGAAAACAGCTCTGGCCGGTGTGGCTCAGTGGACTGAGCACTGGCCTGCGAACCAAAGGGTCGCTGGTTTGATTCCCAGTCAGGGCACATGCCTGCGTTGCAGTCCAGGTCCCCAGTGGGGACGCACGGGAGGCAACCACGCATTGATGTTTCACTCTTTCTCCTCCCTTCCCCTCTGTCTAAAAATAAATAAATAAAATCTTTATAAAAAAAGAAAATATTTTGGAGTAATTAGATACCTGGAGTTAACCTGGATACTTGGAATAAGGTATTCCTGGTTATCTGAGTTTGGATAACAAGAGCCTAAAATGGCAATAAGGGAATATTTTGTAAAAATGTTTTTTAAAATAATTTGTTCTAATAGAGTCCACTGTAGGGAGGTCTGACAGCTGATTTTACATATGCCTCTCAGCCAATCTAACCTGAGCTGCCCTGAATTTTTCCAAGCTATTACAGTATTTGCCTGTTAGGGTACTTATTGCTGTGTAGCTCACTTCTAGTTTCCATTATTCTCTGGGTCAGCTTGTTTTTTTATTAGCTTGTTGTATACTTTTTATTATGGAAAATATGAAACTTATACAAAAGATGAGGAGAGTTATATGACAAACACCTATTTACTCACTCTTCCATTGTCAAATTATCATGGCTGATCCTGTTTCATTTACAACTGCTTTCCCTTTCCCCCACCCCAGATCATTTTTCGGGAAATTCCAGATATGAATGGTTTTATATAAATCAGTTTTCAATTGTTATTTTTGGAGCTCCTTTACCAGAGGAAGCCATGCGATCATCTCCCATCTCTGACATGTTCCACCTAATTCCATTGGCCAGCCTGCATTGCCCTTCTGTACTCCGTTGCACCTAAGTCTCTTCCTAAGTTGTTTCATGCATATAACCTTCTTCCTGCTTTTCACACCTCAAGACAATCTTAAGGATGGATTTATTTTGATTTATTTTGGCTTGATTTCTTTATTTAGTCCTTCAGTAGATTATAAGCTTTTCAAGAGAAGAGAATTGGTGCTACTTATTACAGGTTCAAAAATTATTCCTGTACGGAATTCTAAACCTCTCAGAGTACTTTCATTTTTATTAGAGGGTTATAAAACTCATTGGTTAGATTTTTAGAGAATGTGTTATCTTCATTTTCCAGTGAGGTCATTGAGGCAAAGACAGCCACACTTAATATAATATAGCTAAGCCAAAACTAAATGCCTAGACTCTGGACTCATGATTTGTTTTTCTTTCTGTTTGATAATCTTTGTCTACATAATACTTTGTACCCTGAAGATGCTAGATAATTCTTAGCTTTCAGGAGCCAAGAAAGTATTTGTGAACGGTCCTGCAAACATTTTTTAAAGCTATTGATGGAGGTCTATAAAGAAGGAGAGTAAAAAGGGAGTTTAAAAGACCATGATAATACATCCTATGGAGAGAGGAAAGAGAGAATGTTTACATTTCATTTCACATTGTGAACTCCTTCAGGATAAGAAGTGTTACATTCATTTTTATATTTCCAGGGCTTAGCTTGGATCTTGGCTGCCCTAGTGTCTGACACATGTATGGTAGTTCTCAACAAAAATTTAATAAGTGAATTCTCCAATGCTTCAAGCTATTCCTTCTGGTGATTATACTTACAAACTGTATTGTTTTTGAGGAACTGATAGAGGAGTAAAGTCAGCTCTACTGATGATTGTTAACTTCCCACTTGACTAGCTAAATGATGGTCCAGGACCTTTCTTGAAATCATTGAGTATCTCACAGATAACCTGTTCTTAATCTCGGATACTTCTAACAGGTGAACACTCCAACAAAAACCTATGGAATGGGGAAAGGCCGTGCAGCAGATCTGAAGTATATTGAAGCTTGTGCTAGACGCATTGTACAAAACTCGCATGGCTACAAAATTGTGACTGAGAAAAGCACAGTTCCCGTGAGGGCAGCAGAAAGTATTCGTCAAATATTTGATGCAAACACAAAACCCAACTTGAATTTACAGGTATGTAAAAAAAGGAAGCATTAGAATCCAGTTCTTCTTATGTAAATATTGATGCCTTGAAGTTGTCCATACTTAATTCTAGTTTAAAACTTTCTTTGCATTGGGGTTCTAGGTTCTGTCCAACCCTGAGTTCTTGGCAGAAGGAACAGCCATCAAGGACTTGAAGAACCCAGACAGAGTACTGATCGGAGGGGATGAGACACCAGAGGGCCAGACAGCTGTGCAGGCGCTGTGTGCTGTGTATGAGCACTGGGTGCCCAAAGCAAAGATCCTCACCACTAATACTTGGTCTTCAGAGCTTTCCAAACTGGTTGGTATATAGCATTCAACTCTCCATTAAATTTAAAGCCAAGGATTTATTTCTCTTAAGCCAGTTAAGTTACACAGTTACCTTCTCAATATTAACAAAAGGTATGCTTTTGAAGATAATATTATTATACATTATGAAATAGTTATGAAATAAGTTTCACAAGGGGGATCAAATATTAGTGTATAATATACTCTGGAAAATTCTAAAATTTTAATAAAATGTAAGAAAATGGAGGCTGGAATAAAATAGTAATTATTAAAGTAATTCTTTCCCTTTTTTTACCCTCTTTCATAATCATCTTTAGTTTCTAATTAAAACATTTTCCCATACCAACCTATCTATTGCCTCCTCAAATTGAGCCCATCAATAACTTTTAAGTCTCCCTCAGTAATTTTCACCAACTCAATAAAATATAATCCAGATATCTAAAATTGCTATTTTAGCTTATTATAGATTTTCTATTTTATTTTTTAAGGCAGCAAATGCTTTTCTTGCCCAGAGAATCAGCAGCATTAACTCTATAAGTGCCCTCTGTGAAGCAACAGGAGCTGATGTGGAAGAGGTGGCAACGGCCATTGGAATGGACCAGAGGATTGGAAATAAGTTTCTGAAAGCCAGCGTTGGTAAACAGAAAATTTTCAGTACATACAGTGGGTTCATTTAGCTAGGTCTCTAAATTTAAGGAAGTCTTTTTTTAACTTAATGCCCTTAAAATAATTACCCCATTATACATGTAGCCTTCAGCCAATCAGGTTCTTTTTAAGTGAAGTAACGGTTACTTCTATTGTTTAGTAATTACCAACTGATTAGTGGGATAAGCACAATTCATTGTTTTAGGAGGAATAAATTAGTATTTAGGAAGAATAAGTTTGAGAGACCACACAGTAAATAAATCAAGTAATACCCAAAGCAAGTAGTAAAAAATTTGCTATCATTTGCTTTTCTTACTAATACACTTTTGGAAATATGGCCTTTGTGATCTTCATTAATTGCAGATTCCCTATTTGTGAGTTAGCTTACTCACTAAAGTTTAATTTGTAACCCTAAAATCAATACTCATGGTATTTTCGTGGTCATTTGCAGACATGAACAGAGCAGCAGAAAATTTGAGTCACCAAACCACATACATACACAGCTGAAGCTGAATAAGGCAGTGCTCCTGCCTTCCTGTTTCAGCTTTCATGTTGCAACATGCGCTCTCTTTCGTGGTCTATTAAAGTGCCAAGATTTTTTCATTTTTGTGCTTTTTGTTGGTGATTTCACTGTTTAAAATGGCCTCCAAGTATATTGCTGAAGTGCTGTCTAGTGTTCTGAAGCGCCAGAATGCTGTGGTGTGCTTTCAGGTGATGCGGCTAAGCTTTATTCTTTCGTGAGTTATACTGCTGCTGTCTGTGAGTTCAATGTTAATGAATCAACAATATGTATTAAATAAGGTGTCCTTAAACAAGATTATTTATTGATTGGTTGATGAAAATGTGACCAGAAACCCACAGGACCCTAATCCTGTATTTCACCTAGTAGCAGTGCTTCAGTATTTGCCAATTTGGCAGTTTTGTAGAATATAAGTACCAGGTAAAATGAGAACTGACTGTATTTTTGGATTTAGGTTAATAAGATCGAGGTAAAAGTAAATAGAGCCTTTTACAGATTGAGCCATAGTTAGCCCTTCCAGTATTTCTGGGACCTTATTGCATTTCCAATACTGTTTCCCCTGCCTTTTCTATCTTTTTGGTATTTTCTTCTAGCTACCATGAATTAAAATAGCTACTGTTTACTTGAAGGCATATTATGCACCAAGTTCTGAACCAGCACTTTGTGTATCTCATTAGTAACCCTTATAGAAATGATTGAGGTTCAGGGAAATTTTCGGAACTTGCTCGAAATCATGTAACTAGTGATTAGCTAGGTGTTTCTGACTCCAGAGCCCATGCCAACCCTCCCTGTTGTGTTGCACTATAACAGGAGTGGGTGAAATATGGTCCTCCGGCCAAATCCTGCCCACACCTTAGTTTTGTAAATAAAGTTTTTTTGGAGCATAGCCATGCCATTTGATTGCATGTTGGCTATGATTGTTTTTTGAGCTGCAGAGGCAGAGTTGAAGGGCAGTGCCAGAGACTAGTGGCCCACAAAGATTAAAATATATACTGTTTGGTTTATAAAAACTTGCAGCCCTGTGCTACAGTTAGATGTGTAGGACAGTGATACCAGATGGCTGAGGAGAAAAAAAGAAAATACAGTAATAATAAAACTTTTGCTAGAAAATTATTTGGAATTTATTTATAGAATTGATTTGTTGCTTGCAAATTTCACACAATTTATAAAACTACTAGTTTTCCAATATTCAAATTTTAGTATTAAAAATCCTAGCATAGAGCCTCTGATTTGGTGTGACAGAAATTTGTCACGATTCACTTGTGTGATTCTTAAATGAAAATATTGTCATTTTCTTTTTTCTTTCTTTAGGTTTTGGTGGGAGCTGCTTTCAAAAAGATGTTCTGAACTTGGTTTATCTCTGTGAAGCTCTGAATTTGCCTGAAGTAGCTCATTATTGGCAGCAGGTATTAATCATCATAGTCAACAACTTATGATTAACTTATAATTAAAGCATGTCATAGTTTTTGATAGGATTTATTTATTACAGGAACTCAGCTATTATTATATTCAGTTTTTTACTTTTAGGCTTATTATTTGGTGTTCTGTGTTTTTGTCTTTTGCTAATCAACTGTGATAGAAGTTTCTGATAAACCAGTATTTCTTCTAATTTTATAACTAAATTTGCTCCCAGAGTAAAGCAAGAACTTACTCTAAATTATAATTCTTTATCTTGAAAGGCGTAAAATCAAAATAAAGGGAGAACCTGTATTATGATGATTTCAAGTGGTTTGCATATGCTGATACTTGTCTTGTCTCTTTGAGATTCAGAGGTACCCCGACTAAGTATGGCTTAGTTGGTTGGAATGTTGTCCCATAGCCAAAAGTTTGTGGGTTCTCTTCCTGGTCAGTGCACATGCCTAGGCTGTGGGTTCAATCCCCAGTCCTCGTGCATTCAGTCCCCTATGCAAGCGGGCACGTACCAATTGATGTTTCTCTGTCATGTCAATGTTTCTTTCTCTCCCTTCCTTTCTCTCTTCCCCTCTCCTCAGAAGCAATGAGGGACTGTCCTCAGGTGAGGATCAAAAAAGAGACAGGGAGATTCAAAGAGCTAAAATTAGACCTTCTCAAAATGGAAAGAGTTAACGTTTATTGAGTGCTTATTCTGTGCCAGGTGCTCTTTTAAGTACTTTGCTTAGTTCTCATTAGTCCCCATCACTAATATCACTCCTTGTTTATAATGAGGAACTTGAAATTTAGGGATGTTAACTAATCTATCCAAGATATCAGTCAGTACACATACCTTTCCCAAATATTTTCCCCCCAAGTTTGTAGTTTTTCAAATTTCAGCGGTGGGTGGGAATATAAGGAAATGCACTGTTTTTTTTTTTTTAATTTTTTATTTGTTGGAAATGTGTACTCTATGCAGCATGATGGCTTTATGTTACTGTTCATCAGTGGAAAAATGCAGATAAAAGCTTGCTTTTCCAACACTTCGGGCTCATTTCTCAAGTACTCAGGGTTTAAATACAGTCCCTCGAAGCTTAGATCCTTAAAAAAGACACACCCAAAAGCATCTTCTTTTCTTATTCATCTGGTCACCAATATGAAGTCTTATTTATAAACTCTTAGGAGAGAAACAGAGAGGTGATCAGAGACTTTGACTCATAACACTTAATTAAAAACTGCCAAATGTTCGTGGGGTTATGGTTCATCCGGAGGCAGCCGTAATCGTTTGTCCTCTGTCCACATTCTACTCACACTCAGTTGTGGTGAGGGGTGGGAGGAGGCATGCGAGAGCGCTTTTTGGGATTTGACTGCTTACAGCCTTGCTTCCTCATGGTTTGGAGGAGTGAGCTGAGGAAACACTGTTCTCTGTGTGCCTTAGTCAGGCTGGACCTCAAATGGGATTGAAACTTAGCTGTGTTCTCCATCTTTATACCCGTCCCAGCCTGATGCATGGAAAGAGAAGCCAAATGGAAATTAAAATTTTTAGTATGGCATAAAGGAGAAGGGAGTGGATTTTGTATTTTTTTTTTTAATCTGCAGATACTAAAGAGGTTGGTTGATATTTGTCTCCTGTTACTTTATAAGGCTTGGATTCATACAGTAGTGCTCCCCATTAAATCCTGAGCAATATATGGCACAAGATGCCCGTCTTTTATCTAATCGTTGCATAATTGTTCATGTAATTTCAGGTCATAGACATAAATGACTACCAGAGGAGGAGGTTTGCTTCCCGGATCATAGACGGTCTGTTTAATACAGTGACTGATAAGAAGATAGCTATTTTGGGGTTTGCATTCAAAAAGGACACTGGTGATACGAGGTATCAGTTCTTTAAAATATTTCAGCCCCTTTGAGAGTGTTAACCCCTCATCTTATCCAGATGTTTGATTGGTGGATGAGTGCATGAAATACCTGTTTGTGTCTAGTATAAAGAGTAACAATAAAGTGAACATTCTTATCCTCATGAGATACAGAATCTTACCTCTGTATTAAACTTCTGAAGTATTAGAATATATGCCATTTAAAAAGCTTAGGAACACTGATTTTTTTTTCTTCAGGGAATCTTCTAGTATATATATTAGCAAATATTTGATGGATGAAGGTGCACACCTCCATATTTATGATCCAAAAGTCCCAAGGGAACAAATAGTGGTGGATCTGTCTCATCCAGGAGTTTCAGAGGATGACCAAGGTGAGGCTTGGAGTCTCGTGAGGCCCTTCGAGGATGGGCCTCGAGACTTGTTTGCCCTCCAGGGACTTTGTTCAGTCTCTGTCATTCATATCATGGGTACACCCTGTTTCAGCTGTGTTCCTCCAGTGAAACCCTTAGGTATCGTTTTGTCAACTCCTATTTGAAGTGATGAGCGGTGGGTTAGTTATTTTAATGATTTTTCTGGCATATTCTGAAAAGCCCCAGAGGTTCCAAGGAGCGCTTCCAGGCATCGTTGGGTGTCTTCAAGCCCCACAGCATTCCCCTCGCTCACACTTCAGCCAGATCACTCCTCTTCATTCAGCCCCTCGACTCCTCCTGCAATCCCAGTGTTAAAATGCATAACTTCCAGTAACTCCTTTCCGGTTGCCAATTTTTTTGTTGCTGTTACAGTGTCCCGACTTGTGACCATTTCTAAGGATCCATATGAGGCATGTGATGGTGCCCATGCTGTGGTTATTTGCACTGAGTGGGACATGTTTAAGGTGAGGTGACAGAAATGGTGTTAAACAAAATTTTAGAGGTGTTCTATGTAAGTTGTGGTTGAGTACGTGCTCGTGTGTGTGTTTAATTGTTCCTTTGGTTCTGACTTCCTAGGAATTAGATTATGAACGTATTCACAAAAAAATGCTGAAGCCAGCCTTTATCTTTGATGGACGGCGTGTCCTGGATGGGCTCCACAACGAATTACAAGCCATTGGCTTCCAGGTAATCACAATCCGGGACTGGTTTTGTTTGTTTGGTTATGTGCTTTTTAATGGCATTGTGTTTTAGAATTTTAATATTTTCTCATTTAGCAATAACATGACTTTGGGGCAAAAAGATTATGAGTCAGTTCTCTGGGAAGTCCCTGGGGTTTTTGTAACTATTCCACTCCATCCTTAAATTTATGATCACTCAGTCTTGGTCTCCCTTCCATAGTATCTAGGAAGTCATTAGTTGCCTATCATAAAGGGACAGAATATGCCCCACCTGACCTCATATCACAAAGATCAAGAAAACATACAAAAAAAATTATTCCTGGAACCACCGAGGCTGCTCTACTGAACTGTCTGTACCACACTGATCCCCTCAGTGTGCCAGGTCTTTATTCCTGTATAATGTCTTGCTAACTGCAAAGTGCAGCGTAGTTGTCACATGTTGGTATAGGATGCTATGCCTTCTAAAACAGTCCTCGTGCAGTGAGAGGTCTGAAAGTGTGGGAGCTTCGGTGGCACTGGCCTCTCCTTCAGGACTTACCCATGAATTATGGAATGCTTAGACAGCTGACAGAAACCTCAGCCCAGAATGGTGCACTTAGGTGTTGCATCCATTTCAGTTCTGCCAGGAGTCCCAAAAGTATTAATAAGAAGGCAGTGTGTATGGGCTGGGAGGCTCAGGGGAAGGTCAGGAAGAATAAAGAAATGGGCCAGGAAATTGCTGTCAGCACAGTCCCCTAGCAGAGTAGAAAGGGACAGTGTTCAGAGCTGGCCGTGTGCGTCTGCTCAGCACCAGCTGTCTTGGACGCACCGATAAGGCCTCATCTCCTGTTCAAAATATCTGATCTGGTTCTCTTCACCTGTCAGCGAATTGTTCAAGATCTTATTTGGAATTGAGTGTTCATTTCTCATTCACGAGAGATTCACTTGCAGCAAGAATCCGAAGGCGTACTTGTCTGTTGACACTTCATCAAGGACCTTGGGGATTCTTCTGTCCCACCACTCCTTGCTGAGTCACAACATGACTTTCCAGTCATGATTTAACTCAGCAATGTTAATTTTTAAAGATTATTTGCAAGGCATAGACAAATTTTCTCTCATTCCTGTCTTACTCATGTAAGGGAGAAAATTTGTAAAGAGATATATATATTTCAAATGAGCTTTAGTTTTTGTAAGTTCACTTTCCCTAGTAAGGATTTAAAAATAATAATTAGGAGTGGAAACACTAAAGATAATTTTATAAGTCACAAAATAAGACACCTCATTAATACAAAGCAGAAACTCTTCCTTTGTGATATGAGTCAGAATTAAATATTTTAAATTCAAAAGACATTTATGAAAATTGTGTAGTATATTTATCTCTGCAGTAGAGAGGAGATAGACTTATGACTAGTGAAGAAGCGGTGTCTTTAAAGTTAAGATTGGTGATTTTGGATGTATGGAAAAGAGTTTAAAATGTAATATGCAAAATAAAATTAGACTTTATTCATAGAAGGCTGACTGGTGTGCCAAACCCAGTGCTGAGCACTTTACCTAATTTAATCCTTACCACGACCCTTTGAGGCAGGTGGTGGTAATACCATTTACAAACAAGGAAGAAAGACCTAGAGAGTTCAGGTAACATAGCAATTACCAGTCAGGATTCCAACTGGTGCCTTTCAAACTCTAAAGCCTGAGCTCCTAATATCTATGCTATTAGAACTTATGCAAGTTTGTTAGAATAAGGGAAATGGATGTGAAAATAGGGTATGAGAGAGAATGAGTTAACTGGAGACTAGTGTCTTTCATAATGGCTTTCACATATGCTACTAAAACAGTAGCAACACAGAATTCTCTACCTTGTTTAAGGGCAGGGTCTGGTGTTGGGACTGGCAGGAGTGAGAGTGTCTAGATGTAAATATGAAAAGTAGAATGTACATGGAGTCTAGAACATTAAAAATAAGGGAGGAAACAAAGATCTTTCATTGTAGCTCAGGCTATTTGAAAAACATTTTCTGCTTTCCCCTTAATTACGCTTCATTATAGAGTTTTTACATTTACATACTATACTTGTTAATAGTTTTCTTTCTGAAATCTTTTTTTTTTTTCCCTAGATTGAAACAATTGGAAAAAAGGTGTCTTCAAAGAGAATTCCATATGCTCCTTCTAGTGAAATTCCGAAGTTTAGTCTTCAGGATCCACCTAACAAGAAACCCAAAGTATAAACATGTCATTTTTATTTTTAATTTTTTTTGGTACTTAAGGATAGCAAATATCTATTTGCTATATAGTGTTAAATGAACCAAGTTTTTAAGGAAACAAAACTATTTTTTTAATCAATTTATATTAGCTCTGTGGGAATCAGCATACTTAGTAATTATGAATCTATAATATTTTTTACATATTTTTATAATACTGTTACCTCAGTGGATGGATGAGTGGCAAATAATCATGTTGATTTTAATGGTGTCGATTTTTGTAAAACAAAAACTTCAAACACTTTTTACTTTACAAAATATGTATCTATAGGCTGCACTTTAATATCACATTATAAAGGGAAAGGTACTCTAGTTTTTCTGATCATCGGTTTTATTACTTGTCATTAAATATGTATTTTAAATCATCACATTGCTTGCTAAATACTGGGCAAACCCTGTTACCCTTTCAGGAAGTGTCACAGAGATTTAGAGGTTCCTGGCTTCATTGGGTGAGGAGTCTTCCAGACCATTTCTTGTCTCCTTGAACGTAGGAGGAGGATGCAATGGACAGAATGGGGCCTTTTGTGCTTTTTCTTTTTTCTTAATGCTTCTCATCTTTTTCCCTCTGTTTCTATGTTAGAAATAACCTTTTTGTTTTAATAAGCTGTGTCACTGATTTTTTAGCTTAAAAAGGTCATCACTAATTCATTTCCAATCAATTCAAATAAGATTAAAAGGCAGTTTTTTTTTCTTAAACATGGAGAGAACATCAGTCCTAGGGTCCATTTCATTTCACTTCTCAAGAGTTTTTCCTCATTGGTCTTTTTTTTTTTTAAATTTAGTCCAAGAGCCAAAAATATTTGTTAACTTGACTTTGTTTTTTTATCATTTGTTGTAGGTTTCCTCCTTTTTCTTTAAATAAGAAAACCAATATAATCTCATAAACTTAAAGACATAGATTTTATAAATCATGTATAATTCTAAGAGAAGAATTTTTGTATGTGTTTCAGTCTGCTTTTTTCTTGTGCATGTTGTTGACATATTTGTTTTGTTTTATTATTATTATTATTGAAATGTGTCTGATATCCATGATGCTTATGCTCTGCTAAGAGTATATAGACTGAGTTAAACAGATATGGACCTTATCCTTTAGGAATTAATGTGGTTCAGTTAGAACACAGAAACAAATATAAAGATAAGGACAGAAACATCTGTACAGATATCAAATACATCAATAAAATATTCTGCATAAACAGCTGTGTGGGTGTATTTTTGTCACAGTGCAAGTAACTAATGAGTCATGACAATCTAACATTAGACAGTAAATAATCACTTCTTTTTTGAGAAAAGGGCATTGCATCATACTTTCAGATGACACACGAAAGGGAGGGGATTTAGCAAATAGACCAGATGTCAGTAAACTATAGCTCATGAGTCAAACCTGGCTAGCTGCCTGTGAACTGAGTGATTTTTACATTTTTACATAATTACATTTTCTTTATTTTTAAAGATTTTGTTACTTTTTTAGAGAGAAGGAGGGAGAAAAAGAGGGTGAGAAACATTGATGTGTGAGAGAAACATCAATTGGTTGCCCCTGGCACGCCCCCAACTGGGGAGCCAGCCCACGAGCCAGGCATGTGCCCTGCCTGGGAATCTAGCTGGCGACTCTTTGGTTTGCAGGCTGGCACTCAATCCACTGAGCCACACCAGCCAGGGCTGTAATTACATTTTAAATGGTTATAGTAAGTCCCCAGTTTTGCCCTTCAGCTTGAAAAGCTTAAAGTATTTATTATCTGGCCCTTCAAGAAAAAATTTGTAGACGCCTGAAAGAGACAAACACCTGAGTGTTTGAACACAAGATGAGCCTTTACTCATAAGATTTGAAAATGAGAATGAGCCGATTAGAATTTGCTGTACATTTCTGCTTGAAAATATTCTTGTATTCTGCTTAACAATTTTATAATCTAGTAAAGGAATTATAACCCCAGAATGTCTTGCTTAAGCCAAAAGAATTGGGCACTGGTGTTTAGTTGTATCATGCTTCAATGCCTAGGATTCATTTTTTTAAAAAAATGCAAAATACTGATTAAAAAGTAAGAGAATTGGTAAATGGACAAAAGACAGTTCATAGAGCCATGTAAACTTGATGTTTGTGGTATGGAGGAAAAATCACAGAGTAACTAGGGAGGTAATTTAACACAGCAATTTGAGAACTTTGTGTAGAATTTTGCAAGAATATGGTTAGCAGCTCTGGCCAGGTAGATCAGTTGGTGAGAGTGTCATCCCAGTACACCAAGGTTGTGGGTCCAATCCCCGTCAGGGCACATTCATGAATCGGCCAATGAATGCATAAATAAGGTGGACAACAAATAGATGTTTCTCTCTCCCCCTTCCTCTCTCCAAGATGAATTTTTAAAAATTAAAAAAGTGGTTAGCCTTTTCTTTCCCTACTAAGAAAATTAAAGACTGTCTTTTTTTTTTTGGTCGTCGATACAGTTTCTATTTTTCTTAGCTAGTATTTTTTGGTGGGGGCCAATGTATATTTGGTGAGATTTTTAGCTGATAGCTAAAACTGAAAATCATACCTGGAAATGGTTTTAAAAAAAGCATTCAAATAGATACAGGAGGCTGTATAAAAAAACTAAACTCTCTCTCTCACAGTGTGCTCTCCAGAGATCATGTTATTTCACTTAAGACTCCCAGCTTTTGAATGCATTACCTACTAGCATGTGGTATCTTGGCTAAGTTACATGAATACCTTATTTTCATCAACTGTAAAACAGAGATAATTCATCTCTAACTCAAAAACTTGTTAAAAAGACTGCATGAGATAAATGTTTACACAAAGATCCCATTGGCACAGTGGCGGGCGGGCAGTGCATACTCCTGTTAGACACCATGACAAGCTGGTCCCACTGAATCAGATCCATGTTTAAGTTCTAGAATTGCTAAGAACAGCAATTAACAGCATTATAGGACAGGCACGATGCTAAGCCTGCTAGGTGAATTTTCTCATCTATTCATCACAAAATTCCTTTGAGATAAGTCCTATCATTTTCAGATGAAGGACAGAAGGCTAGAAAGATTAATAACTTGCTCAAAATCGCAACAGTTTGAATAGCTTTTCTTGAGATGGAAACCATCCTATATTAGAGGTTCTAATAAGAGAAGTGAGTACCTGTGGCTTTAGCAGAATAATGCAGTATCACCCCAAGGAAAGAAATCAGAAGGTGGACAGGGCAAAATGGCATGGGCAGCAGCCGAGAAGGATGTGAGAACGTGCTCTTTGCCCTCCTGGGACTCCCAGCTACTTAACAGAAATGGGTCTGAGGCTCTAAAGGACGCTGGGAATGGGGAAGAGGAGGTAGCGGTTGGCAACACAAAGTAGCGAAATTAAGGTCTTGCTGTCTAGGTAAACTCATTGGTACTCACATTCAGGTAACCGTCTTTAAAATATTTCAAACTAGGTGTCTGTGCACTATAAGGCAGATACTGTGAGGTGCTAAGAAATGAAGGACATAGTCCTGGCTGGTGTGGCTCAGTAGATTGAGTGCAAGTCAGAACCAAAAGGTCACCAGTTCTATTCCCAGGCAGGGCACATGCCTGGGTTGCAGGCCAGGTCCCTGGTGAGAGGCAACCCATCAATGTTTCTCTTGCATGTCGATGTTTCTCTCCCTCTCCCTCCCTTCCACTCTCTCTGAAAATAAATAAAATCTTAAAAAAAAAAAAAAAAACATAGTTGAATGAAAGCAAGCTTGTAAAGAAGCTAAAACACAGAAATAACTGATCAAATATGAAAATAGCCATTAATGATAAAAACAAAATGCAGTGTTGGCACACAGTTTCTTAAGTTTACTCCAGCTACCTGTTTACCCTAAAGTAAAGCCAGCAGGCCAAAAGACTACCTAGATTGTTGGTTATACATGTTGAATTAAACACATGCTCTATTTTCATCCTCTTTCTGGAAACTTGCTAAAATGGTAGTAAAGGAATATGAAAGCTATAAACAGACAAGAACAATGAGAATGGGAAAGGAAGCACCTGTGGATAAGTGATGTCAACCAATTTTTAGAAGGCAGAGAGTGGTGGGAGGCTAAGTAACTACAAGGAAGAGCAAGCAGAAACGTCCATGGCCTCATGAAGGCTGCCTTCTGGATGCAGGTAGTTAGCTCACCAGAAGATTCCCAAAATCGGAGGAAGCACATACCACAAAAGATGAAGTTGAGATGTGCATCTAAAAACAGAGGACTGAGATGGAAAATTTTGTACGGAACAGTTAGACACACCCAAGTCTCCACCCTACCCCAGGTCAAGAAAGAACCTTTCCCACCTCATACTTTCATAGGATATTAAGAGGTGGATTTTTAGGAGTAGAATCAGAAAATTTCAGACTTGGGGAGGTTTTTGGTGAGATTTCAGACTGGAAACAAAAGGGACTAATTTAAAACCTGTGCACTGAAGAGAAAGCCATGCTCTACTCTCCGGCTTGCTTTTATCCGCCTGGTCTGAGAGAGGTGGCAGCCCAGCTTATAACCTGCAAGGCAGGAGACTTGAGGTTTCTTTTTTTTGTTTTGAAAACTCGAATGGCTTTAGAGAAACAATTCTGACATTTAGGAGCCTTTCATTGAAAAATTCGACTCACCCCTCAAGCACTATAGTGAGGTTTTATCAATTAATAGCTCCCCCACCCCAGCTTCCACTTTGCTTTAGAGTGGCTGAACATCTAGTGTGCTTGGAGAGCCAAGGATCACCAGGCTTTTGAGCAGAGCTTTCAATGTAAAAGGCAGAGATCAAAACAGAGGAAATAGACAATGCTCAATGCAGAGAGCCCCAACTTCAAAACAAGAACAAAAAGCACCCTAATTATCTTTAGAGAGAAAATTGAAAGAAATTGCAGCTAGGAAACAACAGGATGCTATTTTTTTTAATGGAGTAATCAAAGAGTTCTTAAAAATTAAAACGTGGTGGCCAAAATTTTAGCAAGAGAATCGTCCAATGAAATTTTCATGGAAGCCCGATGTACATTGAAATGGTACATCATTAGCATAAATGTATATTAAAGTGTGCGCCTGTGGCTTCTGAGCTGCTGGGATCCCCAGGGGAATGGTGGAAATGTACTTACGTCCCTCCCAGCTGCTGCTCCCGCTTTTTTGCTCTGCTTACATTCTGAATTTTTCTTTATGGTGTTCCTCCCATTTTCCTCCCTACAGCCACTGGTGATGACATTTCTTAATATAATAATGTCTCTAATGTTAAGATGTTTTCAGCTTCAAGTAAAAGAAACTCCTATTTAAACTGGATTCATTAGTAAGACATTTATTCTCTCACCAAACGGGGTGGGTTTCTGGATTAGCTGGTTCAGTGGTTGGAAAAAGGGCAGGGATCTCTGTACCACTTTTCTTAAAAAACCACATGCATTTATCATTTTCATTTTCTTAAAAATGTTACTTGTGCTACAAAAATAAAAAGGTTAGCTGGACATACCGAAATGGGTCCATTACATTGGAGACCACTGATGACATTAACTTGTGCCACCCAATCAAGAATTTTGGTAAGAGAGATACTTACCTGGCCGGGGAAATACCATGATCAAGAATTGTGGTAGAGACCTCCTGCCATGTTTGTGTATTTAAATATGCTAATTAACACATCACATTAAGGAAGGTCAAATTGCTGCCCTGGCCTTTTAAAAATTCAAGCCTGTCCATTCTTGTACAGTTGTGCAAGGGAGTTACCTCTACAGCACATGCTCGCCATATTCTAATCTCCAGCAACATCCAGGCAGCTGGTCGTATATTCTAGTCAGGGTACAATGGTCAGTCACACAATGAATGAATGCGTAACAAACCCAGAAGAGACGAGCTGAGATTCCACTTTGAAACAAACATTTCCTGCTATTCCTCTTTCAAGTGTCTGGATTACAGGAGAGTATCCTGGGATTGCAAGATGAAGTGCTTTAAAATTTGTTAGTTTACTATTATTTAAGCTGTGCCAGTCAAGATTTTTCTCATTACTGTGTAACCAAAATGAGACAAAGGAACAAGTAGACTGCTGACTCTACAAGAGACTACAGCTGACTCCCAATTTCACATTTGTATCAAAGTAGCTTTATGAGCCATTATTATTATATAATTGTGACCAATCTGAAACTTTTACATCGTGCTAATAAAGTGCCACTTTTAATTATTTTACATTGAGATTTCATGAAAATTCCATTTGACAAAAATATTCTTCTAAAATATTTCATTACCATTCTCTTCCATTGTGCAAAATAAGGAAACATCAGTCTAATCTATTATTCCTGTGAAAGAATAGATTGTAGGGAGGATGGTTGTTAGAGATGTTTAAATTTGAAAGTGAATCAAAAGTATATACAACTTTTGCGAGTTAAATTAAAATGTAACTAATTTCCGAAGTTATGCCTTATCTTTATAAAACTAGTTCACATATTTTAAAATTCAAACCAGAACTGGCTATTCACATTACATATTTTATAATATAGCCACCTAAAAACTTCCTTTGTGAGATGTAGAAGACAGGATTCAGAGTCAAAAGTTCTTGGTACTTAGGAAGGAAATTCCTTACTCAGGTCACTATTATATCTACAACCACCTCACCAGAGTGATGTGAGGACTAAAAGGAATAGTGCCTGCAGACATAGCACACTATTCTTCTTCTTTTTTAAAAGATTTTAGAGAGAGGGGAAGGGAAAGAAATATCAATATGTAGTTGCCTCTTGCATGCCCCCTACTGGGGACCTGGCCTGCAACCCAGACATGTGCCCTGACTGGGAACTGAACCAGCCAATCCTTTAGTTTGCAGGCTGGCACTCAATGCAGAGCCACACCAGCCAAGGCGTTTTATTAGATGTAGCTCACTATACTTAGGTTACATTTCCCTGCCTTGGACAGCATCGTGGTCTTGGTTTCACAGAGGCCCTAAACAGGTAATCAATGCACAAATCTTCTGCAAGTCTAATGTACCCATATGATTGTAAAAACCAACACCCAAACTCTTAAGCCTTTGTAAATTATTCCAATGATGTTATAATGTAATGTGAAGAACACGTTAATTATAAATAATCTGATCATAGTTTCAATCTATACTGATTGTTTCATCACAGTATGTCATTTATGAGAAATGAAATGATGTACAGGTAACAGAGGCCTAAGGTTTTCTAGCTGTTTTTAATGTATTTTTAAAATTATACTGTAACAGTAAACTATTTTATAATTACATCATAGCAGGCAATTGTTTACTGGGACAAAAAGATATGCTAAAAGACAAATAAATAACTATAATTAAATATGCAGAGCTTATTGACATTTTTCTTAGAACAAAAAATTTGGGTTTATCCAGTGAAGTACAGGCATTCTGCTACCACTTTTGTTAGCAAATGGAATCAAATTTTTAAAATTCTTGTAATCTTGAGTGTCTTGATAAGTGTTAGACGGCTTTTGTTTTTCTTTTAGCCACTAAATTTTTCAGGAAAAATTCACCTATTTAAGAAAAATGAAAATACATTAATATAAATTTAAAGTCAATTTCAGAAAAATTACACTTCAATGTTTTTCTTTATAGAAGGCTTTTGTGTTTATTGGTATTTCTCTCTTCTCAAATCTCAATGGCAATAATATCTCCTATATCATTGGCTCTTTCCCCCCACAATGATTAGACATTATTCTTAATTTTTTTTATAACTACTGTCTCGAATATTATTCTTTCTAGTAACTCAGTATTATAAAGGGTGACCCTGTAACACGTCTGGGTCTGCTTCTGTACATTTATTCCACACTATGTGCACTATCGATTCCTCATCACTGACAAAAGTGTTGCTGTTGGCACAATTCATTTCAGAGAGCAATTCTACTACATTATTAGCTTAGATCTGATGTTTATAAAACAGACCTCGTTGCAGTCGAGCAGACTCATCTGACGGAATCTCTAGTTTATTCCCCTCTAGGGAAGCAAGCGCTCTTCATTTATAATGAGCTTTTTCTCCTCCCCCTAAGCTGTGTCTGTGCAATGTTGGCGGTTAAAGGGGACACCCTCAGCGTTCAGGTCATTAGGGTTCCATTTAGTTTCTCACTATCACAGCACAGCTCAGTGCTTATTGGCAGAGCTCGGCACTTGCAGGTCTGGTTTTATGAGGGCCTGACTAACTTCTCTTTGTCATGTAAATATACGAGTAGAATTGCAACTGCCCCATCCCTATACAATCACCAAGAATTTCAAGGCTCATAACCTAGCCAAGCAATGGAGAAAATACCAGTGCCGCTCCACACCTCCTTCTAAATGTGACAGGAGTAAAACCGGTGTTATCATTACCGGGTGCTAATCCATCATCTGAGTCTAATGCTCTATTACCAGAATCTGACATTTTACTGGTAATTTAAAAAGCATTAAAGTATTCATAAGTCACTTTCTTATAAATGTTAGAAACTTTCTTTTTAAAAAAATCCAAAAAAATAAAAACTCCTTTCAAATGATAGTTCTCTACTTTAACCACTCTGGAAGCTGATATTTTTTTCTATTCTTTATACATAGTTTTACCTTCCCAGCTGCACTGCTTGAAGAATAAATCACTTATAATTACTGGTTTCCAAAGTCCCCACATCTTGTCAGTTAGTCAGTGTTGGATCAAATTCTTGGGTTTTGTAACTACGAGAAGCTATTGTTACCTCATTAAATTTTTTATAGGAACACTGTAATATTACTAATACTTGAGTAATTTTTATAAATGAAATCTATGCTAATTTAAGCATATCAGTGATTTAGACCTCAATATATAACAGTCATTTAAAAGATCACTAATAATAATAACACAGTTTAGACATATCAAAAAAAAACCTAGCTGGTTTATTCTTCAAAAAACTGTAATTTAGTCTAAATGACAAGGAAAACACAGTTAAGATTTTTTGGATTAAATTAAACTTTCAGATATGTTCTCACAGACTTCTGATGGCCACTATTACACGATTTTTAATCTCTCAGAAAAGACTTTTATTTTCATTGGTCAGCTCAAACTACTGATTAAAATAAGAACTGAAATTACAGGGGTGAAAAATTGCATTGTAGCTAGTAAAAACTCTAAAAATTTCTATAAGGAAAATAATCTTATGAATTATATTTTGTTGCTTCTTGGAGGAAAAACACAAAGATATTAACATGGCAAGCAGCAATGCTGTTGAATAGGTATTTAATATTGTTCAGAGTTTGAATTGATCTAAAATTTGGACTTTGGAGATGAAGCTGCATCGCTATTAAACAACTATGCATTTTCCAGAAAACCATGATATATGCTTGACTGATCTTTGTCATTTCTGAATAAACTACTATTGAAATCCACACATAGAATTGCTTCTACTTCCACCATAGTAGCTGAGCCATTAAAGTAGGGAAAGAGGCTTTTTGGAAGAAACTAGATTTGAGAAATTTTTCCCTCAATATGACCCTTATGGAGCAAATCTCCTAAGGATGTTCCCCAACATCCACCCCCACCTTTTCTTCCTTTTCACAAAAGATAACCACAACTATTATAATTTTAAGTGGAAAGTTATGGTCTACATAAAACCATCCCCTGCAGTCTAACTCACCTGCTTTATATGAAGAACGCACCAGGGGGCCACTTGCAGTATAATGAAATCCAAGTTCATTTCCTACTTTTTCCCAGTATTTGAACTTTTCAGGAGTAATGTATTCTTCAACCTATATTTAAAGAATTAATCCCGATTCCAGAATTTACATAAATCATTTTGATTCTAAAGAAAATTGACACCCATGCAGTCAGGTGGAATTAACTTCATAATTTATCCAGGTGCGCCCAGGTTTCTTCTTCTTCCTCTTCACTAACTACCTGTCTACTAGTTACCCGCTGGCCACTCCATCAGAACATAATTACAGGAATTAGAAAGGAAGGGGGACATATCAATTTTGTATTATATTAGCTACTGCAAAGGCCAGAGAAAGAGAATGAGATTATGTGTAGAGGTTATATATTATCTGTATCACACCTTTGTGGACTAACAAGTATAATGGAGAATCATTACTCCTATAACATTCTTGAGGACTAGACTGTATCTTACTTACCTTATATCTTCAGCTTAGCATTGTGTCTGGCACATGGTCACTACTCAAAAAAAAGTTTCTTAAACGAATAAATCAATGTCCAATAGAAAATAGGAAGACTAACTTCTTTCTTACTTCATCCTGGCTCTCATATAACTTTAAATCACAAGATCACTAATTGGGAATGAATGTAATTTCCCAAATTTTAAATGTTTTTGTTGGTTCACTTAAGTCATGTAACTTTGGGGAGAGCAAATAAATTCCAGTGTAGTTGCTTTATGCAGATAATAAAATGCAAACTGGAACTTGAAAAAGTACGTGGAACATATTACTAAAAAGCCAGCAGCTTTTTAATTTAACCTATGGACAATAAAGATTTAACTCAAATTACCAATAAACATTTGGTAATTCACGGTAGCTGTACCTTAAGGTGGCGCTTTGTTGGCTGCATATATTGTCCTAAAGTCAAACAGTCCACATCTGCCTCGCGAAGAGCTAGAGAAAAAAAGCGTATGTTATATTAGCAGGCGTTTTTATGATGCTAAAATTGTAGATTTAAGCATAGTTTTCCAGAACATAATTTTATTTCAGAACAGTGTGAACTTTATCTTGGCCTATAATCCTAACGTTAGAAAATAAGACTATACTCATCCACTGAAAGGTATTTATGTGCCAGGAAATATGGTAAGGATTGAAAACACAGGAATGCTTAGACAGTCATGTGGGGCTGAAAGAAGGATGAACGACTCCAGGACTATGGGACAGAGGCTAAAACAGGGGTGGCAAGTATCTAGAGCAGGAGTCTGGTAGGCAGAAAAGAGAGAGAGCGAGCAGTCTCTCAAAGGCCTGAAAACACCCACAGTGGAGACCAGACCTGCAATGTTATGCTTTTCTAAATGTACAAGATATGCCCGGGCAGCTGATCTGATCAGACATCAGAATCTTTCCAGTGAAACGGAACGAACTGCTGTAAAGAGAACCTTTTAATTACTATTTGAACTTATTACTCTTTGAAGAAAATAAAAAGCTGCAGGAAGGCCAGACTTTGAGGTAAAATAAAAGCTTTCTTATTTAAAATTTGTAAAAGCCCAAGAACCACAAAGCAAATGGGCTTACGGAACTAAGATTAGCAAGGTCCAAAACCTAAGATGTTATGTGACAGTGTTACCAGTAAGCTCCTCCGAAAAGGCAGGAATATATCCTATTCATCTTTGAACTGTCAGAGCCAGCCAGAGCTCCTGGTACCTGGATGGCTCTCAAAAATTGTCCAGTGACTGTACAAGTGGACAAAATCATGTTTTTACTTGATAAAGGGGTAGGAAGTAAAATGGGATACAAATTTCATATCCTAGTATCTTGTGTATCATTCCACAAAGTTCTAAGAAAATATACTTCCTTTTGTTTTTATGTTACTATTTATAACCATACACTGTACCTTGTTCTTATTGGCACTGTGGAAAAGGGACCACATGCAAAACCTGCCAAGCTCAGGGGAGGCCTGCGTGGCAGCCTTAAAAGTACCACATGGGATGGTCTGAAAGTAAAACTTTATAACTAAAAGCAGATCATGGCGGGTAGCCATGTCCTAGGCCAGTATTTTAACCTAACAAAGGTCAATCTTTAGGTTAACTGAGCCTGTCTGTTGTCTTTCTGCATTCTGATAACACCCTTGGAATGTCAAATTTTCTTTTTCCTGACCTAAGCAAAGCATAAGCATTGCACCGAGGGAACCACAAATCCCTCGTTGTTACTGTTATCATGTTAATTGTTGACTATTAACTATCCTGTATCCACCTTTGTAAAAGCGTCTACCATTTAACTTTTTATCTAATCCCAGAGGTTTCCTCCACTTTGCTTTCTCCTGCCTCCCTAATCTATTACCAATGGATTTCTTGTAACCCTCTAATGTCCCCTTTTGACTATACTGTAGAAAATAAGGTGCTAAACTGCAGTTCTCTGGAGCAGTTCTCAATCTGTTGAAATTTTACTTCCTAGCAATTGTCGTCAGTTTGGCTCAAATAAACTCAGAAAAATCCTCTACAGTTTTGAATGTTTCTTAAAATGACAGTGCTTTCACTGAGAATATGGAGGAAGCATAATAGGGCCTTCAAAGTGGATTCCTGCTATTACTCAAATTAAATGGGAGTTTTCATTTTTCAATTTATTTACCTTTCATTGTTGCATATACTTGCTCATCATTCTCGCCTAAACCCAACATTATAGATGTTTTAGAAATAACATCAGGCCGCACCTCCTTGGCGTGCTTCAGTACACGCAGAGACTGGTCGAAATTGGCTCTGGGATCACGAACTTTCCTTGAAAATAGAAGGGCTGTTGTCAGCAAGAATGACCACAAGCTCAACTAAGCACATAATTATGTAAGCAACGTGGAAGACCAGCAAAGTATACTCTGGGCATTGTATCACATCACACAGTTTAATGGTAGAACTTGTGCACAAATGTGCAGTTGTTACTTTAGGATAGAAAAAAGGCTTCACTGGGGCCCCCCTTGCTGTTGACTTTAAAGGCTTTTTAAACCTGGAGCAGAAAAAACTAAAATAAAAGTAATTCAATCTAGGAAGTACTCATTGAGAAACCAGAATTTTGAGGCTGAGAAAGAGTACTTATAAGGGGTATTCAAGAAAAAAAGGGAAAGAGTGGAAGAAAAATCTCGGTCCTGAACAAAGAAAAATCTGTTTAACCTAAGGCCACATTTCAGGTCTGAAACTTTTATGATCATTTTTCTAAAGACTCAGCTGCCCTCTGCTGGTGAGTATACAACATTGACATCTCTTAGGTTAAAAAAAAAAAAAAGGCATGGTTCTGGAATTTTCACTGGAAAGGATAATGTTTCTTAAGTGAAACCAGGAAAATCGGCACCCACTGGCGGTGGTACTGTGAGATATGACAGGGCTGGAATAGGCTGTGCGCCATACTTCCACGGGGGCCGCACCACCATGGCGGAAAGGGGGAAAAGGCCCAAAAGATACAAAGTTGTGATGTTAGGTGAGCACTTACTTGAACAAAAATGTACCTTTATTTTGTATAATTGATTTGTTGTTGTGGTTCTTATTTTTTATGAGAGACCAAATCACAGTGAAGGAGGAAACCAATTTAGAAGTTTAAAAATAACTACAAGACTGATAATATATAGTCATTACTTTCTGAAAGTATTTCTCCACTGAATTTAAGTTCTGCTCCCTAATGTTTATGATTTAATAGAAATGACAGTTACTCTTTTATCACACCTCCTTCAAGTCCTATAACACAGCATAATATCTAGAAGCTAACAAAACCACTGTCAAGTACTTTACTGAAGTTAATAAAAGTGAACATACTAATCTTGACTGAAGGCTAAAATAATTTTTATTTTTTTGAAATACGAACATTGTCATTAATGTGCAATAACAATCTATAATTATCCCTCAATACTAAAATTTTTAGAAGGAAACATAGTGTTTACTTTTTAAAAGACATTTAAAATACATCTGAATGATACCAGTTTTTCTTCAGCATCATTCATTGCATACCTTAATGCCAAATGCATTTTAAAGGTCCTTTTTTAAAAAAAGAATTACATCAAAATAATTGCTCTTGTGTAATTTTTTTTAAAGCTGTTTTTGAAAAAAACAACTCATTGGCACTTGTAATATACTATTAAAACATGAAAAAAAGATGCTCATTATGTGTGTAATAAAACACACACGTATAACTACCTAAGTATACATATACTGAGATGTTAGAAATTAATATTATTGGACAGAAATATTATGGGTGATGATCACATTCTTTTCGTTGGCTATATTTTCTGATTTTTATGTAATAGACATATGTACGTTAAGTTCACTTTATAAAAGTAAATTACGAAGTTCTCCTTTGAAAAAACCGAGAAAATGTTCCAACATTACTCTACATGTGTAATCACCTCTGTAATTCTGGAACTGTTTCTACGTTATGTGCGTATACATCTAATCCTGACAGAGCGACTTTTTCTATGGCTTTCAGATCTCCTCGGAAATCCGGGGTGAGACATTCTACAAGAATTTTTGGATTCCTAAGGGGAAAAAAGGTAAGCATTAAATTAAGGACAAAACTGACATAACTGCTGCTTAGAAAAGAAATAATTCTACTCCTTCTATATGAGTTTCAATACGATAATCTGTACTTAGAACCCTGCCAAAAAAGCATGAACATACAAATGTTTATATTTTAACTGTTACATGAAAAAAAGCAAACCCAGAACTTCAAATAATATTTACATAGTGGTTAAAACACAGCTGCATGCTAATAACAATCAGAACAAATTCTGAAATTATGCAGACTTTTAAACTTTACTGAGTAGGTATTGAAAAATAATTTTCAATAAAATATATTTATTGAGAGGAATTAAAATATAAGTGTTAAAACATTAAATATAAATATTTGTAATTCTTTAGAAAGTAAATTGGGACATTTCCATGTGAATGTGAACATTGTTTCATTGCTTTGACTCTTTAAAAATTCATCAAATAGTGCCCTCCTCCCTTCCTCTACGCAAATATTTCACACGTGTTACAGGTTTTAAAAACTATTCTGAATTGCTGAGTCAAAAGCATTGCTTAAACGAAATACAAACTAAGTATTAATCTTCCTACTAATATCGGCTATACCTATGCATTCAAGCATTAAAACGGGAACTAGCTTACAGAGCTGCTCTCTGTGACAGCAAGAGAAACGACTGAGACAGCTGACAGTTACACAAAACCACCCAAAGTTTTTGGAGTGTTTCCTGAGAGAACAGATATATCTATATATCTATATCTATCCTCTCATGGATATCGAAGATGTTGAAAGAATACATCCTGTAACTTACTGTTTGTCAACTGTAAGTTGAGACCTACTAGTAGTATATGAAATCAATTAGCGGGTTGCAAACAAAAAATATTTTTAATGACGTATAAAAAAATTAAATAGAAAATATTGCAGGAATCATTGAAAAAACACTGAGTGTGTAGGTGCTAGACTAGTACTGAGCTATAGGAATCAAGCATAACTCTTTTTTTATAAAAGCTTTTTAAGTAGATGAGGTTAAAATAATAAAAATGTGGATTATGGGTAAAATTCAAAGGTCATATGAATATAGATAAAATCTATATCATCTTACATATTGCAACAATGTAGGAGCTTATCTCATCCGTATTCTTTCTAGATGATGATTTATTCAAAATCAGTGCTAGAAGACTTAAGTTTTACACTTTTAAAATGACTCAAAGTTTAGACTAGCACTCAGATATGAAGCAGGGGCTCAATGGACCAAAGGTCTAGGGCTAAGTCTGTGCCCCTGAATCCCTAAAATTTCTGCAAATAGGTACCTGTATGTTCATATATGCTTTTTCTGGAGAAAAGACCACATAATTTCCAGCATATTATCAGTTTATAAATGCCACGTAAAATATTAATAACCATTGCTTTGAAGACCTTAAAGAAACTGAATTTAGCCCTGGCTGGTGTGGCTCAGTGGGTTGAGCGCCAGCCTGCAAACCAAAGGGTCACCGGTTTGATTCCCAGTCAGGGCTCATGCCTGGGTTGTAGGCCAGGTCCCCAGCAGGGAGCATGTGAGAGGCAACTACACATTGATGTTTCTCTCCCTCCCTTTCTCTCTCCCTAAAAATAAATAAATAAATTCTTTAAAAAAAAACCCCTGAATTTATATGAATCAAAAAAAGTCCTTAAATTATACACAAGCAAATGCCAAAGTGTGTACCTTTCCTTTAAGTATGATACAGTCTTTGCAAAGTGCTCAGCTCCTCCATCAGGCATATCTAGAAACAAGAGAGCCCACTGCTCAAGATGATGTCACAACTTGGTAAGAGCCAATTTTGGGAAGAGGTAATGATGACACACTAACCATCTCGATCCACAGACGTCAGAACGACATAATCCAGGCCCCACTCTGCAATTGCCTTTGCAGTATTGTAGGGCTCATTGGCATCCACTGGAGGTGGCTTTCTGGCAGTTTTAACAGAACAAAATCTGCAACCTCTTGTACATGTATCACCCATCAACTAGAATAGAAATGTTACTATTTAAATCAAGTAGACAGATGACCCTCAAGAATATATTGAGAGAATAAAGTTACAAAAAATGAACACAATTTGATTCTGTTTATAAGAAATGGGACACTTTCAAAGCTGAGCAATCTAGTTAAGGAATACAAATGTAATGTGGTAAAACTAGAAAGAAAAGGCAATGACAAACTCAGGATTAAGAATGGTGTCAGAGGGACAAGGGGATGGTAGCAGCAAGGGAGGGACAGGTGGGTTCAAAGACAATGCTAATGCTCTCCAGGGCTGTCCAACCTTTTGGTGTCTGGGCCACCCTGGAAGGACAAGAGCTGTCTTGGGCCACATATTAAGTATATCGTGACACATAATCACAAAAAAAATCTCATAATGCTTTAAGTAAATTTACGATTTTGTGCTGAGCCGCATTCACAGTCATCCTGGGCGGCATGCGGCCTGTGGGCCACATGTTGTGCACCCCTGCAATCTGTGCTCACGCGGAATACCAGGGCGTCTGTCGTTTTGGTATTCTTACACATAAGTTACAAAAATTCCTTTGTATCTAATATGAATAAAATGATTTTAAAAGAAATAAAATATTTAATTAACATTATCAATATGTGGGTTTCTCTAGGAATCAAACAGTAGGCGCAGCTCTTTCTTGTTATGAAACAGATGAAACAGAAAACATAAAAAGTGAATAATCTGTCTTCTGCACATATCACTCTTTCTCCAAAACACTGCTTCTGCTGCCACAGGTCACTACCATGTTCTGCAGGCACAGCCACTGCAGATGTTTGGGGGCCGTCAGAGTTTCAAAGCACCACAGCAGGGGTTGTAGTTTCAGGGAGAAAGCTCCTCTCTTCCTTTAACTCTCTCAGAGGGGACTCACAGCACAATGCTTACGCCCAAAGTCTCATGGTTTTACCGAAACAATGAACTCTAGCCAAGAATCAGCTACGAATCAATAGTGGGAAAGGGGACCAGGTACGGGGTGGAACCAGAGATTTACATCGTGGAGTATTCACAACTACGTCTTCCTTTAGGAACTAAGGCTGTGCAACTTGGATAAGCTCCCTGGTTGGCTTGGCATTGTGAGAAGGAGCTTCCTCTCATAAGAATCCTCAGTACCTCACGTAAATAGCCCCCTGCTGGTACAACTCAACAGTGTATCCGACATTTTCAGACAAATGTGAACTTCCAGTTGCACATAATTTCGGTTTAACCCCAATACCTCAATATTCATACCCCTCGGGATAAATACAGTGGACTGCACTGTTAATCCCAATTTTCATGCCACCAAATTAAGGTTATACATCTCACCATTTGCCATGTAATTTACAGTCTCTCCTTCCCACTAGTTGAGGAACTTACGTCTCTATCCCAACTGATGTTTCTCTTGGCCATGCGACTTACTTTGGCCAACAGAACATAGCAGGCATGGCCAAGCAGAAGCCTGTGCATAGATGGTTGGACCCCTTCCATTCCCCACTGTAAGTATATGCCCCGAGGAGCTGCTGGTCCAAGGAAAATAAAGCTTTGTAGAACGGACCTGAATGCATCCTGCTTCCTGGAGTCCAGCTTAGCACAGTAAAGACCCGCTGAGCCCCGGCCCACTGAAAGACCCATGTTGTTCAGGGGGAGAAAGAAATTAGGCGGCCGTGAGTAACATTTCCAAAAATTAACAGGAGATATAGCTCAAGACAGCACATGATTAACTGCCAGGCAGATGAAAGACTCCGTAATAGATTTATTCAGAGAAGAGATCATAACAGGCTGGTTTACTGTCAGTCTTGTTTTTCACATATTTTGCATAAATCCATATGTAATGAAAAATCAGAGGTATTTAATGCCCATTTTTAGGAGAAAACTATAAAACACTTCCTTTCAGTTTCTAGACTGAAACTTTGAGATTTGAGACTGGCCTTACCATGATTGTGGCTGTGGCAGTGGCATATTCTCCCCCTCCCCAACACTCTCCAATATTGGGACAGCGTGCTTCCTCACACACCTGTGAGTAAAAGGGAACTGACGACAATCAGGCTGAAAATATTTACCAGGGGAACAAATGAGTGATCAGGCATTTTATACTACACCTTTTTACAACATATTTACGAAGAAATTTACTATTCAAAAATGCTGTTAAGCTGTCAAATTGTATGTATGTTAGGATCCTATCTTTAAGTTAAAAACAGTATGAATGTATGTATTTATATGTGCAAAGAAAAAAGATCTGGAAAGATATATAATGAACAGTTAAAGTGGTAGAGTTAGCCCTGGCTGGTGTGGCTCAGTGGATTGAGCTCCAGAAGCAAAGTGATACTTTGTGAAGCAAAGTGTCACTGGTTTGATTCCCAGTCAGGGCATATGCCTGGGTTGCAGGCCAGGTCCCTTGTCGGGAGGATGTGAGAAGCAACCACACATTGATGTTTCTGTCCCTCTCTCCCTCCCCCCCCCAAAAAAAATAAATAAATAAAATCTTTTTAAAAAAAAAAGTGGCACAGTTAACATTTGTATATGACATTTCACATTTAATATTACACTCTTTCCAACAAGCTTTTTTTTTTCTTCTTAATCCTCACCTGAGGACTTGTTTTATTGACTTTTGCAGAGAGACAGAGAGACATACCAATCAGTTGCCTCCCATACATGCCCTGACCAGGGATGGAGTCTGTAACCTTTTGGTGCACAGGATGATGCTCCAATCAACTGAGCCACCCAACCAGGGCTTTTTTCTTTTCTTTGACACAAATAGAGAAAGAAACATTGATTTGTTGTTCCACTTATTTATTCATTCATTGGTTGCTTCTTGTATGTGCCCTGACCAGGGATTGAACCCACAACCTTGGTGTATGGGGACAACGCTCTAATCAAGTGAACTACCTGGTCAGAAAAACATGTTCTTAACTTGTAATATAGAACAAACAAACCCTCGTTTCCTAAGCTGCAGGAAAAAAATCTTTTTTTTTTTTTTGCCCTGTTAGATGAGAAGCTAAGAAATTCAACTACTTTTTTTTCTGTTGCAGGGAAAATGATTTTTAAGTATATTTCTATTACTGATAATAATGCATCCTAAATATCTTTATTCACTTTCCCTGACATTATTAATATGTATCTTATTAATTTTTATGTTACACATATGTAGAAAATTTTTAGCTTTTGAATAAGAGAAATACTTAACACTTTGACAACTTACTGTATGGAGATTTAAATTCCGCAAAGTATTTTTCAGTTTATTGTAATTTTTCCCCATGGGAATTTCTGTCTTTAGCCATGGAGGTAGTCTTAACCTGAGAAAAATCAAAACTATCCATTAACAAACATATTCCCAAAAAATCGTACATCTTTGAAGTTACTTTGACATATTATAGTTTCTAGTTAAGAGTTATTTCCCCTCCGCCCCCTCCTCCAATCCTGGATTAACTCTTAAAATTTTGCCACAGGAGTAAGAACAGAGATTCAAATTTAGGCTTACTCAAAACTTTAGAAAACACCAGTGTTTGTGTCTAACAGGGCACTATGTTCATGTCTATTTTTTGCAAAGGCATAGAGTAAGTAACACCAGATTAATAAAAAAAAGAATGAGGTTTTGAACATCTCATTCCCCAATGAAAAATACCAATCCAAAATTCTATATTTGTATAGAATACAGAGAGATTCCTCAAAAAAAGATCCTGCTCTACTTTCTATTCTATATTTTATAATGATTAAGTGGAAAAAAAATCTAAAATTTGGAGTGAAGACAGACTTTGTATCCTCAGGTTCCCCTTGACTTCTACCCACTTGTGATCTAAAAGTTGTGCAAAGTATCCAGCAAAACAATTTGTCTACTGCATGAAATTTCTTCACCATTCTTTTAAATGAAGGCAAGGTGTCTATAGGTCATGTTGCTTCGAGAAGCAACGAGTAAGATCATAAACACCCAGATGCAATGTAATAACCTTCACTTTCTGAAGAAATTAGATGCTGGATATAAAAATAGGAGATGGCGGTGTAGGATGGTTAAATCCTAGGAAGGTTGAATGAGAATTGTTAAAGGGCACAGAGAAAAGGATTCCAACTATTTCACCTACTCACTTATGTCTGCTATCGCTTCTTTCTAATGACTTTAAGCTAAGTTTAACAAGTCTGAATAAAAATATACTCTAGGGCTTGGTTATATCTGAAAATAATGCATGATGAAAGAATGGTATATTAAAATTATCTCAAAATTTCAATTACCTTTCTCCTTTCTGGCGTTTTAAGTTTCCTTTATATTCCTCCCAGGTGCTCTTGTCTGCGAGATCACCAGATACAAAATCTTGAAGGTCTGGTCCATTCTGTAAAAATTCTTTTTTTTTATCTAGCAAGGAACTAACTGCTCGGACTGGATTGTATACATATTTTCCAAATACCTAAACAAAAGAGTTCATTTTGACATTTATTCAGTGGGCTTTAAAATAACTTACTTTTAACCTATTTAATACCTCTTCTCCCTATTTCCCCTGTGGATATCAAAATCCGAGGATACTCAAGTCCCCTATATAAAATGTCCTGAATCAACGCATACAATCCTACTTTTCCGTCGCTACTCCCAAACGCAGATCAAAAACAGGACAGGTACTTAACTGAAAAAAAAAAAAAAAGCCGCGCGTAAGCGGACCCATGGTTGTTCGAGAGTCAACCGTACATTGTTGACCATAAGAAACCATTGGCTTCTAGATCTGAACACAACAAACGTGAGAAGATAGCCCAGATACTGTAATATTCCAAAGTCAGTAAATCTAACGCAAAAATAACCTTCAATAATTCAAAACGAGCCCCTGTTAATGGTGCTGGACAAATGCTATACAGCACTTGCCCTTGTCTCCGTGAAAGCCTAAAGCACAGGTTTGTGTTCTCACCGTCCAGAGGGGTGTCTAGTACATGGTTTAGAATCCAACACAGAATAGTAAGAGATGTTCAACCCAGTGCTCCTATAATGCTCCCAAGAATACAGGGTACGAATCACTGAGAAACAGAAAGAAAAGCTCTCGGCGCTGGCCGGAGGACCTACAAACAAGCCACTACCAGAGACTTTACTACATGGGGGTGTCCGGAGAAATAAATGAAAAAAAGTTTAGAACAGTGCCTGGGTAGAGGTAAATGATCAGCAACTGTTGACCTTATTACCGGGCGCACTGAGCAGATGGGAGTCCCTCATCCCACTCCCGCACCCTGCAAATCCCGCCACTCACCTGGGGCCTCGCGGTGCGGACGACGATCCCGCAGCGTAGAGACATCTCCTTCTTTGGTTTCCTACAAGGGTGAAGGACTCTAATTCCAAGGAAAACACAGATTGACAAACCGTCTCGCCATTTATGACGCGTTACATGGACCACCTTTGACCCGGTAGAACTTTTAACTGCCTCGAGATTCGTTGCTTTAGCCTAGTGGCGTCGCAGGCTCATGACGCATTACGTAGGGCCCTTACGGCTACAAGAACGTGATGACGAAAGACGCTCCCTCTTTGCCACTTCTACTGCGAGGTGAGGTTATGTCAGTATTCCTTGGGCTCTAGGAATCTGAAGCCATCTGCTTGGGGAAAGTCAACGACGCCGGTTTGGCAATCGGAGACTTTATCCTGGTTGTCCCCCCGCCCGACGAGGCCCCATGTGGATCTGGCGGCACTGGGATTCGAGCTCTGTCCTGGACTTTTAGGCCTACCCCCGCCCCTTGGCCTTACCGGGATGGCGCCTCCCTGATAGGGCTCCCAGGGTGGCGCTGGGCCTCGTGACAGCCGCTTAGGAGTTGCTCCTCGCAGGCCAAGATGCAGCGGGGGCCGTCTCCGTGTTGGTCCACCTGTGACCTCCCGGAGATTTTTGCCTGCCGATATCCGAAAGGAGTGGAACTCTGGGCAGGGTAGTTTGGTCAAAATAGGCCCGGCCCCAGTCTTACCCCAAGTGTTTTGTGTTTCAGGATGAAGACCATTCTCAGCAATCAGACTGTCGACATCCCCGAAAATGGTAGGAGACTTGATGTTTGCTTTTTTTTTTTTTTTACGTCTGTGCTACGCGCTCTATACTTTGCTCCGAGTCCTCACCAGTGCGTTCGTTCTCTCCTAGTCGACATCACTCTGAAGGGGCGCACAGTTATTGTGAAGGGCCCCAGAGGCACCCTGCGGAGGGACTTCAACCACATCAACGTAGAACTCAGTCTTCTTGGAAAGAAAAAGAAGAGGGTGAGTTTTTGTGGGTTTTTTTTTTGGACACCTTTAGTTTGTTTGGAAAGTGTGATTTAATAGCATCACATTTGGCTGCTTTAAAAATGATAGAATTGAGATTTAATGTTTCAGCTTAAAATTTGGTGTCCAGAATTGTAGCCAGTTTCGGTGTTGGTGTTTTAGCGAAGTTGGAGAACGAGTGGGTTATAGCGCTTCGTGCTAGTAGTAATTAGTGGTAGGTCTTAATAGTACTACAAGTTAGGTTTATTTTCTTCGTGATTGTTCAGTAAGAGTCTGGGCAGTAGACTTTATTAAACCTAGCATTTTCGCTTTCTAGGAGGGAGGTGTGATGCAACTTGTACAAAATGGGTGTGTTGTCGTTCCTTTGTGAAATGTGTACTTGTGATGAATAGTAGTGATTGTTAGTTATTGAGGGCTTTGCATGTGGTTTCATCTTTCCAGTTGAAAGGCATATGCTTTAATTAGGCCTCATGTTGGAATCTAGAGTAATTCTACGGGTAAATGGACTTTTCTTCCAAGACTACGCATTACTGGAAAGAATCTGCTATGGTTTTGTTCTGTTACAGCTCCGGGTTGACAAATGGTGGGGAAATAGAAAGGAACTGGCCACTGTCCGCACCATCTGCAGTCATGTACAGAACATGATCAAGGGTGTTACGCTGGTAAGCAGACTGATCAGACAAACAAATCAAAACTGTTTTGGAAGGGGAGGTTTCTTGGCTGTACTTAAAGCAGCATAAACGTCTGTGGTAGAGAGTAGATTATGCAGGAAATTTATAGAGGTTTTTGAGCTCTAGATCATGGGGAAAGGTGATCTTATCAAATGTGTATAATAGATATCCTTGGGTGTTTAGGAATAAGTGATCAACGCAAGTAAAGACCAGATGGTGTTAATAGGCCGATGGTGTTTTTCACACAAAATTAGATTCACACCTTGAGGCTGTGGTTTTTTAATAGAAGATGTAGCACATAAAGTAGGCTTCGATTTCTTGTTGGTATGCCTCTCCCGCCAAGGCCCCTTGTAGGGATAGAAAAAGATGGGTCTTATTTCTGAGTTCCCTGTTCATTTTCCTAAAAGCATGTTTAATGTCAGCGCTCTTTTTTCCAAACCCCCTTCCCCAGCTTTTAAAATAAAATTTATGCTTCTGCCTTTGCTGAAATGCTTTTCTTTTCATTAAAGGTCAGCCCTTCTAGTGTATACCAGAGAACAGCAACATGTACTTAACACCATCATAAACCCACCTTGTCATGTTTCCCCTTGTTCCGAAGCAGAGTTCCTGAGAGCAGAGCGCCTGTCCTGATAGCCTCAATTCTTGCCATCTGACCTCCCTTAGTAACTCAGTAAATATTAGTCTAATGCCAAGGCAAAGGACTTCGGGGTTCTTATTAACAGAAGTCACCATCTATTATTGTGGGCATAGGAGGTAGTAAAATAATGCTTCCTTAACATAGTCAGTAATATTGCAGTATGTGTGGGGACAAGTGGTTGCTGGAAATATTGGGGAACACTTTGTAAAGCATATGATTGTATGAACACTATGCTGTATACCTGGAACTACTACAAATTAATATTGAAAGTAAACTAATTGAAAAGTTTTTTAAAAATAGTGCTTCCTTATGGAGCTTTATAGTCCATTGAGACAGTGAACCGTTTGTGTATAAAATTTTCATAAGGCTTGATTGAGATAATAGTTATAAAACTCTGACATTGAGTGCTTTGTGAGAACTGTTTCAAATTTCTAAACATTGCTAATTGTTTGCTTAACATAGGGCTTCCGTTACAAGATGAGGTCTGTGTATGCCCACTTCCCCATCAATGTTGTTATTCAGGAGAATGGTTCTCTTGTTGAAATCAGAAATTTCTTGGGCGAAAAATACATCCGCAGGGTTCGGATGAGGTCAGGTATGTGCATACTTTCAGATATTGTTCAGATATTTTTCTTTTATAGCTGTAAAGGCTGGTGTTTTGGGTAGCTGTAAATACAACCAGACTTATTTCAGAATTGTCTGTTTTGATTATGCTTACTATTTGTGCTAGTTAAGGTTTTTTATCATATTTTTACCAGTTGTGATTCCTGAAGGCTTTTACATTGGGAGTAGTTTGCGGGGCACAGTAGCTCTGTTTAGCTCTGTAAACTGAAATCCTGAGAAAAGACCGTTTGAGTAGTGGTGAATAGCAGAGACTGCCCAGGTTCAATTCCCACATCTCGGTATCAGCCTGGGGCACATTACCTCTATGTAGCTCATTTTACTTACCTGTAAAACTGGAGACATTTTATGATTAAATGAGTCATAATTGAAATGCACCTAGAACAGTGTTGAACACTGAAGCATTAGAAAATTTTGAAGCTTAGTGTTCTTGACGCTTTTTGATAGCATTGGGATTTGGAGGTGTGGGAAGAAGGGATTTTTTTGGTAACAATTTAATGACTCTTCAAGAATGAACTATGTCTCCCACACTCACAACTGTAAACTTACTTTTGTCCCACCCTGTATATGCAGTAGAAATAAAACTCAATACAAGTGTTGTGCAGCTGAAATGTACTGGCTGAATACCATCTTCTCATACTCCTTAATTGGATTACAGAGCCTAACTGCTCTGGGAGATTCAAGCAGGAATGCAAACAAGATTTTGGCCCAGATAAATCAACAGTAAAACCAAAACTTCTCTCGAGAAATTTTGTTTTGTCTGTGAAATTTGAAATGGAATAAATTACTACTTGATTTAAACATTTTTAAAAATTTATTTTTCTTTTTATTGATTCCAGGGAGGAGAGAGAGGGAGGGAGAAAAACAGATATGAGAGAGAAACAGTGATTGGTTGCCTCTTGTGCATGCCCCTACTGGGCACTGAACCTGCAATACTTTGGTCTCTGGGACCAACCAACTGAGCCACACTGGCCAGGGCTTTATTTACATATTTTTCATTAAGTATTTTCTCTGCAGATAATGATTTTATGTTGACACTATGCGATTACTCTCTCCCCTTTTAGGCGTTGCTTGTTCAGTATCTCAGGCCCAGAAGGATGAGTTGATTCTGGAAGGAAATGACATTGAACTTGTATCAAATTCAGGTTTGTATGTTTGTTACGCCTATGAAATTTTGTCTGAATATTGTAGTTGAATACATGGTATTTTGTTCATTTGGTGAGCCCTTTTAATTAGGGAAATTAAAAGCTTTCCCCAAAATACTCAGGTTTTAAGATGGGTGTGTTTGGTAAAGTAATTGTTTTTATCTCTTACAGCTGCTTTGATTCAGCAAGCCACAACAGTTAAAAACAAGGATATCAGAAAATTTTTGGATGGTATCTATGTGTCTGAAAAAGGAACAGTTCAGCAGGCTGATGAATAAGATCTAAGGTAGGTTCTTGTAGTGTCTAAATTTTATTATGACTTTAGTTGCTGGGGGGATCTTAATTTACTGAGACTTAAACAAGCTGTCATAATAGAAAATGAGGAGTTGCATTCCAAAACTGTGAATTTGTCAGAATAAGACTAAAACTTCAAGTTTGTCTTTTCCTCTGGAAGTTGTCTTTGGACTGATGAGTTACCTTCAAGTTTCAGGAGAGCCCATGTTGACCACACTATTGTGCTCGCTCCTGACCCCCAGCCTCGCATACCCTTACCCTCTTTCACGTGTTACTGTTCGTAGAGATGGAATTCCACACATTTTAAATATGAATCTTAAGTATGTTTAGGTTTATAGTAGAATACTTGTGGACAAGCATTTTGATGGCGATTTAAGGCATTTTTATTTCTTTTTACAGTTGTCCAGCTGTAGAAACAGCAAGGTGCCGAATGATTCCTCACACTTACTTGGGATATTCCTTACATTTATTTGTGTAATTTTAAAGATGGAATAAAAGCTGTGTATTGATCTGGACCTTTTTTCTTAAATTGATCATTCTTTCTGGCTGTTTGGCAAGTAAACAGTTAAGTTTCATGTAAGATTTCATGGGAGAAGTGACTTTTTTGAAGGAATATCAAGGGTATTTCAGGCAAGAAGAATATGGTACCAGTGACAGGCTACACTATCTGGCTGTTAATCATTGAATGCAGAATTTGAAGGAGGGTGTCTTGAAGGTATCAATTTTGCAGAGGTGCACTTTTGAATATCTGAGGTGAGTGTGTTTAAATTACCTGTCTGTACCAGTAACTTAATGTGAAAAAGCTGGGGCATGAAACAAAGTAATACAGCCTTAGAAATATTTATAGACATACTATATATCCAAACCTGAATTTGATACAAGTGCACTTAGTTTGTGTTTAAAATAAACATTGTTGCTGTGGTCCACAATCCTCTCCATGTTAGTGTCACACTTCAAATATGAATTAATCTTTGGCTTGATGAATGTGATGGTTTTTAAATGGATGAAATGATAAATCTTAAGATTTGCTTTGAAATATATGAGGTGGGTTTGGGGTAGACTTTGAATGGGGTTTCAGGTGAAACATTTCTAAGTTGATAATTTGTTGAGGCTGAATGGGGATTCATTATTCTACTTACATAAGGTTTTGAAATTTTTCATAGTGTAGAAATGAAACAAATCCCTGTGTGTTTTGCCTGGGTTACTATAATAGCCTCTGAACTAACTGTTCGATTTGTCAGTATTGCTGCCTCTGAAACTTCAAGTTGTCTTTCCCTTTGGGAGTTGTCTTTGGACTGACGAGTTACCTTCAAGTGTCAGTAAAGCCCATGTTGACCACACTATTGTGCTCACTCCTACCCCCAGCCTCGCATACCCTTACCCTCTTTCACGTGTTACTGTTCGTAGCATTTATGATATAATATTGATTACTTCCTCATGTAATGATTATGCTTTTTTTGCTGGCTAGAATGTAACCTTCATGGATTGGGGGTGAGGGATGTGTCTACAGGGGGATATTTTAAGTACCCGGGACAGTGTTTGGCACATAGCTATTTGCCAAATGAATGGTACCCAGATTGCCAGGGAGGTTAAGTTGTAGACTGAAGACAGTACTAGCAGTGGGGCTGGAAAGATGTTTTGGAAGATTTTGGCAAGATTTCAAAGCGGAGTGGGGGAGAAATTTTGAAGTGGCAATATTACAGAGGGATAGAGATGTTAAGAGAGTGAGTATGTAGACAGTAGCGACTTTGGGAGTAAATGTGATTTCTCCAAGAGGGAAGTGGATTGGTGTACTGGGTGAGACCTCCGCAGGATGTAACTATTGGAGGTTGGTTGTAGCTAAGGAGATTTCCATTTAATGGTGAGTGTCGTAAATGAAAAGTCTTAATTCTCCCCGGGGAGAGCTTCCATGTTTTCTGTATCTGTATGGATAAACACTTGTGTGTTATTTTCCAAACTTTAATGTGTAGGAGTACATATTTCATAATGAGAAAACACTCAAACTAAGTTAATCGGGTTGGCACACAGTTTAGGATGGGGGCAGCAGTGTTGGAGCAGCACCCCGTTAACACCAAGCCCATTCACGTTCCACAGTTCTTAAAATTGACTAAATTAACAGTTTATTTGGAATAAATTACATTGAAAATTAAAGTCACAATATACTTACCTCATTCCCCAAAAGCTCTTTAAATACCATAGTTGTGATATTTCCATAAACATTATCGAAGATGTTAGTGAAAGATGGTTATATTTAATACACAGAATAATTCCCAAGTGGCAGAAAGGTAGGACTATAAGCATTGGGTTTAGGACTAATATTTGGGAGAGTTTCTGGCTAGGCAACAAGTTGGAAAAAGGACAGTAAGTCTTTTAAGCTCTAAATGTAAAGATATTTAAAAACGGTGATGGTTAATGGACTTGAATATAAGGTACAAAGCACAATGTAGAGACCAAAAAAGCAAAACCAAATTGAGTTCTAAGTCATCGTCATTCATATGCCTGAATATGCATTTCTTTCTCAAAACCGAGCTCGAGCTCGAGCTCGGGGGTCAGAATGAACCCATGCAGCACGGAGGGGGAAGCAAAAAGCCAAGTGATTTATTTAAATGCTTCTTTCTACATAATTGAGGTATAGAAACAAATGACCGTTAAAATTTTGTGTAGCTTCAGGCCCACTTAGTCGTCTAAGAAAATATTTCTTGCATAACCTAAAAATAGCTAAGGATGGAGGTGTTGGGTGCACTGGTTGCAAAGAGAATAGACAAGACACAACCAAAATTTACTTTTTGAATTTGGCCAGCTAAATAAATTGATTTCTCATTCCTTTTTGCATTTACTTGAGCTGACCGGTTGTGTTATTTCTACAGCATCTTCGAAATTTACTACAATTCATTATCAGTTAGACTCTCGTGTAGGTAATTTGGCTTCTTACAGAGGTGGACTTGGGAAACAATTACAATTACCTTAATTTAGGGTAGTTTCCTAACAAGCCTTTATGAACTGAAGAGCTTTCCATTTAACTTGTAGAAAGGCTAAATTCCTGTAGAGGGTGGCTAGTAACTTGCTCCTGTGGTTACTTAAATGTTGACTAACCTCAAAGAAAATGAGTATAATGGTTTACATGCGCGATTTCTTTCTCCAACAATTAGAGTACACTGAACAAATCTTAAGCACAGAGTTCTAGAATGTGCAAGCTCAGATTTAAGAATTTACTTAATTCCAGCCGCAGTGTAAAAAGTGCATACTCATTGGGATCCAACATTCTGAACTGCATCCAAAGAGGCACAGTTGCTAGGTCCAGCTGTGGCTGCGTTCTACACCTTGTTAGAAGTGATAACATCCAGTGTTGAGTTTTAAATCTTTGCTATGAAGTCCTAACAGAACAAAGTTGCACTTTTTCAAAATACTTTTTATGATAAGTAACTTGGTATTTATAAGAGAAAAGAGTGATGGAAAATAACTCATCAAACTTCATGAAGCAATGTGACAGAAAATCCTCATGGCTTATTGTCCAGGCCAGTGAATTTCAACCAGTGTGCCACAAGAATTTGTAAAACATGCAATACCTGACTAGTTGGGCATTGACTTCTTTTTCCTTAGCTTGTCAAATGGAAACAGCCAACATTACAGTCTGGTGTGGATGAATCAAAATTATGCTTATCTGTTTGTCAGAGCAGCAAAACGTATTTTTTTAGTATGTGGCAGAATTTTAGTAATTAGTTTGTGTGTCATGAGATACAAAATGTTGAAAATAGCCTATTTAGGCAGAGCCTTTATCTTAAATTTGAGAACTGAATTCACTGACATCAACACATCTACAGGGAAATTCATTTGAAACACAGAGACATCGATTGTCATCACCTTGGCTATCATTGATTTCTCAAAATTTCTTTTTACAATATAGGTGTATCTCCTGTAAGTTACCAGTGTATGGAACTGGAGTGAATTTCTGAACTTTATATCAGGCAGGCAGACCTAAGATCTGTTTAGCTAAGAACATTCTTGTGGCCTTTCTTTAATGGTATGTGTTGCAAGTTCTTCGCTTTCCAAAGTTTTCTTCTCTTTCGTGTATGAAAAACGGTGATTGATAAAAGTAGGACCAGGGTAGAGAAGAAGCAACAACCAAAGAATATCAGTGGTTTCTTCTGCACAAGAAATAAGCAGACAGTGCACTCTGTGTTTCTTTGAGTCTGACTGCATCTAGGACTATCCTCTGAAGGGAAGCCGCTGTTGCTAATCAGTTTATTGTAAAGCTGAATTGAGGATTTAGCTTTGAAGTCGGATGTGAAGAATCCAAATCTGGGTTTAGATTTTTCTTCAGTCAGTTTGAATGCATAATAGCCTTTGATATTGACTTTATCAACCAGGTATGCTGAAAAATACCAGAAATGAACATTATTAACCACAAATGAACTATAAAATACCTTTGAATAAGAATTTAGTTTTCATTGAAACAAGGTAAACTCATGACCATAAGAAAGTGATTTGGTGATTTTCATTAAATGGCTTTTTTATATTCTTTTACAATTAATACGAAGAAGGTGAAAATACATGTAATTACATTTAGGAAGAAATACAGAGGAAAGCTGTGATCCTGAAAGGATGCAGACACATCTGGGAGAAAAAGTAAATGTAAGCGTTGTCACTTGTCCATAGGGTCACAAGCAGAAAAGCCTTGATTGGCCTGATTGCAAACCACAGATGTGCCCTTGGTGTTCCATAGCTACACACCGTTTTCCCTAATCACTTTCTTCTCCGCCGTTCTCTCTACTTCACGGAAAAGTGGAAGCACTCGGGGAACTTCTTCAGTCCTCCACAGCCACATCTCCTCGCCTGCTGGCGTCTGCACTCTCACTCTGCCCCCTCGGCTGGCACTGTGGTGGACCCGCCCACGCTCCTGGAAGGGGCTGACTCTGCCACTTACACCTGAAGTTTACTTTCTCTTGCCTTCTCAAGGACATTGTTCATCTGTTCTCCCCTCTGCTTGCTCATGTATTAATTTTCCCTCGCTACTGGGTCATTTCTGTATAAATGTGCTGTTGGTTATCGTTTACAGCAGCAGCTCCTCCTCAGTCATCTTTACCAATTTCTTATCTTTGACCTTTGAACACTGAAGTGTCCCAGAGCTAAGCCACCTTCTCTATCCTTGCTCCCTTATAGTGATTCCATTGAGCCCTATTTTACTTTTTATTTTTTAAAGATTTTATTCTTAGAGGAAGGGAAGGAGAAAGGGAAACATCCACATGTTCCTTTCGCATACCCCCAAACAGATACCTGGCATGAAACCCAGGCATGTGCCCCGACCAGGAATCACACAGGCGACCCCTGGGTTTCCTGGACAGCCTCCAACCCCCTGAGCCACACCAGTCAGGGCTTATTTAAAAAATACCATCCATTTACTCGTGATTCCCAAATCTATCTGAATCTAAGACTCCTGTATCTATTACCCGCCTCAACATCTCTAATGGGATGTCTAAGCGGCATCTCAACCCATGCGACACCGAACAACTTGTCTCCAAAATGCCTGGGCCTACCAGTCTCCCAACCTGGTAAGTGGCCACTTCATTTTTTTAGTCACTCAAACCAAAACCTTGAAATCATTTTTCACTTTTTTCTCTCCAATCCTGTTGACATTACCTTGAAAATATATTCAGAATCTAGCCGCTTATCACCATCTCCACTCGATCATTTTTTGGGTTTTTTGAGATTCAACACAATGTTTATTGGCTAGTGTTTCAGGGATTTGACTAACACTAAGATCCTCAGAAAAATAGTGCTTTTTGCCTTAAAATACCCAGCGTCATAAATAAAGTGATCACATTCTCTTATTTTGGGTCTCCCGACATCCTGTTTTCAAATGCAATAACAGACCTACTATTACTTGAGACCAGGGGCTTCAAGTGAGGGAGCAAGGGTCTGCTTCCACATTTGCATCAAGTTCGGTCTAAAATTGGGAATGGGGGTGGGGGCTTAAGCCCTCAGGGCTGGGTACCTCCTGCTCCTATACCTGAGCCTTAGAACTGTTCCTGGTTTCTGTACACTGATAAAAAGGGGTCCCGTGAACAAGGGCCTGCACTGAACCATTGTAAATGTTCGCTAGGGTTCTCGCCTTTCCCGCCTCCCCCAACCCCCCTCAATCCCCGCTAAGGCCCCCCAGGTCCACACCCTCTGTTGGTGGCCGCCAGGAAGAAGTTTGAGTACTTAGTGGCAATCCCTTCTCCCCTCACACAGGATGTCCATATTACGACATCATCATGTTTCCAGGGCTGTTCCCTCAGTTGTGGGGGAGGGTAGCTATCCCCCGAAGTTCTGGGATCTGCGACGCTCCTAAGACCCAGATTGCTAAATGCTGATATGCCAGACGGGCCCGGGGGCAGGGAGCTCCAAGGGTGGCCACAGGTCCAGGTCCACGCTGACATGGTGCCGTGCAGTCACGGGGCTCATTCATAACACGCCGTTCTGAAAACAATGCCTGCAGCTTGCACACCAACCACACATCTGCAAGCGAGCAGCCTGGAAGCCACGACAGACAGGCGGCAGCGGTGCAGCCGGCAGCTAGTGGCCGTGCTCCCACCCAGCTCTGCCCTACCTGCGTGAACTCTTTAGCACTTTGCTAAGATGTTCTACTCCAACACTGATTATATGGCCTCACCCTCCCGCTGCAGCAGCGTCTCGCCTTCTGAGGGACGGTCTCTCCTACTACCATTCTCTGGCCGATGCGTCTCCAGCTTGGGCTGTCCAGTCCATGAGCAGGTAGGGCTGGTTTTGCGCCGCCGCGGGTCCTGGGGGTCGGAGTCACCCGCGGAGAAGGCACCAGGCAGGACGCTCTGGAACACTGGTCTGACACCCCTTTCTGCGGGGAGGGCGGCTGCCCCAGCCGAAACAGATCTATCTCGGGAGGCCAGACTTGTTCCGAACGCACGCACGCTTGTCAGTAAGAATCAGTGTCGGTCCTTGTCCCGCCGGTCCCCCGCCCGGGGCTCATTCTGAGCTGTCCTCAATCCAGCATGGACTGGTCCCTGACACTAGCTGGGGCAAATGTGTCCCAAAGACTCACTAACTCACCATCTCCATTCTTAGTAACCTATCCCAATCCACAGTGATCTCTTACCTAGATTAGAGCAACTCTCCCTGTTTTTTTTCTTGCTCCTTGCTACAGCTGACATGAAAAAAAATTTTTTTTAGATGTCCTAAATTAAACCACAGCAAGCCGGAGGGCAGGAAGAACAGACAAGAAATTAATCTGTTAACACAGTTGAAACCAGCATAAGATTGCTCCTATTCCTATTTGTATATTGAAACTTTGAATCAACTTCCAGGAGGCTATTTCAGCTCCTAACTAAAAATGGTTAGCCCACCCCCAGTCTCTACGCATCCTGCTTATGCATGCACTTTCCAGTTTGCTGCGACAACCAATCCAGAAGCATCAGAAATTCTCCCTCAGGGACTATGCACCTCTCCCAGAACTGTCTCTGCCACACCTCCCTCCATCTATAGCCAATGTAAATTCTTTCAAAACAAATTATATAGTCCTTCCCCAAACGCATTGTATAAAAAAATCCCCGCCAGCTCCAGGGCAGTGGGACACCTTGGATTTTTGCATCCAGCTCTGCTGCTGCTAGTTCAGCTTGCAGGCCCCAGGACCTGGTCCTATTTCTGGTTAGCTCAATAAACCCTTCCAGAGAATCTTTCACCCTTCATGTTTTTTGTTTAACAAAGTATATTCACAAAAGAGTGTCCAGAGTGATTCTTTTCAAGTGTTGAGTTCGATCCTGTCGCCCTTCTGTTTAAAACTTTCCAGAGCCTTTCTCTCTCACATTGAGTAAGAGCCACAGTTCTTAGGATGGCCTACTAAGATCTATCTAGTCTGCCTCTTTCTTTACGTCCTTGGCCTGATCTTGTGTTACTTTCCCCTTGCTCATTCTTTCCTCCTTCCTGATCCTCAAACGAGCCAGGCATGCTCCCACATCAGGACTTTTGCATCTGCTCTTTGCTTATCTGGAACACGATTTTGCTGCCTCATCTCTCCAGATCTCGGAAGACTTCCCTAACCACTCTCTTTACAATTGTAACCACTCTCCTGTCCTGCACCTCTGGGCAGTCAGCTGTTTTTACTCCATAGACCTTTTCACCTGTGACACCCTCTTTCTTACTTACCTGCTTGTTGACTTTTATCCCACAAAAATATAAGCACTATGAGGACAGTAATCCTTATTTTGTTCAGTGGTGATATAGTGCCCAGAACAGCTTTTGTCCATGTTACATGCTCAATAAATATCTATCAAATGGGTAAATTTCTGAGAACTTTTTGCTGCTTCAACAAATCACAACCATTTAAAATTTGATTAGAAGTGGTAATAGCCGATGCAGGGAAGAGTATGTGACTTGTATGACCGGTGGCATGGGGGTGAAGAAGTTACATTTTGATTGGTGGGTAAAGGTGGTGCCAGCCTTCTGAGGAGATGTGACTGCCTAAATGTAGGTCTGGGTGGGGGTCTGTTAGCCCAAATTATCATCTTGCTCTAGACTCTGTTCATTTTGCACATGACTGGAGGCAGGCAGTTAACCAAAGTTGTTTATGGGCTTTTGCTTTTGGGCACTGTAGTTTTCCTCCCCTTCTGCCTTCCAGGCCTTGGGATGAATACACAGTCTCAAGGTTTTCCTTTTCCCAGCTAGTAGAGATGAAACACACAGACTTTCAAGGGCTTCCCCCTGCACTATCATAGTTTTCTTGTGTTGTTCTGGACACCTGGCAGCCTTATAGGATCAGGCTCAGGACTACTAGGTCACGGGTGACGCATGCTTTTCTTTGCCTTTAGCCTACTGTATTAAGTTCTTTGTTAGATTGCAATGGTGAGGGCCCTGTCTTTATTTCCCTTCTGGCCACCTATTCCTAGCTGCTACTTAAGTATTAAGTAGTGTTGCCTGGCAACCAGGATGCCAGCCACTGGCCAGCAACAGTAACACTGTCTCAGGATTCTTCCTATGCTATTTCCTGCAACATCTTGAGTACCCAGCTTGGGTGATAGAGGAGGCTGTGCCACTGGACCCTACAGGACACCTACTACATTAGGCCACACTACCAAGACACAGAGTCAAAGCAGCTCTACCTAATAAATAGAAACAAACACAGGGAGGCTGCCAAAATGAGGAGACAAAGAAACATGGCCCAAATGAAAGAACAGATCAAAACTCTAGAAAAAGAGGTAAATGAAATGGAGATAAGCAATCTATCTGATGCAGAGTTGAAAACACTAGTTATGAGGATGCTCAAAGAACTTAGTGAGGACCTCAGCAGCATAAAAAAGATCCAGTCAGAAATGAAGGATTCACTAATTGAAATAAAGAAGAGTTTACAGGGAAATGACAGTAGAATGGATGAAGCCGAGAATCAAATCAATGATTTGGAACATAAGGAAGCAAAAAAGAGCCAATCAGAAGAACAAGAAGAAAAAAGAATTACAAAAAAATAATGTGGATAGTATAAGCAGCCTCTAGGACAACTTTAAGAGGTCCAACATTTGCATCATAGGGGTGCCAGAAGGAGAAGAGAAAGAGCAAGAAATTGGGACTCTATTTGAAAGAATAATGAAAGAAAACTTCCCTGATTTGGTAAAGGAAATAGACATACAAGTCCAGGAAGCACAGAGAATCCCAAACAAGATGGATGCAAAGAGGCCCACTCCAAGACACATCATAATTAACATGCCAGAGGTTAAAGATAAGGAGAGAATCTTAAAAGCTGCAAGGGAAAAGAAGTTACTGTAGTCACCTGCAGGGGAGTTCCCATAAGGCTGTCAGCTGATTTCAAAAGAAACTTTACAGGCCAGAAGGGATTGGCAAGAAATATTCAGAGTCATGAAAAGCAGGGACCTACAGCCAAGATTACTCTACTCAGCAAAGCTATCATTTAGAATTGAAGGGCACATAAAGAGCTTCCCAGACAAGAAAAAACTAAAGGAATTCATCATCACCAAACCATTATTATATGAAATGCTAAAGGGACTTTTTAAGATAAAGAAGATCAAAACTATGAGCAATAAAATGGCAAAAATACATATCTATCAACAATTGAATCTACAGAACAAACTAAGCAAACAGTAAGAGCAGAGAAAAAATCATGGATTAGGAGAGTGTTTTGATGGTTGTGAGATGGCAGGGGGATATGGGGTTATGGGTGAAGAGGTGAGGGGATTAAGAAGTACAAATAGGTGGTTACGGAATAGCCATGGGGATGTAAAGTACAGTATAGGAAAGGGAGTAGCCAAAGAACCTCTGCGCGCAACCCATGGACATGAACAATGGTGGGGGGTTGCCTGAGGGAGTGGGGTGTGCTGGGTGGAGGGGATCAAAGGGGTAAAGTCAGGACAACTATAATAGCATAAACAATAAAATAGAATTTTAAAAAAGAAAAAAAGAAAAAGTTGGATACAAGCCTATTACGGCATGAACTCAATTGTATTAAAAATGCCTAGCGAGCACAAGTCTGGGTGCTTGTTTTGGGAAATGGCATTCCAGGTGATTATTTTCTTTCTTAAAAAAGAACAACTTTTCTATACATGACAAATTTTCTATAATGAGCTGACACTGTCAGTAAGGAGCCTACTCTGCTCTTCTTTTGTTCACATTAGCTGGGAATGTCATACTTCACTGTATTTGAAATGGCCCCCGAACCTCACCTTTCATGGCCTCCTGAATGTATTTCTCTAAGTAGTACTTTCGGAGTTCATCGTTTTCCGGAGACGAGTCGTCAATGCCATTGGCCGTGATGTACACATCCAGGTCTCCATAGTTCCTCCGGATCCAGCTCAGCACCTTCCGCTCTCCCCAGGGCAGGACGGCCACGCGGCCGGGGGAGCTTAGGCAGGTGATGTCTTGCAGAAACTGGACGTCCCTGTCCGCGTTGTAGTGGCTGCCCGCCCGTTGCACGTGCATCACAAACCTGGTGGTGAAGTGGTTCAGGGCGTAGAAGTCGGCGGTGCCCTGGACCAGCCTCCTCTCCTCCTCGGTGAACTGAGGCAGTGTGGAGCGCGACAGCCCTTGCCTGTTCTTGAAGGCGATGTACTCCCTCATGGCCACCGGGTAGTCCCCGGACCTGAAGAGGGGTTCGGCGAACCAGGCAATTTCGAACTGGAGGAAGCGCTCAGCCGCCTGCCAGTGCAAATCCACAAAGGGGTTGGCGGGTTCCGCCCAGTCCGCATGCAGAGCCAGCGACACGGCCCCACGCTGTGCCGGCCTGTACTGCCGGTCATAGAGGTGCCAGGCCAGGGCATGGGCAATCAGCAGGTTGTGGGCTGCTCTGTAGGTGTCATTACTAGTGTGGTTGTAGATGTCACTCAGCCGGTTGGGCTCGTTGATGGTGATCCAGAGCTTCACCAGGTCCCCCAGCTCTTGGAAGCACAGCCCTGCGTAATCCTGGAAGGCTGTGGCCAACGCTGGGTTCAGCCACCCTCCAGTCTGCAGCAGCGGCGCGGGGAGGCCAACGTGCGTGTGGGTCGGGTAGTACAATGTGATCATTGGGGAGATGTTGAGCTTCAGGCCCTCACTGACAACACACCTGTAGTACCTTAGAGCTTGGCGGTTAACAGTGGATAGGTTGCCAGTGGGAAGGATTGAGGGCCAGTCCAGAGCAAACCGGTAATGAGTGACTTTCATCCTTGCCAACATCTCAAGCTGTCTTTTGATGCTGACAAAATCTGTGCATTGTCGTGGTCGCGTTTTCAGCTTCACTCCTTCCACTCGATGCAACAGTCTGTTGCCTGTCACATTCCACACGTACAGGTGAGGATCGGTGAACTGTGGGGAGGAAGCCACCAGTTCTGGCTGTGAAAAACAAGCACATTCAGATAAAGCGCACACACGTGGACAGGCTGTTAGGGAGGGAGAAGGGTCTGGCAGAAGTAAGGCCTGCTTGAGTGTGGTTGGTAGGGTAATAATATGGGTGTGTTAATTTATAGTTTTAATTTGAACATTTTACCTAAAATGCCATACGGTGTGCTTGAGTGTGATATTGTTATGTTACAGAATTACATATGATTCTCATGATTTTGTTATTAAAAAGGGGCATTTGTGCCGGACCCTGTGTTTTGACTCTCACTGACCACTGAGAAAATACATGGTGTATATGTGCTTTATAATGAGCAGTGTGTTCCAGCTGCACTGGTTATGTCAGAGAAAAGGACTGTTGGATTATCCTCCCTTCCAGCCTTTGAAATTTCCCAGGGAGACCAGAAGACATAGCGAAGGAACCACACCCAGGGCTTAGCTTGGAAAATAAGTTGTTGTACAGAAAACACTGACAAGCTGTTTTCCACTTCATTTTTCCTCAAAACGTAGTTCATATCATGGGGTCTCATGTGATTCCGTTCAAATGCATCAGGATATTGACCTGGTACCCTCACTTGAAAGAAATCATGAACGATGGGCCTTTCAAACACTGCCATAAATCGAAGGCAAAGTTAACATTCCAGGTGTAGAGGATTTCATTGAGCTCAGCACTAGGGGTAGAGGAGGCTAGCTGATCCCAGCCACAGTTCCTAAAAGAAACCTGTAGGATCTGGAGGGAATGACCCTTTGCATTTGCTGAATGCAAATATCTGACACTTCCTATTTGAATAGTCCAGGTGATATCACAACATGTGCATCATTATATTCTCCTCACCCATGTGTCTATGAGGACAAAGCATTCATTCATCCAACAGGAGAATACAGAACACCCTCTTAATGTGCGGTACTTGGATTATGAGCAGAAAGGATGGTAAAATACCCGCCAGAAACTCCCAGGCTGACTCTGATCTGATGGTGTCTCATGCCCTGCCCCTCCACGAGGAGGCAGCCCTGGACTGCTGTCCTGCCCCTTTGAAACTCAGGCTTGGCAGCTCTGTGTAGCGACCAAGCAATTGCACTGCCCTCGCGGGTATGCTGTGAGGAGGCAACGGCTCTGGGAGAGTGCTCTGTTGATTCTAAAGCACTGTATAAACATAAAGTAGACATGACTAGGGTTTAATTTTCCCTGGTTGCAATAATTGCCTGTTAGGCCTTTTAGTCTAAATTAAAACAGAAAAGGGCTTAAGAAAAAAAAATTTCCAAATGCAAGATTAATAAGAGAAAATGAAAGTTGTTTTTTTTTTTTAAATGATTTGTTTTATGTACTTGTTTTAAAGTACTTTTCTTCCCATGGCTGAATTTAAGTGCACCTGGAAAAAATGATAATTAACCTTTGGTAAATATTTTCCCTCTAATTGTTTTCTCCTGTGTCATTTTTCATAGTCTAATTACAAAGCCATATCATTGCTCACTTGCCATCTGTCAACCAGTTATCTAGAACATTAAATGGAGAGAACATTGATCAGATGAGCATGAAGTTAAATCTGTATATAATTATTTGGGTAAAATCCTCCTCGCCTAGATGGCCAGTTTCAGTGTCTTGAAACGTCAGAGCATCATGGTATTGATAGGGTGTTTACAAAGGGCAATCTAGCCATAGGTAAGGCAAGATCAAATGAAAATGTTTTCCTTTTTAAAAGATTTTATGTATTTATTTTTAGGGAGGGGAGGGGAGAGAGAAAGAGGGAAACATCAATGTGTGGTTGCTATTCGCGCATCCCCTACTGGGGACCAGGCTCGCAAACCAGGCATGTGACCTAGACTGGAAATCAAACTGGCAACCCTTTGATTTGCAGGCCAGCACTCAGTCCACTGAACCATGCAGCCCAGGGATGTTTTACTTTTTAAAAACCTCCAGAAAGCCCTGGCTGGTGTGGCTCAGTGGGTTGGAGTGTGTCATCCTGTTCACCAAAAGGCTGGGGATTTGATCCTGGTCAGGGCCTGTGTGGGAGGCAACAAATCAATGTTTTTCTTTCTCTCTCACATCAGTGTTTTTTTTGGCCCCCCTCTCTCCCTTCCCCTCTCTGTAAAAATCAAAAAACATATTAAAAAAAGAAAACTTTAGAAAGCATTAGTCTTAGCAAGTGGATGTAATTAATCTGCTGGGAGATCTAGTTAAAGATGACGCTCCCTGATCTCAACTCTAGCTCCCAGAGCTTGGTTCTAAAGTTCTATTCCATGCTAACAGCCTGAGCTCTTTGGAGAAAAATGGCTTTTTCCAGGCCTGAGGAAGGAAAAGAATGAGGTGATGTTTGTATGCGTTCTACCAGAAAAATAAGGAAGTGCTTAGAAACAGAAAAGAAAAAGACAAAAGAAAAAGCTTGAAGGAGTCCCTTTGGCCAAATTTGACATAATTTGAGCATCAAAGGGTCTAATGAAATAATGACAGCAGTGTGTTTTAACACAGTGAACTTTAAAAAATTACCTTATAAATGTAGAAGGAATAATCTAATTAGAAATTCACCATGTTGCAATTTATAAAGTAATAATTCAAGCAAGATTCATGAGTCAGTACTAAGACCAATGGGTGAAATGCTGTGAAGGAATAGGATATTTGTACAGTCTTAAGTATCACCATTTAGATTAGTTTTTAATTACAAACAAAAAGGTACCTTTCAATTAAGAGAGCTGGCAAATGCCACCTTAACCAAGAAATTTGGTGACTACTACTTCTAACATCTTTAGTAATGAAAAAACTGACATCATGTACCTTCTGATGTGATGTATGGAGAAATACATGTCATCTATGTACTATTATTTCCAGAAATGGTTAACTGAATCTAATAAAGAAACAGAGAAATCCATGAAACATTCTATAAGCAACTGGCCTAGACTCTTCAAAAAAGTCAATAGTGTGAGGTTGAGGGGACTGATCTGAATTAAAGGAGGCTAAAGATACATGAAAACCAACGTGTGATCCTTGTTTGTTATCAAATTTTAAAAAAACCTATAAAGAACATTTTTGGAACAATTAGGAAAGTTTGAATATGAGTTGTATGTTAGATGATATTCAATCAATACTAAATTTCCTGGGTTTGATAGTATTATAATGAGATAAGAGAATGTCTTTGTTCTTAGGGGACATATGCTGAAATATTTTGGGGTGAAGTATTTGCCACTTTTCAACAGTTAATAAGAGAGAGACAGAGATAGAGCAAATGTGGCCCCATGTTAACAATAGGTTAGTCTTAGTTCAAATTCAAGGGAAGCTGACCTCTTGCCAGGCTGCAGATGTGAGCAGGAACCCAGACCTAGTTGGTTACAGAATTACTTTTCCCTGACCTGTGTGATCAGCTCTTGATTCTAGGACTAAGACTAAGACCATTAGAATGGGGCAGACATTCACATCACCAATCAAAGTGGAAGAGATGGAGGTCTTTAAATGAAGGAGGAAATTGCAGGTTGGGTCATGTATGGGCAGGAACTGTTGTCTCTCTCAGCTCTCTCTTTGCTGGGTCTGGAATTTTGGAAAATACAAACCCACTTGAAGTTGTGGGGGAAAGATGGCTGCCAGCCCATGGCATGTGGAGGAGGAGATAGGAACTGGGTAAGTAGGTAGGTAGGTAGGTGGCTCTATAAGGGACACGAGCTGAAGGTGACTCACTGTGTTTACATGACTCTCTGTCTCTCCCTCTTTTATCACTTCTGAGTCTTTACTAAAGTCTTGTTTAAACATCGACAGGGTTTGAGATTCATAACCTGTGAACTTTGACTGCTCATGGCTTGAGCCCTTTTGTCCGGTCCCATCCCTTGTATATCTTGTTGTTTTTCCATATGCTTCTAGAACAGGCAATAGTGTGGTTCTGTGAAGTCTTACAGCGATCAGGTGACAGATCTTGGTAACCTGGACAAATTATGTAACCTCCCTAACCTTCAATTTCCTTGCCTATAAAATGAGGGTTTTAAGATTAGGTAGAGAAAATGTACATACATCCAGGTAAATTCTTGGCACATAATAAGGGTTTTAAAATAGTTATCATTATTTTGGAAAGAGCACTGTGCATCTGGGGTTTGAGGGTGGTCTATTATAGTTTCTTCCAATATTTGTGTTATCTTGGGCAAGTCACTTAGGTATCAATTACTAATTGATGTAGCTCACTTATCCATAAAATGAAGGATTTGGAATAGGGAGTCCCTAAGATCTCACCTGGCTGTAAAAGTTGACTTTATTCATTCACTCTGCCTTGAGCCTGACCCCACTCTAGTAAGGCATACAAAAGGCAGCAAAGCCTCAAATGTCTCCATCTCATGCAGAGAAAGTTTGCATTCTAGTGGGGAAGACAGGTGATACCTAAGAAGAAGGTATGAAGTGATTACCAGGACCTGGGGGAGGGGGAAGTGGGAAGATATTGGGCAAAGGGTACAAACATCCAATGATAAGATTAACAAGTTCTGGGGATCTAATATACAGTATAATATACAGTGACTATAGCTCATCATACTGTATTATATACTCAAAAGTTGCTAAGAGAGCGGATCTTAGATGCTCTCACCACCAAAAGAAATGGGAATTGTGTGATGATAGCTAATGCTATGGTGATAATTATTTTGTGATATATAAATGTATCCAATCAACAAAAGCTATATGTCTTATACTTACACAGTATTGTTGTATCAATTATATCCCCAAACTCTAACCTAGAAAAGAAACAATGTGCAAAGTACATAGTATGTTAGATAATGATGAGAGCTATACAGAAAAATAAAGCAGGGGCCCTGGCGACCAGGGAGCTCCATTGGGGTGTTGCCCCAACACGCCATGGGGAGGGTTCAGTCTCAGGTCAGGGCACATACAAGAATCAACCAATAAATGCATAAATAAATGGAACAACAAATCAGCGCTTCTCTGTTTCTATCTTCTCCCTCTCTCTAAAATCAATAAGTAAAAACTGAAAAAAGAAACATATAGCAGGAAAGTAGGATGAGAGGTGATAGTGATGAGTTTATGATTTTTGGGAGTAAAAGGAAGCCTTTTTGAGAATGTGACATCTGAGTAAATATTGGCAGAAGGTGAGGAATGAGAGGTGTGGGGAGGCCCTTGGGATATAGAAACCTCAGAAGGCAAATTATCCAAATCTGTCAAATATCAGGAGTCACTTAAATAAAGGATCACTAGTAATTTGCTTTTGGCAAAACAAAAATCTGTTAAGAAACTTTCCCTCTAATTTTGACACTGCTAACAAATGTCTCTCACAAAAATGACTATGGTTCTTGGGGCAGGCTCTTCAACTCCATCGCTAAGTTCTCCGTCATGCGTCCTGGCACATGGAAGGCTCGCAGTGAGCATTAATTCTTCTCTTCTGCTTCCTTCCTCTTTCCCCACTTTCCTTCATCACCTCCAGGTAACCATGGCATTTGATGTTGTCTGACAGCCATCTCTTAGTGGTCATTGAATGAAATAAAGTATCATATACTATTTGACCCACTTTATACTTAATTTGTAAGTAGCCACTTACCTTAAGGACAGACTCAGTGACACCCCAGGAGAAGTCACAGGGGAACTGGCCCTTCATATCTGGTGTGGAGTCTTTTAAAGTAAAACCATTTTCTTGTATGATCTGTTTATAGTAATGTGCTGAAGACTTGGGCTTTCTTTCTTTTTGTTTACTCTTAAAATCCACATAAAATAATCCTCGGCGAATGGTGTAACCATCGCGCCATTCAAAGCCGTCCAGGAGAGACCAGGCTGTGTAACCAAACACTCGCATGTTATCAAACCTTATTGCTGCACAGAGAGAGGGAGAGAAAAAAAAAGCAGAAATGTCTGAAGGCCTTAACACACTAGGTCATGTTTCTGACTTCACTAACAACATGCCGGGGGGACAACATGTTGTGAAACCAACCTTTTGCCTCATTTATAGGCTCATTACATCAAATAGAAAATTCATGTTTATCTTTGAAAAGTGGCAGTTATTTTCATCCAGAACAGTCCTCCCCCAACAAACGAATGATACAGTTAAAGGAGTAAACTGAAAATATTCCTGAGACTTAGCATGCAAATCTGTGTCAGAAGGCATGGTAATTCCCAGAACTCTTGGGGACAAATGTCTGCTTATGACAGAGTTTCTCATTCCAAGTTTGGGTTGTTTCCCGTTTATGGACAAGCTGTCTTCTATGAAACTACCCTTCAGGGACTGAAAAGCCAGCTTGGAGAATTAACATAAGTGAATGTAAATATAAAGAAAAGAAAGTCGTGCAGAACTTACTGGGCTTAGGGGCAGGAGGTGGGAGGGTGCTGTTGGGCAAGTTTCTTGACTTTAGTTTCCTCATTTGTAAACAGAAAAGATCAGAAGATATGATCTCTCAGGGCCTTTCTAGTTTTATCACTCTGATTCAATAACTTTCAGGAATTGGGTAAAAATGAAATATGAAAATCAGTAATAGCAGTAAAAGTAACAGATACCCCAAATCAGTCAGGAACCATCTCTCTCTTTTTTTTTTTTAACTAAAAGCTTTCATTTCTTTCAGAGAAATGCCTCATTTCTGCATTTTGGGGGTTTTATCACTGATACCCTTTTCTTAAAAGGTAGACAGACAGTCCTGGCCAAGAGACTTCCGTTGGTGTCGGAAGGTGCTGAGGAGAGATGGGGAGTTAACGCCTGGGAGATGATTCCCCTTCCACCGAAGTGCATGGCACTTGCCACAGGCTCCCTGCTCTGGAGGCCCCCATGCACTGTGTGCGTGGCTGGGTGAGGTAAGGCTCCACGCTGCTGCCTCCTGCAGGTTGGGCAGCAGGGCCTTGCTCTGCCTGAAGGCTCCCCGAATGCTCTCTTCTGCAAAATCTTCTGCAAAAATCTTTTCCCCCAGGCTTGTAGCTTTGGAAGAGAGCTGCAGAGTTTTAGAAAGATCCACCGAGAGTTCCTTTATATGTGCGTGAAATGGAGCCCAGCTCTGCAGGGCAGAGCCATCGTAATTTGAGCTTGTCTCCTGCTCCATTATTTCAATCAGCCACCTGTAGATGTCACTACTTGAGTAATGGAAAAGGAATGAGGGGCTATGTAAGGATCAGGAAAATACCCAGGATCCATAGAAATGACGCAGCTTTGACATACGTGGCTCATTCTCTGTCATCAGACCTTTTTATCAGCAAGACGTGTCATAGAGTGAAGGAGCACAGTTTCAAGAAAGCCATCAGCATCTTAGACTAAAGCACTTCTGTTAAAAGACTTTGGACATATCTTCCTTAGCTTTATGTCCTTTTTGAAAGAATGAAACAGCATCTTGTTGCCAGTTAAGGATGTATCTACTGTCTACAATGATTTTATTCTCAAGCCTTCATTAAAAATGGACGTGCGAGTAACATTAAAACATTCTGTCACCGATGGACCAAAGGCCAGCAACAACAATAATCATATATTCAGAGGTGACTTTAGTGGGGATACCTCAAAAAATTAGAAATGGATCTGCCTTTTGACCCAGTGATCCCACTTCTGGGATTATATGTGAAGGAACCCAAAACACTAATTCAAAAGAACATAAGCACCCCTGTGTGCATTGCAGCATTATTTACAATCGCCAAGATATGGAAGCAGCCCAAGTGCCCATCAGCAGAGGAGTGGATAAAACAACTATGAGACATTTACACAATGGCTGTAAAAATGAAGAAAATTGTACCCTTTGCAACAGGATGAATGAACCTGGGGAACATCATGCTAAGTTAAATAAGCCAGTCAGAAAGACAAAAGCCATATGATTTTACTCATGTGGAAGGAAAATGGGGGCAGAGCCATAGACGGAGAGCAGGATGATGGCTGGTAAGGGAGAAGTCAGGAGGCGGAGAGACTGAGCAAAAAGGAAGAGGACTCATGGACATGGACAACAGTGTGGCGATTGCTGAGGGGAGCGGGGTATAAAGGCATGAAATGGTGACGGAAAAAAATACAATAAAGATTAGAAAAGAAACAAAGGTGACCTTAAATATCCTAGAGCGTGAATATTCAAAAAGTTTTTAAAAAATTGAGCTAATGTGCAACTGACCTTGAAGAACTTGGTTGAGGAAATTCTTCATCATGTAGATGGCTGTGGTATCCTCTGTTTCCACACGGCTGTCCGTGAACCAGCCATTCTCAGTAATCAAGACTCGGGGGTTGCCATACTCCAGCTTAATCCAGTTCAGCACTTCTCTTAAATTCAGTGACACATTTTGTCCCATTTTAGCCACGGTGTTCTGGGGCTTGAAATTGTTGGGCCCAAAGGAAAAGGCAAAGAAGTCAGCTGTGCCCTTCACCTCATTCTTCTCTGCTTCAGAGAAAAGGGGCAGAATGGAGAGCAACTGCTTTTTCATCAGCTCTGGGTAGTCGCCGTCCCCGTGGATAGGGTTGGCAAACCACCCGAGCACAGAAACCATGGACTGCTGGCACTTGAGTGTATCCATCATGTTTTCTGGCCTGTTGGGTTCAATCCAATGGGATCCCAATGTGATCGATAACCAACCCTTCTGATGTGGGCGGAAATTTGTGTTGTAGTTATGCCAAACTTTCGAATGAGCCTAAGGAGAAGAAAATATTATTAACCTTTTTTCGTCCTTCCAATGGCTCTGGCTTGGCAGGTAGGAGGTCTTTTCATGGACAAATGAGTGAATGCAGCATGGGGTGATGCAGGGAAAAGCTGCCTGGAAACCCCAATGACCTCAAACTCAGCTCTCTGTCCACTTCCCCTCAAGCATCTCCTACAGGATGGCCAAGAAGCAGGCAGAGAGCCCTAGTCCAAACTCCATCTCACTTCTCCCTGACCGCCTTCCCGAGCCCTCTCGGGAAGATACGCTGTGGATTATAGGATTTCTTCCTTTAGATAAAAAGACCCAGCAGTGATCTTTCATTGTTCTACAGAATCTCCTTTCGGCCCTAACTTAGAAGTCCAGGATAATGCAGGCTCTAAATTCTGTAAATGAATAATAATGGAGCCCACCTCCTAGTCTTGTGGTGAGGATTGAATGAAGTAATGTATGGAAAGGGCCTCAGAACAGTGCCTGGCACGGAGCACCCTCTACAGAAGCCTTAGCTATTCCTGCTGTTATTATATAAGTGTGGCAGGGAACCGCAAGTGTGGGCCTTGCGGTTGGCACACTTGGACTTGAAGTTCAGGTATTTCATGTGTGTCCTTAGATAAGTCACTTAACCTTCCTGAAATCTGTTAGTATCCTCAGAGATAAAATGAAGTTAAAAATAATGACAATATTCTTTGTAAAGTTGTTTTTAGATGTAGAGCTGATGTATATGTTAAATATGTAGCACAGAATAGCACACCTAGGAGCTCTAAAGATGGATGTTATTATTAATAGACTTCCCGGAGTTTACATTTCCAGCAGAGTTCTTGTAACAGAGCCTCACCATCCGCTTCCAGTCTGTTTAATAGGTACGAGTACTTACTCAATGCCTGTCTTGTCTGCCCTGAGAGGCTGAAATAAATGGAACAGGAACTTGCCCTAAGGAGCCAATAATCTTATAGGAAAGTAAGACTGAAATGTGTGAAAGAGAAACATATAAAATGACATAAAATAAGGCATTAAATGAAAAGATATTTAAAGCAAAACATCATGCTTCTGTGAAGGACCGTAAGCTCTATCGGAAGGAGGAACGAACATTAAGGACTCCAGTTACGGACTCTAGGCCAGTTAAATGCTCAAGTCCAGTCCTCTGTCCTCTGTCCTGGCCAGTCATAAAGTCACCTTTCATCTGAGTTCATCTCTCTTTCCCTCAGCATTTGACATGCTTGCCTCTTCCCCCCCCTCCCGATTTCTCCTCTATTTGGCTGTTTCTAAAACAAGTGTGCACACCCTCACCTTTAACCCACAAAGTCTGCTTGCAGTTTTGTTCATTAGCTTTTCTTTTGCTCATGAGAGACTTTTTTGATATTGGGTCGAATTATCTGAAAGTGCCTTTTTGTAGGTCAAGAACGATCAAATATGCACAATGGTTCAAACCTAATACACCCTGTGGACACCTGATGTGTTTTACAAATCCTGTCAGGGTGAGAAAACTACCTTTTTCTCACTACCTAAGGGGAGATGATTTCAACACTGGTGCCTCGTTGCTTTGTGCAGGAAGAGCTAACTGAAATCATTCCCTGGAAGATTTCCTGAAGCAGATGTCTTGAGGTAGTACCTCTGCCTACCTGAACTTACTTGGGTTTCATTGGAAGATTCTGGAACCGTTTAGCACCCAAATGTTCACAAGGAGCTTTAAGAATGCTCTCCTGTGAGAGCAGCCTTCCGGCTGTGGCCTCCTCCCCTGCCTCCAGCCTGAGGTTCTGGAAGGAATCACAGGGGAGCTGGGGACAGATTCCACCTTAAGTGGTCTCAGCTGCTCTTTCTGCATTTTTCTGGGCTGGGAATCACAAAGAACAGTCTTGAGAACTGCATTTTTTTTTCTGATTTGAAACAAAGCAGTCATGCATTACTAGAATTCTTTGCTTTATTCTAATCAGTCACTTCTTCATCCCTGGGTAGCCTCTGATCAGCATGTGTCTTCGGGGCCGTTGTGTCTTTCCGATGTGCAAACTGTAAAGCGCGGAACACATGTAAGCTCCTGAGCCAGAAACTAGCTGCCTTGGAAACATGATGCCATCAGACATTGAAGGGAGGGTGCGATGGAATCAGTATCGATGTATTAAACCAGTCCTAATAGGAAAAGGAGAGGGGGGAGGGGTTTCTTTAAAATAGATGTTCTATTGCATATTTTAGTGATTATATGAAAGACGACCTAAGGGGTGATAAAATCTTGGTTGCATCAGCATTTTAATGCAAAATAGAACAGCTTAGAAGACAGCAGATTTGTACCTTTGCAGTACATTTTCAAGCAAGTTTTCTGGATATATATGTATATAAAATGCATTGTCATGCCCCAAGGTGACCTTCATGTTCCACAGTGTCTCTTTAACCTTTGCTGCTATTTGCAGAGGCTATCAAGGTATCTAGGGTTATCTTTGCTCTGGGCTGAAGACAGCCTCTTCGTTCTCGGAGAGAATGTGGGGGAGGTTCTTTGTGCAGTGCTTATACTTATAACTTGATCCTGTTTGCCAAGTAACAGGGTAAAAAGTATTGCTTGGAGATACTGAGTTCGACAAAAATCTGAATGAAACAGATATCTATATGTGTCCCCTGGTCCGATGCTCAAAAAGGAGGTTTGGCGGGAAAACACAACGGGGTTGGTAGGGGAGAGCAACCTGGGCCTGGCAACCTTGCACAACAGTCATTCCGCGATTTTCCAAGGTTATCCTCTATCTGTACAAGGCCATCTACCTTTGGAATGATTGATTTAGGGGAGCTTCAACCTTTGTTCTTTAAATTCAGTAGCTTAAAGGGGAAGTCAGCAGCTTTTTCTTTTCTGAGTCAGCTCTGAGGGCCTCATGTCATTGAGAGGCAGCTGCTAGTCTAAGGTAGCAGTTCTCTTTGATGCCCCTGGAAATCCAGACTCAGATAAGTTCTATGGATGATAGGAGGCAAATAAGATAGCTGGCACAACTCTGGAAACAAAGATGAAGAGGGGGCGAGAGGTCAGGAAGACATGGCCGGGCCCTGGTGGGTGGGGGTGCTGTGGAGGCCCGGGTTGTTGGCAGACCTCACACATTGTGCTGTGTGTATTTGAGGAACCTCCAATCATTTGTCAAAAGTTAGATTTTCAAACCTGTGTGTAATTTTACTCACATTTTGACTGAACTATCGTCATGTGAACTACAAACTTGTTTATTGTTAAAGCTACTTAACAAAGTATGAAGTTACAGAATTCTAATTTCCATTATCATATGACTAAATTAAATGAATGCCTGAGTCAGAATCTAAACCTGGCAACACAAAAGGGAAAAGGTCTAGAATAAAGTTCATAATTAATTAAATGAAGCATCTGTGGGTTTCCCCAGATATTAGGAGAGAGTTTAGAAGAAATCAATATTAGCAAATTGGAGCTTTACTCAAGTTCAGGTTCTGTGCCCAGAGATAACATTTGCATGCCAATTTTGCAGAGGGTGGATAATATGTTAAGCTTCCTGTTATTACTCTGTTAGCAACAGCAACCCTGTTAGTAATTGTTTTCATGCAAAAGGACCATAACTCAGAGTATAACTGCAGCTAAAATAGCCTGGGTTGGTAACTTAAAGTCTTTCCTCAGGATTTAGGAATGAAGAGTTACAGACAGTCAACATAAAAGCCTCTCCGGAAATCCCAAATTATATAATTCTTACAGTAACAAAAATAAGGCCCCATTTTGGGGCCTGCAAGAAAGGCAGAGTTACCATGAACCTAAGGAAGCCGAAGCTGCAGGGACCCTGACTTGCCTGGTCCTTGTAAAAGGTTATAACTGGAGTGGGAGTCAGGTTGTGGGTGGAAGGATTGCGGGGTAAGTATTTCTGATAAATACCCTAAAGAGACCTCAGGGGGAAAAACCCTGAATCTCTAACACTACGGTAATTTGTTGTAAGATTTTTATCATCAAATAAATATTCACTTTTGTGCCAATTTTTGTGTTTATTATATATATAATTAAAAATAAACACACACACACTATATATGTATATGTATATATATATACATATATATATATATACACACATATATATATATATATATATATATATATATATATATATATATATGTGTGTGTGTGTGTAGAGAGGTCCTCCAGATTGTGTAAGTCTCAGGCCGAGGCCACATAGTTCCACGCCTGGCCTTTGAGCTTCTTGAGTGCAGGGACTCCATCTATTGTGTCCCCAGTTGTGCATCGGCAAAGAGCCTGGCCTATGATACTTGTGGAAAGAATGCCCACTATGAGCCAGCTAGTAGTATGTTGGTCCCCTGACAAACATTTTGGATAATACAGCCTGTAAGGCATATTTTATTTTTCTCATTTTAGAAAAGAAACTGAAGTTTCCACAGGCTGCATAGTGGTAGAGCTAGGACTTGAACCCAGACTTCCCTGATCACTTTACTAACCCATCTTTCTTTTTGTATGTCCCAATTCTAAATTTTGAAGCTGTTGGGGCAAAGGCCACTGGACATGAATCACAACATACTGCTTTAAAATTATATTTTCTTTCTGCTGAGCCTGGTTATTAAAAGAACTAAACAGTCCTAGAATGAAGGTACCATATCCCTCTCTTGCATTCTGAGAGGGAAATCACGTATACTCAGAATTCAGGATCACCTAGAGAGGTCCTGGAAGACCTACCAGCAAATTGAGAGTGTTCAGAAGACCATGTCATTGTCCAAGTGCCTAGCACAGCATGTAACATTTGTGGGTAATCCTCTGTCCCAATATTGGCATTGGATTCTGTCTTCACCGGTGTTAGAGGCTCTATGGATTCCTGACGCACCACTTCTACACTTGACTATCTTGACTGAGGGTGGTGACCTTCACACCATTGTCAATGTTAGGCGGAGAGGGCTGGGATGCTGTGTTTGCATAGTGTCTAACACTATGCAACATTATTAATCGATCCTTAATGATGAATGACTTCCATGATCAAATATAACAGAACAGTGATGAAATTATAAAA